TCCAAGAACTTGTCTTGTTCTTTAAGCACTTGTGCCTACTTTGCCAGAGTCCTAACGCTGCTGGAATGTCATCTTTCTCAAGCTGGGGCTGTTTCCCCACCGATGCATCCAGTCCTAAATGGCAATGGGTGCAGAGGGCTTCTGGGCAGCTCTGCTTCCAGTCAGCGTCAATCCAGATCAATTGCAGGTCACAGCCTGAGTGAAGTAATGGAAGACGCATAGCAATCACTTCCATTCAGCTTTTGACCAGTCACTTTGATCCGTTGGCTTGGCTCACAAGTGGGTGGTTATAATCATACTCTTTAATTCTGTTTGATTCATTCATTGAAATCCCCCCCTTTGGTTCAGCTCGATCACTCCCTTTGGGTCACCTTTCCTGTCTGATTCATCTTTCCTTTGAGAAACAAGCATCTGATTGTCTGAAGAAAATTCAGTTGCTGGAAAAGTGTCCTTTTATTACCAGGGATTGTCAAAGGGCGGGGGTTGTTTGTTTGTTTTGCTGTGCTGTCTTCTTCTCCATGTTCTTTGCAAATGACAACTCCGCTGAGTGCTGGAGACACATCCAAGGAATTTCTGCCTTTGTCTTCTCAAAAACAAGTGAATAGGGCAGGCTTTGTGGCTCCTTTGTCCCGATAGGCGATGATGCAACCCGAATTCTTGTTTGGACATGATTAAGTCTGCATGAACAGGCTCTGCAACAGTGGTGTCGTTTGTAGAACTCCCTTCCTCCTCGCCATTGCTCTGGTCACTTTCTCTCCCCCTCCCCCTGCTCACAATTTACCTGACGCCAGGTAAGGAAGGGACAGAACAGCATCCTTTTTTAGGCAAAGCTTCAGGTGATGACTTTTGGAGGATGCTGTTTGTCAGCCAAATCTCATCTGCTGGGCACGCATCAAAGGGCTTTCCCCCCCTGCTTTGCTTTGAAACTATGGAGTAAGATCCCTTTAGCTGGGAAATAGTGGGAATGCTAGGACTTAAACATGAATAGGCTCATATCTGAAATTATGGAGCTCTTTCCATGCTTCACTTTCCCCTCCACTTTTCCTGGCTTTTGATTTTTGTTTGAAAATTACATCAAGTTTGCTTTGCGAGGTACAAATAAAGTTGTGCACCATCTTGGTGGCTTTTTAGAAAAATAAAGTGGTATAGAAATATAAATAAACCATCCATTTATTCAGTCTTATCCTTGGAAAAGCAATTCTTCTTTGAACTTTGGCAGTGTTATCCTTTTTGTGTTATCAAACTGTGGCAGTGTTATCTTTTTTGTGGTGATCAGATTTTGGAACAGAAATACATTCCAGGAAAAGAATGAACTGGAAAAACTCTGCATTTCTCCCTTCAATATGATGCAGAATTTTTCTCTAGATGAGCTCATCAATTGGTGATTTATCATCTCTTTGGGCTTGCACAACTGACAGGTGCACCCCTAAGAATTTTGGTTATTTAGGAAGGGCAAGATACCCTTTCAGTCACATAAAGACAAGCACTTGGGGAACTGAGGCTGCTGCTAGTGTTTTTGGGGATAAGACTTCCTGCTCTCGGCCTTAGCAAGAATGTGAGGGCCAAGCGACACAAGGGCCCTTCTGGGCAGCTCTGTCCTTTGGGTGCAGGGCTTTCTCTGCCAACCCAAATGACTGGAATGGGGAGAAAACCACACCAGCAAGGGAGGATGGCAGCTCCTATCACTGCACCTCCTCCTGCATTTCAGCTTGTCTATCAGAGCTATTCGTGGCACTGAGGTTCATCCCCAAAGGGCGTTCACCATCATGGAGCACCATGGGCAGCTCCCACACAGCTCAAGGGAAAGGTCTCAGTGGATGAGGACCCCACAGGCATAGGGCTGTCCTGCCTTCCCTGCAAACCAGGATCCCAGCCGGGGCAATGCATGAAGACTTCTATTAGGTTCTTAACCAGGTCTCTGTGCTGCCACTTATGGGGAAAAGGCCCTGCATTCAGGGGCAGAATGAGGGAAAGGAGCATTTCCTAGTTTAGCCAATAGAAGCTGTTGCTTTGAGGGCTTTTCCATGTTCCCAAATCCACACTGTAGGAAATAATCTGTAAAGAAACAATTCCTTCCTCCTTTCAGGTAGCTTGTGATGTTTCCTCACTGTCAGAGCAAGACAAGAGTGGAACCAGCTGCCTGGAGAGGTTCTGGACTCTCCCACACTGGAGGCATTCAAGATGCAACTGGACAGCCATCTGAGTGGGATGGCATAACATGGTGTCCTGAAACAGCAAGGGGGCTGGACCCAGTGACCTTCATGGCCCCTTCCAACTGTACCGTTCTATGATTCTAAGTCATCCCATTTTATTTTTCTCACAACAACCCTGCAAAGCAGGCTATGAAGAGTGAGTAGCTGATCCCCCCAAAAAATCCCTAAATGTGGATTGGAATCCAGGTCTTCTCATATCTTGCTACCCTCATCACTAAGCACACTCAGGTTAGGTTAGTGCATAGCTGACTTTAAGGCAATTCTTCTCACTTAGAAGATGTGATACCTACATTATGCAAGAAGCAACACTTTAAAAGAGGCTGGCTCTTCCAAGGGATGGCACAGACGGAGAACAGCATGCTGTTTCTCTCCTGCTGGGCTCCAGATGGTGACTCCTGATAACCAAAGTTCCTCTACTGTGCGATCCTAGGTGTGTCTACTCAGAAGCAACCTCCCTGAGTTTGATGGCCCTTCCTGGTAGGTATAGCAATGCATCTTCAATGCCTTGAAGTGGGTAATAAAGAGAAACAATCTCCAGTCCCAAGGGGGCAATTCCATTTAAGATTTTCTTATGAACTGGTGAGGTTTTAATTGGCCACTATGGTACGCATTTACGGGTTGATAGCTGTTGCAATAAATACACCTGTATTTGTTTCTCCTTGTAGCTTTGTACATTCTTTTGGGAGAATACCTCTTGTAATGAGCAGCAATTCATTCTGGAAAGCAATTATAGTTTAGCCAATACTTCCATCATCTCAAAGATGAAATCTCTGGTCAGATCTATGCAGTTTGTTCAAGGAGAAACATCCCTACTTTTCCCCAGGATTTTCCTACTTTTTCTGAGGGCTGCTGCTCAAAATTTAAGCCAAATAGATGAAAAAGAATATGCAGGAAATTCATACCTTGACTTGATTGGACGTCAACTGCAGAATAATGGTTTTTATGATGTTTTGCAGTGTACTACTTAATTTTCCATGATGTTGCCCTGCTTTGAATTGCACTGGCCAGGAAAAAGTTTTGCATGCAGATTTCAGGTAGTCCCGGGTTTAATCTGCTAGAGGCACATGTCAGGGCTTAAACCCAGCAGAACATTAGTCTGTAGCTTAGTTAGGTCAGGACTCAGGAATTTCCCCCTTCCCTGTGGGCATCCCCTGTATGTGCCTGGAAAATTAGAAGTGGGTGATGACTGAATCACACATATTTCTCATGTGTGCATATGTGTCTGTGTGCACCCACATCCATGGCTCATTAACCTTAAGTCACCCAATTTGAGGTGCTAGTGATGACATATAAAGACCTTAAATGCCTTAGTACCTGGATATCTGAAGGAGCGTCTCCTTCCCTATTTGCCTGCCCACCCCTTAAGATTTGGGGCAGAGGTCCTTCTTCTGGAGCCCCCCCTTGAAGGAGATTAGGAAGGTGGGTACCTGGAGAAGGGCCTTCTCTGTGGTGGCACCCTGGTTATGGAATATACTCCCCAAAGAGGTTCTCCTGGCACCAAAAGTTTATTCTTTTCAAGGCCAGGCCAACCCCTTCTTATTTGTGCAGTATTTTAAGGTTTAAGTATTTTAATTGAGGCTTTATTGTACAGCATCAATGCTGTGCTTTAATTTGCTTTATTTTAAGACCATCCCAAGAGTATTCAGTAGCGGATGGTATAGAAAAGTTTTAAATGAATAAAAAATAAATAAACCCAGTAGCAGGTGCAGCAAACCCTGAGGGTGACCTCTGCATATTTGGATCTGAGCAAGAGCAGAGAGCGTGCGTGGCAGGCGGAAAAGAGGAAGGGATGGCACGGCGGTGGTGGGCCCCTCTACAGCCGGCAGCGTGGTGTATCCACTTTGGGCTGCAGCCTGACTACTTAAGGAGCTCTCCATGGTGCTGAACCCCATTTCTGAACTGGGCTTAGCACCACGGACAGCGCCTCTGAAGTTCGGAGAGCAACTCCAAGGGGATTCCATGGGCGCTGGAGCTGCTGTGGGGAGCAATTAGGACCCCCCCCCCCCACAGCATCATAGCGCGCACGGTTCGCTCTGGCATGTGAAAGGGGCCTTCGGTGAGCCGAGGCTTTGCTTTGGCGCTGGGGCATGTGCGAAGCTTGCGCCCTCCATGGCCACTGCCGAGCCCCTCCTCAGGCTGCCCAGCTGCGGCATTGCTGGGCCAGGTCCGTGCATCTCTTTCCCAAGCCCAGAGTCTGACATCATCCGCTTCATTGCCACGCAGGGGTCTCCAGCTCGAACGGCCCCCTCTATCTTACAGGGCAAGGCAGCTTAGAGCAGCAAGACCCGCTTCCCCTTGGGATCACTGGGGGTGCTTTTTCCCACCCTTCGCCCTCGTGTGCCTATGCTCGGACGAGCGGGGGGGGGGTCCGAGGGGCCCACGGTTACCGGCCTCCCCCCCCCCCCCCCCCCCCCCGGCCCCCCCCCCCCCCAAGGACGGGCGAGCGCGTGCCCCGCGCTCCCGCGGCTCGCCCTGCGCGCCGCTTCGTCCTTCTCCTTCTGGCCGGCGGGGTCGCCACGGGCCCTCCCGCTGCCCGCTCGCCCCTGCTCCGGCCGGCCCCTTCCCCGGCCGCCGAGGGCCGCCACTCCCCCCTCGCTTGCCGCCCCGGGAATCCCGGCGGCGGAGGGGCGAGAGAGCCGCCCACGGGGCACAGGAGCCGCCCCGGACGAGTGACATCCCGCGCCGCCCGCCGCCCGGCCCGGGAGTGCTCCGGCGCGGCGAGCGCCTGGCGAGTCGTCCGCGGGCTGCTGCTGCGGCTGCTGCTGCGAGCGGGCGGGCGGGCCGACCATGCTGGGCCAGGGCGCGGAGGGCCGGGCGCTGCGCTGCGCGCTGGCCGCCGTCGGGCTGCTGTCGGCGCTCAACGCGGCCGGCACCGTCTTCCTGCTGGGCCAGTGGAGGGAGCTGAGCGCGGAGCTGCGGGCGCTGCAGGACGAGGCGGCGGGCGCAGCCAGGCAGGGGGGGCTCCCTCCCAGCGCGCTCCGGCGCCCCCCGGAGCCCCCCGGCCCGGGGCCCGCCGGCCTCGAGGGAGCGGGCGGCGGCGGCGGCGGCAGGAACAAGAGGAGCCACCGCGGGCGCGGCCTCACCAAGGGCCACATTCGCGCCGAGAACGAGGACATGCTCATGATGATGACCTACTCCATGGTGCCGGTAGGGGGCGCGCTGCTGCAGCTGGGGCAGCTGGTGATGGGAGTGGCCGAAGAGCCAGGGAGCGGGAAGCCGGCGGGACCAAGGCTGCTTGCAAGGCTTGCTTGAGGGTGGGTGGGAAAAGCCCCTCGCCTCCCCTCCTGCTCAGATGGTTCGGGTCTCTGACCTCACTGCTCGGAGCTGTAAGAATCTCCTCCAAGAGGAGCAAGGATCTCCTGCAGGAGGGCCATCCGCTCACAGTGTTCAGCTCAGGGCAGCCTCAAGACTTGGTGGCTGCATGGTCACTAAATCTTGCTTGTTTCCATTGACGGGTGCACAGTGTGATGTGCAGTGGAGAGATGCAGTGTGCCACTGCCTGTTACTGGGGAACGTGGCTGTTCTGCTCATAGTCTGTGGGGGCAGCTGGCTGGCTGCATTGTGACCAGAATGCCTGGCTCGGTGTGATCTGAATCTGCAGACGCTCTTACTGTGAGCCTGGCACCAGGTCTAGGCCCTGCTGAGCCTTGGAACTCACTGGGTGACTTTTTGGACATTCTCTTTTCTTGGGTGCCACCACAATTTAAGCTCCTGCTGTGCATCACCATGATGGAGAGAATTATAGTTCAAGGGGCGACAAGCAACCCAAACCCAGCTCAGGCAAGGCTGGCCCATGATGGCTTTCAAAGTCATGCCTCCCCGGTGTTTGACTCTCCGTGTTTCCATTGCGAAACACTTGGGTATTTCAGAAAGGCTGAAGGGCTGTGCTGAAGGGGTGAACCAAGCCATCTCCTGCCAGATCCCTTGATTAACTCCACATTGCTTTAGTGAACAGGTGCAGTTTGGCTTAAAGCTCCTATGGCCAGTAACTAAGGCTCTGAAGAAGAATTTAGCCTTTGAAAATGGAAGGAAACGTGTACCAAAGTGGGGGAATCTCCAAGCTACAGTGGTGGGGGGAAGGGGCCAGGGCCGGGGCCAGGAGGAGGGGGCACTGCTTTCTGGGGAACGCCAGAGGGTTAATTGAATCCCTCTCCCCATCCTTTAGGGATGTTGGAAGCACCATAGAGGAATAAGGGGAAGCCTGGATAATTTTTTCAGGGTAGCATAGCCATGCAGCAAGATATGATGCAAGACATCTGGGTTACATCAGGTCAGAGAGGATGGGATTACACAACGGCATTCTTGAGGGATGCTTTTTTAATTATTTCAAGCCCTCTGACCCAGACTGCCCTTCGGTGCCTCCTCCGGCGCTGCAGCATTAATTCACATTGTGTCTGAACTGTTGTGTATCAAAAAGCTTCAGGTGTCCTGAGCCAGGTGACCCAGGAATGAAGGTGAGGTGGCAACGGTGACCCTCAGTCATTTGCAAAGGGCTGGGGAAAACAAATCTTGCCGACTTTCAATGGATGATTACTTAAGTCCAGGGTACAGAAGGGTTTCATGGGGTGCATGCATAAAACAGCAAAGTTGGAAGGGGTAAGAAGGGTCCAGTACCAATTTAGACCATCCCACTCAGATCATTGTCCAGTTTCCTTTTGAATGCCTCAAGTGCAGGAGAGCCCATGAGCTCTCCAGGCAACTGGCTCCACTCTCATATTGCTCTGACAGTGAGGAAACTTTTCCTAATATCCAGCTGGAATCTGACTTCCTGTAACTTGAGCCCATTATTCTGTGTCCTGCACTTTGGTATAAGTGAGGAGAGATCTTGTCCTTCCTCTTTGTGACAGCCTTTCAAGTACTTGAAGAATGCTATCATATCTTCCCTCCATCTTCTCTTCTCAAGGCTGAACATGCCCAGTTCTCTGTCTCTCCTCACAGGGCAGTGTTTCCAGCCCCTGGATCATTTTTGTTGCCCTTCCTTGGGCCCTTTCTAATTTTGCTGCATCTTTCCTAAATCTCAGTGCCCAGAACTGGACACAGGACTCGGATGCTGGGGGTGGGGGGTGATTGCCCTCCCAGCCCTCTGTGGGCCGGGTGATGTCAGTGCCCCGCCGCGCTTCCTTTCTGAGCTCTTGGAGCTGGGAAACGTGAAATCCTTGGCTCCGCACAGTGCCTGTTGTCCTGACAAAGGTGCCTGGCTACTCTTGGGAAGAGCAGCGGGTTGCGCCCCTATGAGCCCCACAAGCCACCAGTTTTCACCTGCCACAATGTCCTGGCCCTGATGTCATTGTAGGGCACTGGGGGCGGGGGAACTGGCAGCTCCCTTAAATATGGGTTGAGAATATTCAAGGGAAAGGGACCTTGCAGAGAGACCTGTTTCCCTAGGAGAATGAAAAATACCTCCTCAGCAAATTTTCTCAGCAAAAGGGCCTCTTGTTTACATTTCACCCTGCCCCAAATTATCTGGGGTTTTTTTTGGGGGGGGGGACATGTAACGCAGTGGATATGGGGCAGAGGGTGCTCCCTCATCCAGGGATGCCTCCATAAACCTCGTGTGTTTGGCTGGGGAGGGGGCTTCCCCTTCGAGCTTTGCTTTGGAAAGGATGCCAGCTCTGATTCCAAATGGGTGAAAGCCAAGGGCCAGCTTTTCATGGCTTATGTAACCAGCCCTTGATGCCGAGGACCATTGATGCGGATACTTTTTGTTGAGCGCTAAAGGCAGGACGATGGACTGCTGGAATGAATAAGCAGCTAATGGCCTTCTCATTTGCAATCTTTTCTCATAGGCAGTTGGGGGAGTTAATGTTCCAATTTCATCACAGATTCCGACATGCCAGCAATGGCTACACGTGTGCAGAAAATAGGTAGAGAAGAGAGGTGGATGGATGAAGCAGCATGAGGTTTTATGCTTAGGGGAACATTGCAAGAAACGCAAGGTTGCCACTGAAAATGGCAGCCCTGAGTTCTGCCCACCTTTTGGTGTTGGTAGTGCCAGCTGATTGAGGGGGACACCCTCAAGGTGTCCCACCCCTTGGCAAGGTCCCTTGATCTTCCGGCTGCATCCTCACCAGCTCGGCTCAGCATCGCCCTCATTCTGGCTCCTCACCACCACCACTACCTGCCTGGCAGCTGGAGAAACCAGCCAGCTGTGGCATCTCCTGTGCCTCCACCACTGCCATGATCTGTGCTAAAGTGAGAGGCACGTGGCTGAGCAGGCTGCAGTGGAGAAGAGGCGGAACAGCTCTAGAAGCTCTTGTTAGGGAGCCCCTGCTGGAGTGTGGGGCTCAGCAAGGACCCACGCCTACTTGGCCATGATGCCACCGTGACTGAGAACATCACATGGAATGGTTTTCTACCAGGGGCAGCCAGCAATGCAGAGCAGTAGGGAGAGAGGGTTGCAGCCCATGGGACACAAGTGGAAATAGAACACTGGGAGCAGGGCTGATGGAGGGTGGCAGGCCCAGGGCTGTCAGCTCTGGGCTGTGAGCGGCAGGAATTCTCGGCTGGAGCAACCAGGACTGGGTTAATAGAGGTGAATGGAGAACTTGGCGAGATGTTGTAGGGACAGAGGCAAAGGTAGACTCAGAAAGAAACAGGACTTGGGGACCAGCATGGAGTAGCAGGACCAGTCTTGAGGGCAGAATCAGGAACAGGCAGGAGACAAGGCACAAATGAAGACACCGGAGGAAGAAACCAAGCCAAGCATATGGACAGCCACCACAAAGAGTCATGTGGCCGCAGCAAAGCTGGGCAGGGCTGAGCGGTCTTTAATGGGTTTAATAGGAAACTATGATTCCCGGTTGGTCTCTATTACTGCAATGGTCTTAATCCTGCAAGTCATACAGATATGGTGCCAATACTACAAGGACTTGCAAAATGAACCAGGCTGCTCTCTCTATCAGGCCACCAGGAGAAGCTGCATCACTCAGGTACTGAAGAAGACCTCTGGCCATTGCTGGTAAATACTGGGCTAGATGGAAAAAATAAGCTATCCTGATATAAGGCAGTTTGTCTATATTCCCCACCCTGCCTTTTAATACTCCTGACAACCCGCAAAGGAGGTTAAAATCAGTGCAAACTAAAACACAGTGGCTTTTTCCTAACACCAATGGTGGAGAAGTTTTCCTAAGTATAGGGAGAAGAATGCTAGAGGAGTAAGGTATTCATCTTTTAAAAAGATATTAATTGCAGTCTTCTTGTAGCTTTCACAGCAGTTGCCAGCCAAGGAAAAAAGCAGGTTTTGCTATAGAAAGGAATGGTGGGGCAAAATGAAGGACACTGGCCGTTTTTCCTCCCTCCATTCATTCTTATGCCAGAATAATTTTCCTACCTCAATTTGTTCTTATGCCCACATGATATCAAAGGGCAAATCCTTTTCTTTTTCCTCTTTGCCCTTTTGCTTAACAGAGTCTGAGTGTGATTTACACTAGTTGACAAAGCAGGATGATCAGAAAGTGGGCAATCAGTCTTCTGTCTTTGCACACAAAAGCTCAGAAACCGGGTGGGAAGAGCAGGAGAAGGGACTTGGAACACACCATGTCCCAGTAAAGATAAACTGGTGTGGTTATGGAGTTGGATGCAATGGAAAATTTAGAAAAAGCCCAAAGCTGTAATAAATTGTTCATTGTGAGTTAAGTGAAAAGCGCTGCATGGAATACAAAATGAGCACTTTTGTGGTGAGCCAAGATTCAATGCTCATCAACAGGATCCATTCATTTGTATTATTTCGCTGAATAGAGCTGGCTGATGTGCCATCCCTTTCTCAAAGCCACCCAGAGGCAAAAGCCCAACATCTTTTACAAAGGCACTTAAATATCTTTGGTTTACCTGATGGAGGTCCATTTCTGGGAGAAAAACAATCAGGGAGAATGCAACCTCGTTAATTTCTCTTGATTTCTCAGTAGCTTCAATACCACTCACCTTGGAATTGAGGGTTGAGAGCCATATATGGTGGTTCTGCTCTTACCTGCTGAGTTGGTTTCAGAAGGCAGTACTGGGGGAGTTGGGGGGCATTTGCTTAACTCACTGGGATTTAATCTGTGAGGCCTGGCAAGATTCCCCCTTGTCCCTGCTCTGTTGAACACCAATATGAACAGCAGCCACCCAGCGGTTGGAGATCAGGTGTTTGCAGATGGTGCCTAGCTGGATTTCCTGGTTTCATCTGAATCACGTGAGCCTGGATGTGCCAAACTGCTGCTTGGAGTCAGTAATGGGGTGGATGAGGCTCAGTAAGTTGATGCTGAACACTGACAGGATGATGGAGGCCTTGTGACGGGTGGTTCCCCTGCTCCAGGATTTTGGTGTTCAACTGAGGACACTACCCAAGTATGTTCAGACAGAAAACAATCGTGCAATTCCCAGAGTCCTCTAGTTACAAGAATGGCCATGTGCTACTTCCTTTACTGGAAGTGGCCTCAATGAGGAGCTTGGGCAGGCAGACAACTTGCGCCCACCCTGCTTGGGAGATCCGGTGGGCAGCTGGCTTGCCCCCCTGTGCATGGAGTGCTCAACCTGGTGGAACTTTGGTCTGATCCAGCTTGGACTTTCTGATGCTCTCTCAAGGTGGCAGTGCCATCGTTTTGTTCCACCAGTGTCACCTGCCCCTTGCCCCCGCCCTCCGCTTGGCTAGCCTCCTTGCCCTCGACCTGGGGTGGGGCAGGGAAGAATTTCCCCAGCAAGAGCGTATTGCTCTTCCTTGTGATGCAAAGTGTTGGGATGTGGGGGTCTCGAATGGGCTTGTGGGTCATGCAGCGCTGCAGTCGCTTTCCATGCTGGCTTCTCCTGGGCAGCTGCTCTTCCACCTCGAGTGCCGCACCATCTGTTCCATGCTCCACGCCCCAGTTTCCATCCCTGCATGCACCCGCCAGGGATCGAAGCTGCAGCCTTCCACATGCCGGGCAGACCTCTGCCCCAAGCAGTGGCCTTCGCCTAAGTGTAGCGACCTGCAGGCCCTTTGGATGTTTGGGACCGCAAGTCCAATGAGCCCCAGCTGGTTTGGCCAAGGGACTAGAAATATAGAAACATACTGAGTTGGAAGGAGCCTCCCCAGGCATCTAGTCTGACCTCCTGCTGGCTCTGCTGTAATCCCCTGCATGTGGTTGTCCAGTCTTTCCTTGAATGCCCTCACTGATGGGCCCCCACCTCCCATGGAAGCCTGTTCCATCTCCTCGGGGACCTAGCCATCAGGAAGTACTTGCTGACCTCCAACCTGACACCCGGTTCCTTGAGCTTTGCCCCACTGAACCAAATCCTTCCCTCCATCGGGGGAGAACAGGTCACGACTGACTCCTGTGTGACATCCCTTCACATACCTACCTGTTGCTATAATATCCCCTCTGCGTCTGCTCTTCTCTGGGCTAAAAAGACGCTGCTCCTTCAATCTCCTCTCATGGTCCAGAATGACGACCCAGAGCACCTGCGGGGCAGAGCCCAGGGAGGGAGGCGCTCTGACAATGGCCTGCTCAGGAAGATCTGCAGCCGCAGAGAAGGGGCCGGGATGGACTGCGCCCTCCCAGCCACAGCATCCCCAGCCACAACACAGCTGGGCTTTTCCCCCAGACAATATATTTCGGATGAGGATGGGGAGCGGGAGGGTGCTGCCCCCGACCAAGGATTGGAAAGTGCGCTTTCTGCCACCCTCCCAGTCCCCATCGCCTGATCAGGCAAGGCCAGCCCATGGCCTTCCTTTCCGTTAGTTTAGGTTGCATCTTGCAGCATGGCCTCATTTGTCCTCATCTGGAACATACATTTCCTTCAAGTGTAAGCAAGGATCCCTGTACAAAGTGCAACCCACATGCCTCCTTGCAGAGGGAGGAAGCTTTGACCGGATTGCTGCTGATCAGCCTTGAAGGGAAATGTGGCCAGGCATGTTCATGGTTGTTGTGGTTGTGGATAAGTTTTTCTTCTAGTGCAGTGGAACTGCTTCGGTCTTTGGTTAGAAGCTTTGGATGCCAGCTTCCATCGGCCCAGTCAGGGATGGTGGGAGTCACAGACCCAACGACATCTGGAGGGCCACTCCCCACCTCTTTGGAGCTCTAAGTGCTGAGCAGAATGAGCCATTGACTCCATATGATGCCACCTCCTGTGTGGGTATTTAATTAATTTAAGCACACCCTGCTTCACAATCAGGGAATTCCTGAAATGCTCAGTGGAGAGAATGCATGTTTGTTTCTCTCCAAATCACAAATCCTGTCTACAGCCTGCAATGAAATATTTTCCTTGCAAATTTTAGGTCCGAGTGATGGTTGAATTGTGCAACAGCACGAAGGGCGTTTGCTTAACAGGTAGGTGGCAAAGCTGGGGGCTGGACACTCTGGTGGGCTTTCCTTGCGTCCTTTGGCTTCATGGCCACTGCACAGGATGAAGGCAGCTGGAAACGAGGAAGCTGCAAAAGGTGTGATGGTCTGTGGTCCAAAGGCTTCATCCAGGTGAATTGCTAAGCTTAGAGCACCGAAGCATCCCATGCCCTGATCCAGTGGCTCTTCATGCAGTTTACCTTAATCAGCTGTGACTCAGGTCATGGTCCGGAGGGGAGGCTGTCTGGTAATCCTATGTAATTCCTTCCTGGGATGGGAATAGGTGGGAGAGGAAAGAAATTAAGTTCCAGCAAAGAAAGAGGATTGAGCTATCTCCTTGGCTGGTGGTGTTAGTTCCATCCATTGATTTTTTTAAAGATCAAAAAGATCTTTTAAGCCTACTGCTTGGCCACTCGGTTTGCAATGCTTGCAGATGCTGTATCTGATGCTTGCAGATGCTGAGTTATTCCCCATGAAGAAAAGATATCTGTGTGCATGGAAATGCAGGCACAGGCAAGCGGGTTGAAATGCCAGGGATTTCCATCTCAATCTCATCTGAAATAAAGCATTCATGCTATTATTCTTGATACCTCCCCCTGCAAAAAAAGAAATGAGAGTCATGGTCACTTACAGCAAAACTGAAAGCAGATCAAATGCAAACAGCTTAAAAACAATCATTCTCTAGAATACCACCTCCAGCACCACCCCAAATAGTTTGCATCAAAACAAAGCACAATGAATTGTTGTCTGGGACATTCATTCACCGCCCCCAGTCCAGATCACAACCCAGCTAAGCGGGAGCAGGCAAGTCTGAGGTGGGAGTTGATGATGTCAGCATCCCTGCTAGTCCAAAAGTGTCAGCATTGAGTTCTTGGAAACCTGGGCTCCACTGCACCACTGCTTCCTGCACTGCCAGACGTATTGATCCCGGATCTGGGCCACTGTGTTGTTTTGGTATGGTGCTCAGATGCAATGTGCCATTTTATTTGCAGTGCAAACTGGAGATGTGGGAAGGATGTGCTAACACTAAAGAATGTCCAGACTTTAACTCCTGGATTATTTTGGCTGGCACAAGGGAAAAGGCAGTGGAGCAGCTATCCGAAGCGCAAACAGACTTGCCCAGCTGAGCATGTGTTCTGTCAAAGAGGAATGGAGTGGGATTTAGGAAGCTGCTTTGCTTGGGATCAAGGCCAGAGTTTGCTTATTGGATTTTGGAAATTAGCTTTCCACAAACTGAACTGGGGAAAGAGAGCACAAACATACTGGGTAGTTTCTGTGGTGTTCCGACAGAGACAGCAGCGAACGATGCTTTCCTGATTTTTAGGTGGGATTGACTGCTTTTTCTTCACCGCCTGGCTCGTGCTGGCCTGGATGCTCTGGGGTCTCAATAGGGCAGGAGAGCACTTGCGGAATTTTGCGGGAGCGGCATGGGAGCCGTCCCAGGAAGGCTGCCAAGGGAGCAGGGCTTCCCATTCATGCAATGACTGGGCAACAGCAGGCCCCAAAACACTCGTTTCCCAGAAGAAAAATGGCTGAGGCTGAAAGAGAAGTAACTCACCCGAGCATTTAAGTTCAAGGCTGAGGGCTGCATGTGTGCTGGGGTCTGCTTTGAATCCCAGTGACCTTCTCACCTTGCACCATGCCAGCCCCTTTGCTGAAATAATTAAAATAGGTGAAAGAACAAGCCAGACTTCAGGAGCATCAAGGGGGCTGCTGGGGGCAAGTGAGGCGTCTGCGGGTACATTGGAGCTGGTGGGCACGACTTGGGGACCCTAGTCCCAGACCAGAGTGTCTCATTCTTTGGAACCTGTACTTTCTGAATGCTGCCATGTCACGTTCAGCTCAAAGAAAGCACCGATATTTGTCTCAATGATATAATATTTTAGGATAAAATACATTCAGAAATGCATGCTTTGAGAGGGAAAACAAATCTAAAAGTGCACATTCAAAAACACTATTTCAGTACACATTTTTGTGCAGAGTTTAAGAATGTTGATTCGTGCAGAAACAGGATGGACTGGACTTAGAGTGAATGAGCACGTCTGAAGTTGGTGCTCGTGAGAAATTGACTCGTCCGTCCAGCTAGGCCAGCCAGTTGATGTCGCACCACTTTCACCCGCATTATCGTTCCTTCTAATACTGAGCCCAGTGTAGATGTGCCAGCGAGACTTGAGGCAAAATGAGGATGGCGAGAAGTAGGAGGGAGGACACACAGTCTCCACCTGCCAGAGGAAGCTGGGGTCTCTCAAGTTAGTTGGGCCCCCTATTCACTGCAGCTTTCGTTGTGCTCCGTGGAGGTGAACCTATTCACAGTCTGTGCTCAGCACCCTGGAGAGCTCCTAGACAGCTAGGCAGGCAGGCTGCAATGAAGGAAGAGTTCCACTGATGCAGGAGTCACTCATCTCCCCTACAAACAGCCACCAAAAGCCCCAAGATATATGCAGAGCCGGTAGACTTGACATGTCTCGGTGTTCTTGGAACAGAAGCTATATAGTTAAACAGATCTGAAACCAGACAGAAGATGTAGAAATGAAGCTTGCAAAATGCCTGTTGATCTAGATTTCAATGTAGATTTTGATATATAGACCTCAATGTAGTTTTCAGTATGATACCAGAAAAGTCCTTTACATAAGAATTGTCTTTTTGCTTTCAGTGTCAGCTCACACTCACCGTTTTCTCTTCTTCTTTTGTTTATTCTCTAGGACCACCTGGACTGCCAGGTAATAAACCTTTTCTATTATGTTGCCAGTGTGGAGTGGCAATGAGCATGTTGGACTGGGGACCCAGGAGATCACAGTGCTAATTCCTCCTCAGCCACGGGGCTCACGGACTGACTTTGGGCCAGTCGCTGCCTCTCAACCGCACAGGGTGGTGGTTGTGAAGATAACATGGGGTGGATGAAGCTTAATGATTTTATTATTATTATTATTATTATTATTATTATTATTATTATTATTATTATTTTATTTGTATCCTGCCTTTTTCCTACAAAGGGCTCAAGGCAGCTTACATCATTCTTCTTCTCCATCTTACCCCACAACAACAACCCTGTGAGGTAGGTTGGGCTGAGAGTCTGTGACTGGCCCAAAGTCACCCAGTTGGCTCCATGGCTGAGTGGGGACTAGAACCCAGGTCGTCTGAGTCCCAATCCCATGCTCTTAACCACTACACCACACTGGCTCTCTTTTCCGTAAGAATTTCCCCAAGTTGGTATAGATATCAGATCTAGCGCTGGATTCAGATTTAGTCATATAATATAGATCCTCTAAAATGGATTAGACAAACTAATCAGGACTAACTTTATTCCACTGATTTCAATGGATCTTTTCCACTGAAGTACAGCTAGGCTTGCATGTAACTCAGAGTTGTTTCAAGTCTCTGTATTTTTTTCTACCATGTATGCTTTGGAATCCTGCAAATCCACAAACCACTTGAAAGCAAATGCAACAGCTTCAGTCTGCTTTTAATTTTCACATGGTAGTGTCCTTTTCTTCCATATGATATCAATTAAATATTGGAAATTATGAAACTCTGAAGACACTCGTGTCACTGAACTAGGCATTGTTTTTACAACAGTTACCATTTTAAATATTGCTAAAATAGGACACATTTTCATTTGATATGATGCATTTTTAAAAGAAATAAAACATGATGTGAATTTTATTAATTTAGATATACTGTATTTACCACTGAGGCACCTCTCCTTGAATAGGAATACGAAAGCTGCCGGTGGAAAGCATCGCATCAGTTTCATAAATTGTGGGTTGTGCAACTGATGTTTAAACTAGCCCGGGTCAATGTAAGCGATGATTCCCAGCTTGGACAACATGGGATTCTGTGCCTAATTGTATATAAAAAAGTAATGCTTATGCCATTATTTATTATTAGAGGAAGGGATTCTTGGAACTCAGCTCCACCAAAGGAGCCTCTGTTTTGGACCATGCCTTGAGAAGGCATCCAATCTTGTTGAGTACGCAGTCATGCTTACCTGAACCTGGGTTTAGGTATAGTCAGTTCCTAGAAGGAATTTTGCAAAGACATCAAACGAGTCAATCTTAAAGGAAATCAACCCTGACTGCTCTTTAGAAGGTCAGGTACTGAAGATGAAACTCAATTACTTTGGCCACCTAATGAGAAGGAACAACTCACTGGAGAAGCCCCTGATGCTGGGAATGATTGGTGGCAAAAGGAGAAGGGGACGGCAGAGGTTTAGGTGGCTGGATGGAGTCACTGGGGCAGTGGGTGTTGGCTTGGGTGGACTCCGAGGGATGGTGGAGGACAGGAGGGCCTGGAGGAATGTAGTCCATGAGGTCGTGATGGGTTGGGCACGACTTTGCAACTAAACAACAAAAAGAAGGAATTTTGCCCAGGGACCACAGGTATGCCTTGAACTCCATGAGAAAGGAGTGGGATATAGGGAGAAAGGTGGGGTATACATGTAATTAAAAATGAAAGAATTGAATAAATATTTGGTAATGATGGCTGATATCCTGTCTGAAAAGAAGGGATGTCTAAAATGCTTTCTTGTTGATCAGGTCCACCTGGTATTGATGGATTGCCTGGCTTGAATGGCTCAGATGGCCTTCCTGGGATTCCTGGACAAAAGGGAGACTCCGGAAAAAGAGGAAAAATGGGTATATTCTCAGATCTCAGAGATAACTGGATATTGTTTTCTTTATGTATCGTTTCCTATCCACCCCCTTTCCTAGTTCTGTGCTACTAATTCAGAAGCTGAGACCTTTTCTGGTCACTGTCCGATTTCAGACTTCACTCCTAACCTTCTTTAATCCTCCCTGTTGCATCTCACGCTTAGTATTTCACATTCCTGTTGACTTGGTAGGGCCCAAAGGAGATCCTGGAGAAAAAGGTGAAAAGGGAGATCCTGGTGAAATCGGCTTACCTGGGAAAGAGGGGGCACGAGGAGAAAAAGGATCCAGAGGAGCCAAGGGCAACAAAGGCGATGCCAACAATGAACTGATAGCAGAAGGTGAGAGGAAATGTGGTCGCAGAATTATGCTTTGATGCAGCCTCCTCCAGCCTAATGCCCTGCAGAGGTTGTTGTTGTTGTTGTTGTTGTTGTTGTTGTTAGAACATTTCTATGGTTCTGGGTCCTTGGCCAGGAATCCTGGGAGTTCTTGTCCAAGGCATTTGGAGCTTTTTCTCCAGATACTAGACAGCTGGGATCTGGACATGCAGGGTACCAGCTTGAGGAAGTGCATGGTGAAAAACAAAAACTGGCTGTCCAGCTCCCATTGAGTGATCTTATGCTTCGTGAATTGTTGCCTTTGCCCCCGTTTTTGCCTGGTGCATACTTCAAGCATCTTTGTTGCTGGGTCCATGGATTCATTGGTGGACTTCAGGAAAGCCACCAACGCTCAGCCTCCATCCATCCAGCTGGGGATAGGAGTGTCCAGTCTCAAAGAATGTCTTGGTAATGTCTTAAGGAGACTCCCACTGGGTCAGACGAGGGCTGTCCAGTCTACCATCCTGTTCCCCACCATTGCCAACCAGATGCCACATGGGAACCCCACCAAGACATGAGGGAATGACCCTTTCGCAAGGTGACTGATCTGGGAGGTGGTGTGTGTATCCAACGAGGGTTGTTCCTTCATTGCAAGGGGACGCATCCTGCTGTTCAACTGAAAATCCTTCCAGAGTGATGTGCTCTGCAGAGTTCAGCAGTAAGATGGCTTCTGCTTGCAGGTTTGCAGTCTCAAAAAACATGACAGAAAAGGCAAAGGATTTGGGAGGGTGGAGAGAGAAGAAGCAAGCGAAGCACTCGTTCTTAGTTACCTGTGTAGTCCTAGCAGTCAAACTGTCTTCTCAGAAGTGGCTGCAGTGCAGCTGCTGACTGCAGAAGGGGCGAGATGACCTTCCTTCTCTTCCCCCAAAGTGTCACGCCCTAAAGTCATGGGGTCCTTTTGCCTGTTCAGAAAGTACCCACCCCCCACCCCAGTTTCAAATGCAGCTTCCTTTCCCATCGCTGGAGAAGGGCTGTGCACAGCCGCCTGCACTGGCAGGGGAGGGAGGGCAGGGAAGGGAAGGGAAGGGCCCTGCACAGGCTGAATTTGTCCACCGGCCAGACATCTTATGGCCTCATCTAGAGCAAACCAGTTAAAGGTCTCCGGTTAGATCCCAGTGTTCGTCCTGCCCATTCCTGGCATTAACAACTTCGCATTGAAGCTGTGGATCTAACTTTGGCATAGGGCAGTCGGAAACTCTGGGATTGCCAGGTGAAGCCAGTGTTGGCTCACGGACTCTGGTTGGTCCAGATCTGAAACTGTGACCAGCCAAGAGAGAAGTTCCCACACACAGGACCTGCTTGAAAGCATCTCCTGGCCTGACGGCTACAAAGCTCACTTGCGGTTGTGCTTCCTCTTCTGCTTGCTCAGGTGAGAAGGGTGATCCTGGCCCACCAGGCCCCCCCGGCCCGCCAGGCCCCCCCGGGCCCCCAGGGAAGCGCAAAGGAAAACCCCCAGCTCAGGAGAAGATCTACAGTGCTGAGTGCACAGGTGAGTGCTTCTTGACGATGCAGTGCCGCGGCAGTTCCTGTCCAACAGGTGCGAGCCTCTGCCCTGTACCAAAGCTAGAACATCCTGCCAGGATGGCTGTCCAGCCTCTCCTGAAGGACCCCCATGTGGGAGAGCCCAGCAGACCTTTGGGGAACTGGCGTCTTTGTCAAGGTGCTCTTACTGCTACGATGCTTCCACTGTTTGACTGGAACCCACCCTCCTGCCGCTTAAATCCGGAAGATGGATTTAAGAGCTGAGAGTGAGCTTACGGCAGCCTCTCGGGCGCTTGAAGAGCGCAGCCCTGTCCCAACAGTCTTCTCCTTGCCAGGGTTTTGCACAGGGCGAGGGACTGCCCTTAATTTCACCCCTTCTCTCTCACTCCCCGAACGTGAACTCAGATCAGTAGTTGGAGTGAGTTTATGGGAGAAAAGACACACCCACCCAGCATCGTCGGAGAGACCAAAGAGCAGGGAGATCTCATGGGCTTGCATGGACAATTTGCTTCTAGGAGTACAGCTCAGGGTCTGGAAAGGACAAGGCTGTGTTTAAATTAAAAAACTCCACTGGTGGTCTTGGGAAACAGGTCTCCCCACAACTATGAGCCTTTTATCTGGTGTTTTGCTGGAGGCCCAGAAAGATTGGCTCTGTATCTGTGCATCTTGATAGCCGCTTTGGGTAGATTTGGCTGAGAACTCTGACAGTGCAGAGAGACTGTAGATCACAAAGTCACAAAACTGGAGCGGGGCTTTGGTAGACCATCTAGGTCAGTGCGGGGAATCCTGAGCCAAGGCCTCTCTCCATGAAGAGTTTCAAGTGAGGGAGAGACCGGGTCAAGTGTGAGCTTGTGCGATCGACCCCTTTGCAAGGACATTGACTTCTGCCATCTGGAGCCTGTTGCAAAAGACACATGTTTGGAATTAAAGGGTGTGTTTTGCATGCAGCGCTCGCGGTCCTTCTGTGCACAAAACCACATCAGAAGCTCTCGTCTTCTCAGCAGCATCGCTGGGTGGGAGGATCTGCTCCGTGGCGTTCGTCGTCAGAGCAGTGAGATCCTGGCCAAGGTACTGGAAGCCATCCAGGGACCTGCTGTGCCTCTGGATCAACCTTCTCCTGCCTCTGTTCTAGGCCACAAAGTGGGGCATCAAAGGGTCCCAACAGGCAGCTGCCCAGAGAAGAAGCTCACCAGTCCTGCAGGCATTGGCCTCCACTGCCCAACTGTTCTTACCCCTCGGGATGGTCACTCGAGATCTCCTCTCTGGCCACTTAACCCTGTTGGATCTAGCCCTGCCCTGGTCATGGCTCCCTAGCTTTGGCTGCAAGAGCGAATAACCTCAGGGCATGATGACAGGGATGGATAAATCGTTTTTCTGGCAAAAGCATTTTTTTTACAAGCGTGGATTCTCAGCCTTTCATGCACAGGTTAACTGCTGCCTGCACTCCAGTGCAGTTGATTCATTGATTAAATCTTTATCCCACCATTTCCCCTTTTGGAAGGAACCCAGGGAGTCTCACATGGCCCTCATGCTTTCCATCTTCACAGCACCCCTGTGAGGTTGGTTAGGCTGAGGGTCAGTGACTGGCCCAGAGCTTCATGGCTGCCCAGGGGCAGAGCTGGGACCTCCTGGGTTCCAGTCCAACACGCTCATGCGCACCACTGCGCTGCACTGGCTGCCTTTCAGAGAGCCGTGCTGGTGTGCCGATCCCATCGGGAACCTGCCTGCAGATCTGGTGCTAGAGGAATTAGAAGCGTCGAAAGACACGTATTCTTTCTGCAGAAGCTGAGAGCTTCCATGTGGCTTTGCACGTGTTGGAGAAGGTGGCTGCATGATGCTCGTGATACCATTAGTATTGCTAGGGCTGCCTGAACCCTTCAGAAGGATTGTGTGCATGCTTTGCACGAACGCTTTGTGCAGTGTGCAGCATGCCCCCCCCCCCTTTAATAGCAATGTCATTTCCCACCACCAGCATGTGCAGGATCATCCGGACACCAGTCAGGCAGCTTCCGTGATGCTCCCTGCCCACAGCTGGCCAAGTGGCAACAGTGGCGGTGACCCTCCCTCCCCACTCCTTAAACCATTCCAGCTGCAGCTATGCCAATTCCAAGCAAGGGTATTGAGACACTGTGCCATCACTCTGAATTGGCTTCCCGCCCCCTGCTTTCAGATATTTCATCACAGTATGATCCCCAATATGATGTTTTGATGATGCCGACCTCCAAGTGAATGGGAGAGAAGGCCTCACAAAGAAGGTGGGCTTTGGGGGGGTGGTGAAATGGCATGAGAGAGTTGGTAATTTGGGCTCTGAACAGACAGCCTGGAGTGTGTGTGTGTTGCAAGCTATGGGTATGGTTTCTATTCATTCCCTGCTCTAAATTCCAGTCTCTTGTCATCTGAGGGCTCGTGGTGTCTGAAAAGGGAGGCCACATATTGCGGAATCATTTCCTTTTGTTTATATTTCACTGCTCAGCTGGCCATGAGCCAAGCCATTTACATGTAGCCTTCCTTCCTTCCAGGCCCAGTCCTGCTTCACTGTTATAGTATTGACAGCATCCTATGGGTTCCGGATGTTTTATTTGAATTCATGGCCATTGCAGCTCATCTGTAGGTTTGCATTCAGTGTCACACTCATTTAGGCTTTGGACACGTTCTCCTTCGCTGCCAGAGGGATTGCTACTCCATTTCTGCACTGGGGTCAGAAATCATAAAGCAGCTCACTTTTGCCGTCCTATTTCTGGAGCATCTCACCTTTCAGGCGTAAGATGGGCCCTGTCTTTAGTAATGTGCCTGTGAAGTGGGAACATGGCCCTCTTCCAGTGCTCAGAACAGAACGTACCACTTCAAGGATGCTGGAGAAGAACATTTCTCTTGCTCTCTCCTCTTTGTACTATTTTGGGGGCTGCTTGATTAGCTCGCTGTAGGAATTGGCGCCCCACTGGTTCCATCCCCTGCTGTGTCTAGCTTCTGTCTTATCTAATGAGAAGAAACGGAGATAATGTGTGGTATGGATATGAACAGCCGTTTGCATTTGAGGTTTCCACTAGCCTTGGCTTGGCTAGTGGAGACCGCAAATGAGCTTACCCCAGTGCTTAACCCATCAGTTTCTCACAGCTCAGTGGTAGAACACACGCCTTGTTTGCACAAGTGGCCAGGATCAGCCCAACGTTTTGGACTTCAGTACCCCTCAGTCCTGGCCATTGTCCCTTCTGGCTGCACCTGATGGGAGCTGTAGCCCAAAACATCTTGAAAGCACCAGCTTGGGGAAGTCTGGTGTAGAGAAGGCTGAGCTCGGCCGACTTGGTCTCAGGTGGCTTCCTGGGTTCATCTTGCCCTCATTCTGCTGGCTGAAGTTCTGATGCAGACGTCTGAGAGCTGGGTGCAAGGTTCCGAGATGGAAGAGCTGCGACTGGGTCTCCATGCTTTAAAGCAATTTTCAAGAGTTTGATTCCCTGATTTTGCTTGGGGTAGTAGCACTTGGGGAAGTTTGTTTTCAACCCTTTCCATAATATGGTTTTTGAGATTTAGGTGCCCACCATGATATTTGCACTGTATGTGTTTGGTAGGATGATGCAAACAGTCACAATACAGGCATGAGTTTCCCATCATCCCTGTGGGACTGAGAATAACATTGAGGAACGGTTAGTGTAGATCTGGAGAAACAGCACAGGAGGAAAGTACCAGAATCATAGTCATGCTGAACTCCCAAACGATGTTTAAGAAATGACTGCAGAGCTCGATTTTGGCAGCAAGCCTGCAAGCGGACCTCTCACAAGGAGTAGCAGGCTTCAACACGCAGCATTTCTGACTGCTGGCCACGCTGGTAGGTGCTTCTGGAATTTGCTGTAAAACATCTGGAGATGTGTCACTGCTCACTCTAGCTTGAAACCATGGCTTAACTTTGGTTAAGATAGATTTCCCATCTTTCCATCCACTTTACTTACATTGTGTCTCTGAGGAGCAGGACTTAGTTCGGCAAGTTAAGCCATGGTTCAGTGTACGTCCAAATCATAGCATGGTTAAGTGAGGTAACTGATCTGAGTCAAAGGTGAGGTTCAAGCCCAATATGGGACTGACCCTTTCAGTGAGGAAACATCTCTAGAAGGAGGAACAAGCTCTCCTGAAATCACTGAGCTTAAGGGTATCTCACTCTGCAACGGACTGTGGCCTGTGTGTACTAGCTTTCCTTTTTCTGACATTGTTCAGCCCACGTTTAATTCTTCTGGGATTTTGGCTTCAATGTGCAAGCAGTGGTTCTCTTACATTGGCAAAGCTCCACATGCACATGGTATTCCTGATTCCTTTCATGCCCAGGGAGATGGCTTGTGTGCAGAAGCAAGACTGTACCCCGTGAGCTCTTGAAATCCAAGCTTCCTCCAGTGGTAATAGACTCTGCTGGCTCCAGCTTTTGGAGGACCCTTGGGCAAGCCTGCCAGGGAGCCCCTGATGACCACCATGGTCTTCAGCTGCTATTGCCCCTCCTGCCATTTCCCAGCATTGCTGTCCTTTTCTCAGCTGGCAGGGCATCTCTTGCTCCTGCTTCTCTTCACCACCACCACCACCTGGGCCAGCACGAGAAGCAGATGAACAGGCAGCTTGCAACCGTGAAGGCCAAGTCGGGGGGCTGTTGTCCCTGGGTGGTGCCCAACCGTGCCTGCACTTGACGCCAGCCCTGGTAGTGAGCCTTGCCTGAGCGATGGGCATGGCTATGACTTTCAGACTGATGTCTAGATACGTATCTTACAGAGAAATCTTCAGGCCTTGGATGAACTCCAACTGAAAACATCGCTGGCCTTAGACTTTCTGTTTCTTTTTGTTAAAGGTTATTCCAAAGCACAAACCCCTGCTGTTAGCTTCTTCGGGAATGTGAGCGCAGGCCTTGACTGTTCCACAGGAAAAGATTACATGCTGTTTAAGGGTGCTGCTGTTACTCTTAAGGACATGAACTGGGGAAAGTGGATGGAGATGATCACACAGACACACACAATAAGCAATAGCTTTAGGAGAGCAAAGGAAGAGACTTCATCAATGTGCAATTTATCTGTGGCTTTGTGATGCATCCAACCTGCTGGGTTTTTTGATATTATGTGATATACAGACACAAATGATGCATAGAAGCCACCAGACTTGGTGCGTATGTTGCAAATGTCAATTCTTCCCAGGTAAGGACCCCTTAAGAGGAACAGCACATACTTCAGCTATGGTATTACCTTGGTTTAGCACGTATTTCCCTCTCACCTTCTTCTGCATCCCCCCCCCACATTACCATGTGCTTTAACAAGCAATAGAGCCATTCTGTGATAAAACCTGAGATTGTACCACATCTCAAGTCCTATAAAAATGACACCTTATCACGGACACTGAGGAAAATTAAGTCTGCCCCTATCTTTTTCCTGAGCGTCCTTTGGTGCATTGTATAATTTGGGATGATACTGCCTCTCAATTTCATGGCCTGATGACTTAAGAACAAGAACATCAAACAGCTCAGACTGTCTGCATTGTTTTGCTTAGTTTTCTGAATGTACTCTTTCAAAACCTGCCAACTCTTTCCTCCTCACAGCATATGTTATCTAAATCTACCCCCCCCCACCCCCAACCCTGGAATAAAGCCATTTACAGTGTTGGTTGCTCCAGCAATAAACCTGTCCAAACCTAAATTAAAAAAGAAAGAAAAGAAAATACCAGAAATTGGATTTGGCCAAAGAAACGACCAGCTAGGAAGTTCCATTTCAACCATATTCATTTTATTGAGATATTTAAAAAGCCACAGCAAGATCTGGCTATCTAGAAATAGTTCTACCTTTATTAACTGAAACTAAACAAAGATGCAGGGCTTGGGAAGATGTGGACTAGGATCTCTGTGACTGGGCTAATATAATATCACAGTACGCAATGCTTAATCCATTCATTGTAAACTGGACTTTATCCTGATGCACTGGATCAAAAACAATGAAACCCAAGACAATGTACAGCCACAAGTATTGTCAAAACCGTCATCAATGCAGTTGTGTAATAGTTCCATATTGCATAACAATATTCAGACATAGAACAGTTGGAAGGGCATTTCTAATCTTAGGACTGTATCTGTGTTATGGTACTTCTGGCACCAGATTTAATAAGGGCTGTTCTACTTTTTGCTTTGTTTTTAAGCAAAGACCATGTTTCTTTAATATTCCTAGTGCTTCATTTTAAAGGTCTAACTTTGATGCTGTACTGTAAAAGCTTTCTTTAGCTTTTAATTTTATTTTTTGAAATTTCGCATGCTGTGCACTGCTTTAACATTTCTATTATTATCATATGGTTTTTACTGTCTGCAAGTCCCTCTGGAAGCTTTTATTCTGAAAACCTTTAAATAAATAAATGCTATGTTTTGAGGTGGTATTTTTAAAATGCTGAAACAATACAAAAATAACCAGTGGATCAACAATTATTGTTGCTTGTCTGTTTCGACTGCTCTGCAAATTAAAATTGCCTGCCCAAAGAATCATAGCTGTTTTTTTCCCCCTCCCTCTTTCCTGTCCACAATTTTAGGGGAAACGTGTGCCATCCCGAATGATGATACCTTACCTGCAAGAGCAAAAGAACGGGCACACCTTTATCAGCCCAGAAAACCCGGTAATCCATTCTAAGCTTGTGCTAAATTACTACCTCCTGGCCCAGAACTAATGTTCCCCATACTGGGAATGCTCTCCCCTAGAAGATTCAGCTGGAGCCTTCCTTATATTCTTTCCGGCACCAGGCAAAGACCTTCCTTTTAAAATAATATTTTAACAGTTAATGCCACTTGACCTTTGTTTTTGTATTCTTATCTCTATTTTATTGATATTGTGTTCACTATGTTGCGATTGGTTTTCATTGTGTATTATCTTGTGATTGTGAGCTGCCCAGAGGTGCTGTGGCACAATTAAACAGCATGCAAATGTTTTGAATAGATAAATAAATAATGCTGTGTCTCCACCTCAGAATGCCTCATTGAATCCATTGGAAGCCCTTCTGAGATTATAAAACTGAGACAGAGCTATGGAGCGTGGATGATGGATCTTTCAAACAGAACCGATGAGAAGATTTGGATCGCCGAGCATTTTACAGGTTGGTCTCGGCTCTTGCTGCTCGCTGAGCCACCTCAGCCAAAACCACCTCACAGGGTGGTTGTGAGGGTGAAACGACAAGCGAAGGTGCCATCTACACACCCCTGAACTCAGTCACACAGGAGAAAAGCTTAGCAGGCACTGTGATCGTTCTGTGACTGCCTGCTTGGAAGGGCAGAGAGCTACTTTCCCAAGACGGTTGCTGGTAAGAACAGGTGATTGCATGGGAGCATGTTGTAAAAAGAATTTGTGAGACTTCTCAAATGTCTTTCTCTTTGGAAAGAACTGGAAATTAACAATCAAAAGCAAATGTGGGAGAAACCAACATGGACAGAATCATAATCCTTGGCCCAGGGCTTTGAGTGTTAAAAACCTGGTGTGAATTCAACTCTGCTTCCTGCTAAATTGGAGGTGCCGCCTCTTCTTTGCTGCTCTTTCACAGTAGCCATGTGGCAGGCAGGTACAAGGTGGATCTCTCCTTATTGGAGACGGTAATCAGGGATCTACCAAGCAGATGGGAAGACGCAGCATCCAGCTTTGGGCAGAGCAAATCCTACAGCAATTTTGCTTTGTTTCAAGGGCAACCCTTCCGTGCCCTTCTTGCCCTTTCAAAATGCAGGGGGAAATCATACCCGATTTCTATAACTGGGTGATCCAAGGAAGTCTGGCAGGTTCCACGGATGCACATTGCAATGCCTACCATGCCTCCTCCTTCGCACAGGTCACATCATCCGAGAATACCAGGACATTGTGGCGCTATGGAACAACAGTTACAACACCACGGAGCTCCCCTGGCAATATTACGGCTGCGGCCACGCCGTCTACAACAACGCTCTGTACTACCAGCGTGTGGGGCGCAACATCATTGTGAAGTAAGGGGCCCGAAGAAGGACTGGCAATTTCTGCCATCGCAGTCACTGCTGGCTGGGGAGGGGGATCCGGGCACCCCTCCTGGAGGAGCAGACGTGACCCTCTTTCAGCCACAGGCCATATTTCATTTTGGGGATGCTCTGGGGACAATGGAGGGTGGGCCAAAGGCAAGGTGGAGCGGGAGCAAGGGGTGTGAGGACCGCCTTCCCAAATTTATTCATTCATTTAAAGTTTTTCTATGCCATCCATTACTCAAAAAGTCTCTGGGTGGCTTACAAGGAACAAAAACCATAACAGCAACAACGCACAGCACACTGCATCTATATATAGTGACAAAAGCAAAGATAAAGCCAACTCATCATTAAAATACCAGGAAACTAAAAAGGTCTTTGCCCGGCACTGAAAATAATAGTGTGATGGCACAAGGCAAACCTCCCTGGGGAGCGTATTCCACACTCGGGGCACCACCGCTGAAAAGGCCCTTCTCCGAGTAGCTACCCTCCTGATTTCCTTTAAAGAGGGTTACCGGAGAAGGGCCTCTGCCTCCGATCTCAAGGGACAGTCGACACATAGGGAAGAAGGTGCTCCTTCAGGTATCCAGGATGCAAGCTGTGTAGGGCCTTATAGGAGACTCCTGCAAGTCCCTTGGACAGCAAGCTGATCAAACCGGTCAGTCCTAGAGGAGATCAACCCTGACTGCTCTTTAGAAGGCCAGATCCTGAAGATGAAACTCAAGTACTTTGGCCACCTAATGAGAAGGAAGGACTCCCTGGAGAAGAGCCTAATGCTGGGAACAATAGACGGCAAAAGAAGAAGGGGGCGGCAGAGGATGAGGTGGCTGGATGGAGTCACTGAGGCAGTTGGCGTGAGCCTAAGTGGACTCCGGGGGATGGTGGAGGACAGGAAGGCCTGGAGGAATGGTGTCCATGGGGTCGTGATGGGTCAGACACAACTTCGCGACTAACAACAACAACAACAAGGTTATTACCAGCACCTTAAATTGGGCCCGGAGTTTAATTGGCAGCCAGTGTAAGCGACACACTGATCAAATGATCAGTGACATTGTACAAATGACCGGGATATGGTCACTTCCAGCTCTTACTGCCTTAGGAGAGGCAGTTCAGCCTTTCAGGTAGAAGCTGGGAACCCAGCACAGGATCCACTGGGGAAAGGGGGCGGGCTGAGCGAATGGCGTGTGGCCCTCAAGGGGCCCCCGGATGGCCTGATTAGGACTGGCTCTGGAGGCCCTGCAGTTGCAGAAGGGCCCAGGATGTGGGGCAGGGGAGGCGGGTGTAGAACTTTGGGGCAGCCCCTGGGAGATGGTAGCAGGGACACTAACATGGCCCCCAAGAGGAGAAGCTGTTGATACAGGTTTCCTGGGTGGAAGCACGTGGGCTGGTTGATCTTTGAGTGGGTGAACATCAGCCTGTGCCAGGACCGCTCTCCACTCAGCCACTGCGCACTTGGAAGAAACCTGGTATTTTCCCGAATGCCCAACAAATGATGCCCCCGAACTCTGTCTCTAGCAGCAGAAGTGAACCACCTTTTCGTCCATGTTTTTCTTTGGCCGCTCACTTACTGTCAGTGAAAATTATTGGTCCAGAGGGCTTGATCCAGATTAGAAGCACAGTGTGGACCTGCTAAACCCAGCTAGGCACCTTTCCTGGATTCCCCCTTGCACATATCTTATTTTATGTTTTTAATGAGTCTCTCCTGCCTTTATTCCTCTTGGAAAGAACCCAAAGCAACTTAGATGGTCTTCTTCCTCCCCATGTTATCCTCTCAACAACCCTTTTAGGTAGGTCGGTCTTTGGCTGCATGGGGGTGGGAACCCAGCTCTCCAAGCCCCAGACCAACACTAACCACTGCACCTGCTCTCTGCCGTTCTAGTATGAAAGAAGGAACAACTCAGCCCCTCAACTTCTTCAGTCAATCTGACTATTTGGAGGTGACAAAGACCCATCTGCCACTGCCGTCTGTCCATCTACCTCACTCTTGCCATGAGTGCTTGCTTGCCCAGTGTTCACACTGGGCTGTGTCTCATACTTGTTTGAAGAAGTTTCGCTCTTATCCCCTCTTGGCAGATTCCTGCAGGAAATCTGTCTCTCCCTTCAGGTTTTGCGGCACTGCCGTTTTATCAAGATTGGCTTTCAAGCTCACGGTGGTGCACAAGTCCAGCCGTTTTGGATGTCATTAGCTTCCATTGTGTAGGAGCTGCGAGAAGGAGATGATGAGACCTTAGCCTTGGCTTCATGGGATGTGTTGGCAACATTTCCAGCCAAATTCAGACTGGCCTCTGGTGCAACGCAAGCTCCAATCAAACTCCTGATTTGGAGCCAACAACAACATCTCCCTTTGAAGGCAGCTGGCTGGTAGCTTCTCCCTGCTCTGTCGTAGGTGGAGATGGAACCAAACCAAGGAAGGTGCTTCCTGGGATGGCCATTAGTTCTGTTCAAGGTGCTCTCCTTCAAGCACAGCCAGGACTGCATTTGGGAGAAGACGCTGAAGGCTTTGAGGCATGGGCTTCCTCTAGGAAGAGCTTGCGAAGACGCGCCAGTTTGGTTCGCAGTGCTAAAGCCGTGATCCAAATGGTTTCCTTGCCTGGAAAATGTCCCAGGCCAGATGGTGCGATAGCCCTCAGGAGGAAGGTGGGAGGCCCTGGGTGCCCCTAGCAGCCTATAATTCCCATAAGCCACAACCATCATGGCAAATGGTCAGAGAGTAGCCCTAAGTATCTGGGCAGTGCCCACTGCCTCCGTCTGGATGTCCTCTCCTGCCAGAGCTCTGCAGCATCCTTGGAACGTGCAGGGCACGGCAATGCCTACTCTCTGTAGTGCCCAACCTGTGGGACCTTCTCCCAGAAGGGCTGCAGCTGGCTCCTGAAGTGATTAGGATGCTGCTAAACGCTTCTGCTCAGTCTGCCATGCCCTGGAGGGCCTGCTGGGACCTTGAAAAGAATTCTGTGATCTTGTAGGGGTTTCTGCTTCCTATGCCCGATGCGCCAAAATTGAGATATTGCCCTCGAGTCACAGGGGAGACTATGAAGAGCCAAACCGTTGGAGCTCCACCTGTTTCGTTCTTCCATTCACTGAAAAACCATTTCGAGCCCCGACTCACCCCACCTTTCCCCCTTAACATTTCTTGCAGGTATGACTTTGCCACACAGGAATCCCAAACCCTCCAGATAGAGAATGCCTGGTACTATGACCGCATGTACCTCTTCAGCGCTTCCAAGTCCTACTTCAGTGTGGCAGTGGATGAAAATGGACTTTGGGTGATGTACCATTCCCGGCCCGACGGGCACATCGCTGTTGCGCAGCTGGACGAAGAGACGCACTCCGTGCTGCGGAACATCAACACCACCTACCCGCAGTCCAAAGCTGGCAACGCGTTCATCGCCTGCGGGGTGCTGTACATCACGGACAAGAACCACGCCTGCGTGGCGTTCGCCTTCGACCTCTTGCGCGAAAGGCAATTCGACGCCAGCTTCAAGCTGAACCTGTCGCTCTCCGACGCGCGTTTTGAGAGGCAGCTCTTCCCGCCCAAGCAGGACAACACGGACTTCGTGCCCGTCCTGGCCATGCTCTCCTACAACGCGGTGCACAGGAACCTTTACACATGGGAGCACGGCTTCTTAATGCGATACCCTGTCCATTTTGCCAGCTGAGTGCCCTCGATGCTGTGCCCACCAAGCTGCCTTTGCCTTCGTAAAGGAGGAATCCATTTTGGAGGGCAAGTTTTTAGTAAATACACATTTCCTATTTAAGGAGAGTTGAACAATGTGTGTTTGTTTGCACACACACACATATAGGGAAGATTATGAACCAGTGTGTGGATTATGCAAGTAGGCTGCTCTTGGCTTTATAGAACAAAGGCTGCATAATATTACGGCTGATGTCCATGCCAGCAAAACCCAAAGAGCCTTTTGTTTCCTTGCGGCAGTCTGTCTGTGAGTGTGCGTGTGCATCTGTGTGTGGAAAGGGGCTCGTGGGTTGGGAGGAAGAAACTTTCAAATGCCATGTGTTTCAAACAACCTCCATGATGAAGTCATCTGTCTTCTTGTGGAAAATCGGAAGGGTCCTCTCCTCTTTGCTATTTTGCTTTGGGTATTTTATTTTTTTTTTTAATTGTCTATCTGGAGGCAGGAGCCGTGAGTGACTCAGATGCATCAGAACTGCAGCTGATAGGATTTCAGAAAGCTAGTTCCAGAGGCCGGCCCATCAACCAGTTTAAAGCATGTCAGGAAGCAGGCCAGATGTGGTACCTTTTCGATAATCCAGCTTCCAGAGGGAAAATGGATCTATTGGCATGCATTTTGAGAGGCAATTGTTACATTGAAATGTATGCAAATCTCTGTGTTGGATCAAAATCAGGGTACCTGCAACTGGGCTTGGGGGATCAGGTTTCTTTGCTCCCTTCCTTGCATGGGACCCCTGATAACCCCCTAGAGGCAGCACCAAGGGTTGTGGGGATGAGCTGCGTTGCGGGGGGAAGGGATGCCCCAGAACTGGGCAGAGGCACTTCTGGTGAGTGGAGCTGTTCCATTCATCCATGGAAGGTGGAATGGAGACCCGTTCCTTATATCCTTCTATCTCCCGGATGTTGAGGATAACAGACTCTATACTGTTAACCTAAGTAACCTAATTCAGGTCCAACCTGCACTGTTTTCAGTGGATGTGGAAATGGACCAGAGGTACACATTTTCGCATTGTGTGCACTTCCATCCTGAGCTCTTTTCGTCCCCTTGCAAAACCTGTTGGACAAGAAGATGGTGGGACAAAAGAACAACCTCAAAGCAACAGTGGTGCATTATTAGGGCCGACTGAACCATCACAAAGAAGGGGGCAAGTTTTTATATTTTATTTTGTTAGACTGGATGCTCAGTGAACAAACTTGAGGTGGATATTTAGGTGAAGAACAAAATACAAGAAAAATAAGATACATCAGAGCATGGTGAAAAATCACTGAAGAACTCAGGTAGTAAATGTTTCATGACGATCATCTGGGATGCCCGACATTTCTCTCCAATTCTCATTTTTCCAGCTTTCTTTTGCTTCTTTCTGCTTTTGCATCAATTTGGATTTTTTTAAGTCCACACACACAAATTGTGTACATTTCCGTGTTCTTCTAATACGTACATTTTTGTGCAGAATTGAGCCTAATACATTTTCCAAACCATTTTTCTGAATCTGCTGCATTTTTGAACATTTCCACTAATCTTCACTTTTCTGTTCACCTGTCTGCATTCTTATTGGGGAAATGCATTGCAAAATTTGGAGAATACCAAAGAACAGTTAGGTTTCAGGTCATGCTTTGCTTTAGGATATGCAGAGCAGGCAGGTTTCTTATTGAGATGGGAACCAACCTAACTTCTCCCCCATCCTTAACTGGGAGTAAGTCTCATTCAGCTCAGTGTGGCTTATGTCTGAGCAGACATGGATCTGATTGCACTGACAGAGGCGGTGATCTCCTCTTCCTGGGATCAGAACAGATTTCAACTTGCATCCTGAGCTACTGAGACAAAGAAGACACCTCGCTCTCACTGAGCGAAACTGAGACACCTCGCTCTCACTGTTACTGTTTGAGGGGAACATAGGAGGACAAAGAAGAACCATCGACAATGAACTGCTACGCTGGCTGCAGCAGGCCAGTAGGAGAGATGCGAGGGAGCCATCATTCCTCCCCTAGCCATTTTGGCAGAAGGCAGTTCTTTTTTTACTGCCTTAACACGGAGTAAGCAGCTTCCTTCCTCTGCAGCTAGCATGAAAACCCACAAGGCTATTAGACATGCAAGAGCTGGGTTCTTTCTTCTCATCACTGAATCTCAGTCCTCACCTCGCTCTCACTGTTACTGTTTGAGGGGAACATAGGAGGACTCAGGCACCCTGCAAGAGGAAGAGAGGAGTAATATGATTTTAATAATTCCTTAATCCAAGTGAAAGAAATGCGAGATGACAGGAAAAGCTGGCCAGTGGAATAGAAGCTGTGAACAAGAGCTATGGCAGGAACCATGCTGTTTTAAAGCTCAAGACACAACCTAGGCAAGTTTTGACAGAAGAACGTCCTAGGGACTTCCAGAAACCTTAAAATTCCACTCCCATCCGCTCCAGTCACCACAGATTATGGTCAGAAATGCTGGGAGCTGTAGCCCAAAGCATCAGGGGGCATCAGCCTGAGGAAAACTGCTCTAATTGAGTTCCGTGGGGTGCGGACACATGCATGCACCGAATTCCATCAGTTGCTGCTTTAGCAGGTGAAGTTGTGCCCGGACTACAGAAGCTTCTGCTCAGATAGAGTTGTTTGCCTTGAAGGTGCTCCTAGACCTGCTATTTTAGCCCAGTTTTCACCAGCCTTATGAAAAGGAGTGTGCCGTCATAGTATTCCTTGTCCTTTCCCATCTGAAGCCTATGAATGTCTTCCCTTTAGAAATTGATGGGCTTCCAAAAAAGGCACTTAAGCATCATCTCTGGAAAGCAAAGATCACTTTGCAATGTTTACAAAGTTTAGTTGGAACAATGTTCAGTTGGAACAAATGCTTGGGGCATTCGTTCCAATTAAACACTGGAATTTAATTTGTGGCAATTAAACCTTGCAAGGCCTTTTGCTACTGCAACAGACAAAAGAAGCAGAGTGTTCCATGAAATAAGCAGAATTTATTTAACTTACAAAGGTTAAACTAACAAATGACATTTGCTTTCTTCTCCTATACATACATCACAGCTTGCAATTAAAATTGCCTTTAGACAAAAGGTGCATTTTATTCCATCATATTTTCCTCTTTTACAATACAGCACAGACACCAAAATTCTCATTGGAGGGGGTAAAATTACAATGTGTTAACATTTAAATACACAGACATCAACTCTGTTATCTTGGTAAGAATGTCTCTTCCTGTTTACAACAGAGAAAAATACATCTAAATATGACAAACAGTAGCTGGTATCTTACAAGCAAACAATGTTGACCTCTGCATAGTTTATACAATATGCTGTGGAAACAGTTTAGATTACCAATCTTGTCAACTATTTACTAGCTGGCCACATGTAAACCCGACATTCATCTGAAATGTGGCATTATAAGGATCTATCAGTGTTTCTTTAATGAAGTTCTGTTTGCTTTTATTCTGGATAAAACAAAACTCAACAGAATGATCAACAGAAGTAGGCTCCCCTTCTCTACAAACACCGAATGCTCACGATTACATTCCTAATGCAGAAGGCAGGACCGAAAATAAGCGAGGGTCAAGGAGCAAAAGGCCGGAATACAAGGACTCGGTGCCACCCATGAAAATGGAAGCCCCATGTTGAATTCCTTCCGATGCTCCACAGTGCCTCTTGTCCTGATGTCATGACACTATTTGAGTCCCTTCCCTCACCGGCTGGTGTGGGAAAGAAGGTAGAGGAACAGCGCAAATACTGTTGACCAGATCAGAGTAAGATGTACTTAATATTATAGAGGGGAGCAGAAAATACAACACAGGGCTTCCATTTTCAGCGGCCGTCCCAGGTATGTCCTGCTCAAGAAGAGAGAAGATCAAAAATAGTGTGCAATTGAAGGGAAATTCTACTGGTTCTGAGACATGTGCTTCTGTGCAGTTTATAGTACCAACTGTGCCTTAATACTAACTTGGAGGAGGGAAAGAGAAGGGAGATAAAAGGGTCTCAGCATCGAGTAAGATACACACTAGCCCTGGTACATTCCTCATTGGTCCACGGACTACATGGCCATCACATTTCGGTAGTGGTACAACCCAAAATAATAGTAATAACAATAAGAAACAACATAAAATCACACTCACTCGGAATACCCTTCATCGTGACAAATTAGTTTTGAAATGGAGGAGAAAAAGATGCGGACATGCTTCAAATCAGTGGCAAAGTTGTGAATGAATATCCTGAACGTACATTAAAATCGGTTACTTTAGGTGTTTGCTGCAATGGCAGAATGAGAAACATGGTTGTGCTCACATCAGTAAACAAGGTGCACAGACTCAGCTGTCCCTCCTCTGGGACATCAGCCCTGGCTACGGTGCATGCATTTCTATCCCACGGATCCAGGAATGAGGTGCTCAAAACAATACATATGTGTGGGTGCGTTTGTTTTTTAAGGTCAAACCATTGCTCTTCCCATTAATTTAATTAGGGCATCAAGTGCCGCAAGGATGACTTTGAAAGTGAAGGGTGGTAATTGCCCGTTACAGCCTTCTCCGGTCCCCCGGAATGCAAACCTTTCCTGAAAGGGGCAGTGGCCAAGTCTACAGGATGTCACAAAGGCTGGACGGGATATCAAACGCGTTGGGTAAAACCCGCATCTTCAGGGTGCCATCTGCTCCACAGGAGAAGATGCGATTGCCTTGGGCCATCTCAATCTGCATGACTCCCGTGCTGAGGTTCCGGAAGATGGACTGCTTGGCGTGTTCGTGCTTAAACGAGTGGATCAGACCGTAGCCTGCCAGTCTCCACACCTGCAGAGAGACCGTGGTGAAGAAGTGTTGCCGGGGTAGGGCTGGGCGCAGAGTTTTCCTGCCAGGTCCTCTTCAGGAAGGTGCCAGTGGCACGGCTCATGCTCTGCATGCCGGTGCGGCCACCAAATCTCAGCCAACACTTGCGGTGGGAAGCCTCTCCCAGCCAGGGGACTGCATTTTCTTTTGGAGACCCGCCGGGCACTGGCGGGTGGAGTTGAAAGCTAGGGACTGGGGCAAACACCCAACCATCCCAGTGTGCTGTAGCTTTATGGCCCTTGCTGCCAGTCAGAGCGAGCCTCACTGCCTTACCAGCCTGCCCAGTTACTGAAGCCATTGGCTGACATGCTCCTGGTAGTTTCACACAGGCCCAGGGAGCCCACCTGGAGAACGGCGGCTCCATTCCTCCGAGCTCTCTGCCTTGGGAGGTCCAGACGGTGCCAGGGCCATATTGTTTTCTGTACCCCTTGAGAGTGTTTCTGTCTAAATGGCTATGGTTTTACTGGTACACTTTTATTGATCTTGTTTTTAAACATACTATTCTGTTCTTTTCTGGTTCAAAATCTCCATGCTGGGTTTGTACAGAAATCTTGCAAATAAACAGAATCATGGATTAAACAGCAAACTTTTAGAATGGGGGAAAGGCGACACCAAAGCAGAGATGGCAGCTAATGGCCAGTGGTTGTGGGGAGGAGGCAGGGCCAGCGAAGGGGACAGAGCCACCTCAGAGTCTGGATGGACAGATCCACCCTTTGGGTTCCTTCCTGGGGGGCAACAGATCACGGGAAAGACCTTCTCCCGAGGGGCTGGAATATGGCTGCACGTCAGACTAGGGCCAGGTGGGCAAATGGTCTGGGCACAAAGCAGCCGCCTATGCCCCTGAGCACTGGCATGTCTTTTCTTTCGCGAACTTCAGAGCAGAGGCCTCAGGAAACCACTGGGGCTACGATGCTAGGTCCACACACGGGCCCTGCCTGCTTGGCCCTTCAAGCTGTGGCGGAAGTGAGCGTGCCAAGGGAGTGCCCTCGTCTCGTTCTGGCCTCGGGGTCTTGGGCAGGACCGCCTCTCTGCACCCGAGCAGGCCAGCCGCTTGGGAAGAGGCAGGGCGCCCTGCCCGCTAACCAGGGAGACGGCTCCCCACTGCTCCGTGTGACCCGCAGCCCACGGCCGGCCAGGCTTACCTTCACGTTGCCTTCCGCGGAGCCTGTGGAGAAACATTCTTCGGAGGCGTCCAAGGCGAGGGCCTTGATGGAGGAGTCGTGCGCTTGGAACGTATGAAGGGGCTGCCTCTGCCTGATGTCGAAGATGGAAATGTGTCCTTTCCGGCCACCAGAGAGGAGTAGCTGGTGCTTTGGTGCGTACTGAAGCACGGTGGCCCCGTGGTCGTGGCAGGTGAAGGCTGAGGGGAAAGGCACGGGATGCGGTTGCTGCCGAGCCCCAGCCTCGTGCGGCAGAAGCACCCCCTCCTCGGCAGTGAGTGCCGAGCGAACCCCGTTGCTTATTTCTGAGTGCTAGAGAAGGTGGCGCAGAGAAAAGCACAAACTGTGCCATCACCCAGTGTTGCTTGTTGTGTTGTGTGAAGGCATCCTCTAACTGCATTCACACGGCGTGACAAACAACCACTGTGTGGTTGCCAGAGCTCATGGTTTGCCTTTTTATCACAATCTACCTGACAAATACCAAATTATGTCTGTGTTATTGCGGCTTCTATCCTCCCCACTCGGTCCTGCTGCTGTCGGCACATAGCCCACCAGGCAATGCTTATTCAAGTCAATCCCAGCCTGCACTGCTCCCTGACTACCTCACATCTTTCTCATTGGTCCACACACCTGTTTCTAGGAGGAGGAGAACAGAGGCTGGATGGCAGGGGCAACTCAGAGTGGCAACTCTTTCCAGCAGACCCTGTGGCGGCTGCATCCAGGGCTGCGGAACCTGCCATAATAGGTTCAGACAACCCGAGAAGCCACGGTTGTAGAGGAACAGGAGAAACAAACCCTGTAGTTTCCTGCCATGGTCTCTAAAGACCAATCTTACCATGGTGAAATACCATGTTTAGGTTCAGACAATACGACAGACCAACAATGGTAAAAAACCCATCATGGCTTCTTGTGCGGTTTGAACCTAGCCACGGTTTCTTCTTGCTCAGATTTCATGACTAGTAGCAATTAGAGAGGCAACCCACATTTAATAAACACTTCTGGATGTGAAGCACAGCTAGCATATTTAAGCTGTCCTATGTGATCTCCAGGGGATCCAAGACTGACTACAGAGGCAGGTTCTGGAAATGTCTGAATGGAATCTGGAAAATGCTTGCATATGCCTTAGTTCCATCCCATTTAGAATACTGTAAAATGCCCGCTGTGAATTTGCTGTTGAAAAGTCTTCTGTAACTTTAAGCTGGTCCAGAAAGCTGCAGCCAAACTGCTGCCCAGGCCAGTGATCGAGGGCACGCGACTCCCTTATTCAAACAGCTTTTGCCCTATGAAGCCTTATATTAGCTCGCTTGGGGAAGGCCCTTCTTTTGGTCCTCTTGCCACTGGAGGTACACTGAAGGTGGTGCCATTTCAGCGGCCACTCCCAGGCCCAGGGGGCCAAGGGTGGCCCTATCCCTGCTCTCCTTCCACCAGCTGGCAGAGATGATTTTATTCAGGGTTGGCTGTGGTCTATTCCTTTTCTTATTATCTTTTGTTATCCTTTAATTATGGTTAACCTGCATTTTGTTACTGTTAGCAGTGTGAGTGCCGTATCCATCCATCCATCTCTTGGCAGAATGGTGGCGCATTCATTAATGAATGGCCAGGCATGCTGAGAGCTGTAGCCCATGTTTCTGCCTGAACGTGTATAGGACTGCACACTAAATTAATTAAGTAGGCAGGACTTATCCTAGCGCTAACTCAGTTCATATATTTAGAGACATTATCTTGGAACTCCCCAAAACACATCTGGATGTGAAGCACAGCTAGCCGATAGAAAACACAACATAATTCTCTTTAACCTGTAATTTCCCATAATTATTAGCTGCACCTTCTAAGAGAAACATCTGTACATCCAGCAGAAAAACCAAACAAATCTTGCTTATACCCGAGGACGGGAAGGGAGGCATGGGCACAAACTCAAACAAGCCCAGCCTTCTGTCTCGCTTGTGAACCCACCTAATCTTAAGAAAAAAAGGGAGTCAGGGAGTCACTGGAAGGGTTCGCCACAAATGCAGCAGAGCCGAGGGGAATGTGTTCCATCGCCAGGACCGCTTGCAGCTGTTTCCCCGCACCTGTGTCAGGGGAGCCCGGCAACTGGCTTCCCCACAACACCTCCTCTGCCTCATCTCGAACCAAGTGCAGGCGATTATGACGGAGGCTGCCTCCTCATTACACGCTTGGCCGTGCCTGTGTTGTTACCGCTCTGATTAGCTGATGTTTAGTCTAGCACAGGGGTGGCCGAAGCCTGTAAAAGTCTTGAGGCTGCTCCATTTACCAGGCTGTGATCCAAGCACAGGAGGCATATCTTGTTGCAAACTCCGACCCGCCCGGTGGGAGGGAGGGATGTGGGTGCGCAGAGAAGCACCAGGTTGGGTAAGGAGCTTTTAATCAAAAAATGATTTGGCCCGTCATGGGACTGGAGGACACCCGGGCAACTCGCAGCACAGTCACGCAGAAAGCAGCAGTGGGGCTGTCGCATCAATGAATGGCATTTTGGACCATGCTCTGGCCAGCGTGTGGCAAGCAAAGTGTCGCACAGGTTGTGAGTTTCCTGCACCAGTGGATTGGGAACACAGGCCATCACCAGCTCACCAAAGCCGGCATAATGTCAAGGATTCTGTAGCTCAGCACTGATAAGGCGTAAAAACAAAACATCGGGATGAGCAGAGCAATGAGAATTATTTTTAATAAGAACATCTTTTCCAGAGAAATCTATTCCCATGTCTATCTATTTGGAAGTAAGATGTTAAGTGCACTGGGAGTCAGAGCTCAGAATGCAGAAGGCAGTTCCTGTCCAGGACACACACACACACACACACACGTATACAAGAGACAGATTGCAAGAAAACCTACCATGTACGAGGCTATTGGATGGTGACACCAAAGTGTCCCACAGACACACATTTCTGTGGAAGAAACAAGAGACAGGGAATCAGTTCTAGCGAACCACTAAGCTCACAGCTGGCTCTAGGAACCCGCCATTTTGCCCTTGGAACGCACCTGTGGTCATTGGACTGCCCAGAAGTGGCTACTAGACTTGAAGAGGTAATAAATGCGAAGTCACTTGTGGTTTTGCTGTGGCACTGCCAGCTCTGCCAAAGACAAGAGACACGAGGTTAGTGGCCACGTGGAGCGAAGCCGCCAACAACAGCTTCAGGGGGCCTCCCGCTACCATGCTGGCAAGCAGAGGAATTGAACGCAATGCGCGATTAAAAGCAAATACCCAGCAGAGAGCCATCTCTACAGGACAGGAAATGACCAGGAAGGCAATAACACTCTCATTTATAACTGCATTCATGTATTGTTTGCAATTGCCAAGAGGTTCGAGATGAATAAAATACGGCAGTCCTAAAGGACACGTTGTTCTGCCAAGCTGTGCTCACAAATGGCTGCTTCTGGGTCTTGCATAGGGAGCATCATGCAAAGCACAACTGTCCACCAGGAAGTCCTGAACCGGAGGCTGGACTGCCCCACGTACTGGTTAAAGGTTTCTATCTCCCAGGGCAGCGCTGTGTCTCCGCCACCTCGGGCAGGCACGGACCCCAAGGACCAGCAGACAGAGCCAGGTACAAAGCGGTGGCGGCGGCCCTTCTCTCAGTCCTGACCTTGATTCTGCCCACTCAGCAATGTCACAAACCAGCTGCTGTTCATTCTGCCTGCACTCCCTCTAAATGGACGAGCAGGGTGCCCAGAAGGCGGACTCCATCTCTTATGGCCTTGTAATCGGCTGGAAAGGCCCCATGAGGCACTGGGTCCAACCCCCTACTCAACGCAGAACTCCAAATTCAAGCGTCCAGATAGATGGCTGTCTCGATGCGTCTTGAATGCCTCCACTGGGGGAGTGCCCTCAATGTCATATTGCTTTCACAGTCAGGCTTCCTGTAACTTGACCTCGTTATTCCATGGTGTACACACTGCGATGAGCGAGAAGAGCTTCTGGGCCTCTTCCGTGTGGCAAGAGTCATGAGAGCACAGACTATTCAACCTGCATTTGGCACTAATTCCTTTTCTCAACGGAATAACATGGAGTTAGCGAGCCACAGAGAAGTCAAGGGTATGCGCTTTAGAGACTGCTCGAGCATGCAATAGAAATGGAAATACGCTTAAATCTCATGAACACAGCTGTGGATTTATTATCCACTTAATCTGGTCCTGTGGAGAAGTGCAATTAATCCCAATTATTATTTATAGACATTTGCTGACCTTCAAATACCTCAAAACATAGAAACAGAGCAAGTCAGAAGGGACCTCCTGGGCCATCTAGTCTGACCTCCGGCACGAGCCGGCTCCGCTCACGACATGCCCACCATGTGCATGTGGACAAGTAAACAGGAGTTTGGACCTGTCCTTTAAGGGTTCATCAGAGTTTTGTAGTCTAAAATGGGGATTCTCAACTTCCTGTTTCCTACAGAGCTCATTTGTGTGAATGACAAATGCAGGAGGAGCTCTGCTGGACGGGAATCCCAAAGCAGGACGTGAGGAGACGGGTTTTCCTTTGCTCATGCTCCTCAAGGACTGGTCTACAGGGACATACTACCTCTGAATGTGGGCGTACGGTACAGTCCCCGTGACTGGTATCCTCCAGGAATGCCTCTCATCTTCTTTAAAGACTTGCAGGCAGGCGATCATCAACCCGCCCCCATTAGACAGGGACAAGATCCCTCCACGTTATGCATCCCAATCTAGTCAACCCCCACCCTGTTGAGAACCATCTTGGAACAGAGGAAGGCTTTCCACTGCTAACTGTCTGTCATGCCCTGAAACAAAAGGCGGGCGGTTTCACGCAGCGAGAACCAGAGTTCTAAAATGAAGTTCAACGTGGCGACTAATTGTCACTTGATGCCAGTGGCAGGAGGCAGGCATTCCTGGGCCCCCAGGCCCTTTTTGCGGCTCCCGCCCCACCACCGGCGCCGAAGTGGTTGAACAGCACCGGCACCAGAAAGACTGGCTGTTTGCTGCTGAATTTGGTGGCGCCAGAGAAGTTCCATTTTATTTCAGAATGAGGCACATGTGAAGCCTCCTGGGGCTTTGCCTGAAAGAAGCTGCAAGCTTTGCCTTAAAGCACAACCATTCCTTGTGCGATGTCGGGCTTCCATATTTTGGTTAGGCAGAGGCCGCCTGGGAGTTGCGTACCCCTGCTCTTCTGTTTCGCAGAAAGGAAACACAAACTGTGGAACCAATCCCATGGTTCAAACTTCCTCTTGAACAGTGGGGAAATAGGAGGACATTTCAAATACCTGACAATATTTCTTGCATGGAGAGTGGACCCCTAAAAACAGTTCAAATGGAATATCATCATTAAAACTTCCACGTGTTTACAAATACCATGTTAAAAGGAAGGAAAAAATACAGTAAGAGGGGGAAAATCATCTTACAGGATCGTATTACAGAAAAAAGAAGCGCAGCTGCCTGGTTCTGCATTTAAATTAAAATCAGAAGAACGGCCCTGATTACTCACCAGGTAGGGCTTAGGGTTCGTTGAGGTCTGATTTACTTGCCAAATACTTAAGGATCCCTCTCCATCAGCGACTCCGCACTACAAAAGGTGAATTTCATGCATTCCATTAACAATATCTCGAGGGCAGCAACTCACCTATTGTCAACATTGGGTGCTACATTACATAAAATACCTTGATGTTTCTGGTTACATGTGGCGTATTGACTTAGATCAATGGGTACAGATTTTAAATCAACTTTCTCATACCAATGCCTTTTCAAAAAGTCATTGCAATACATGATAAATACTGTTTGCTTAAGACACCTTGATATTCCAGATTACATATTTTAATATTTATCTCAGTGACTTTTAAAAGTAGTGTTTATATGCGAAGGTTGATTAGAGATACATACCAATTCCTCTAATTCTACAGACTCAATGAAGTAAGAGCATCATAGCAACTTCCATGTTTGTTTGTTTATTTAAAACTGCACGTCTGGATTCTCAGTTGTGGCTGTGGACATTGATGAGTGCCAGCACTGCATCAGGAGTGCGAGCCATGGTGGGAACACGCAACATTCTGGCTTGAACTGACTGGGAGACAAGGGCCAAGACGGGCCGTGCCCCGAGGGGGCAGTGAGAGCGGAGAGGCCCAGAGCCCTGTGTGAGTTTCTTGCATATGATTTGGGGAGAGCGCTTTTTCCTATAATAGAGCCTAGATGAAGGATGCTTCCCACATCCTACAATTAAAATTCTGTCCCAGTTCTGCATCCATATATGTTTCCTCCAAATGACCACGATTTTGTAATCACATTGTAGCGACATCTACAGCTAAGCACTCATGCCTTGCTGCTGCATTTACATTTCCCCCATGTGACATCTTGTGCTTGCAGACCCCGTAAAGGGTGGTGCAGTTCTAATGACGGGAAAGGCTGGTAAGCGAGGGCAAGCCGTGAAGTGGCCGTGGGCCCTATGGCACGGACGCAGGAGTGCAGCGGTCATGCAGGGACTGAAGCGCCATTCGGGTCCCTCACCTTGTTGCCCTGAGAGTTAAAATACATTCTGGTGACCCTTGCGTTGCCTGCTTGTCGGAAACACACCAATTGCTGCGGTCTTGTCCATTCAAACATCCGGACGCTCCCATCCTGGGCTCCTGTAAGGTCTGCAAAACACCCATGACACACACACACGCACACACAAGAGCAGGACATTAACATTCAACTTTGGAAGCAGACACTGTAATTTTAAAATTCGTTGTATCCCTGACTCATCGTCCCACCGTTGGAACCGCTAAACATGAATGACTTACAATACTGGTGGACTGGATGGGAAGTCATCCTTTTCACGTTATTCAAGTTCCGTTTGATGAGCTTCAAGCAAAAGAAATTTACATTTAAAACTAGACAGTAAAATAGTGAAGTTTGTAGCAAGGAGAGATTATTTGGCTTCAGATGGCCTTTCTATGTATATTTTATGTATATTTTAATATGACATCTATATCCCTTTTGCAAGGGCCGATGGCTGCTCACACGGTCCTCTCGTTTTTGTCTTCACAACGACCCTGTGAGATAGGCTAGGCTGTGCGCCAGAGACTGGCTCAATGTCACCCAGGGAGCTGAGTGGAGGTTAAAACCTGGATCTCCCCAGTCCTCAGTCCAACACCCTCTGCACTAAGCGTCAGTGAAGAGATGTGGAAGGAGCACACAGAAATGCTGATGGAATGGTGCATATTCTCAGACAAGTTATATGATCCAGACATCACTTCTTATCATTGAACACAAAACCTGCCAGTAATTGGGCACTTATTGCCCCCTAGCGGCCACTGAACCATCTCATTTTTTTTTTAGCAAAAATTAAATAAAAAATCACAGAATAGTAGAGTTGGAAGGGGCCATGAAGGCCACTGAGTCCAACCCCCTGCTGTTGCAGGACACCACATTGCACCATCCCACTCAGATGGCTCTCCAGTTTCTTCCTGAATGTCTCCAGTGTGGGAGAGCCCCCCACCTCTCCAGGCAGCTGCTTCCACTCCCGTATGGCTCTGACAGTGAGGAAGCTCTTCCTGACGCCCAGCCTGAATCTGGGTTGTCGCCACTTGAATGGATTATTCCGTGTCCTACACTTTGGCATCAGCAAGAAGAGACCTTGAGCATCCTCTTTGGGACAGCCAGTGCTTATAAAATGAACGAGTCAACAGTGAGTGCAAGCACCACTGGCCACGCTGGCTGGGGACCAGGGAAGCTGTAGTCCAGCAGCCCCAGGGGCACCTGCTTGGGGTGCGTGGGCTGCATGGGGCACACGCAAGGCCACCTACCACGCCTGCCCCGGTGCTCGTCTGCCCGCTGCCCAGCCACGGCATGGAGGAGGTTGACAAAGGGGCTGCCGGCTGCATTTGCGCTACTGCAAAGGAGGCGGTGCTGGACTGGGTGAGCGTCGTGGTGGAACCCCGGAAGTCAATGTCATCGGAACTGCAAGGGTGGAAACAGTGCATCACACACCTGCTTTTCAGGTATACTGGGCAATTATTACAGCCGACAATCCAAGAGCTGGTGTGACAATGAGGATACTTACGGTCTCCGCAATGAGTAATTCAGAACATTAAAGCACCTGACTTCAGCTGGTGCGATGAAGCCCTAACAGAGGGTCTTTAGCTTTTTGTTCCCTGTATTTCTTCCCAAAGAGAAGATAAAGCAGAAAGAGGAGGGCTCCATGGAAAGGGGGGCAAGGAGAATGTTGAGAGGAGACGCAAGGGATGATGTATGGAGAGAAGAAGATAAATAAAGATAAGAATGGGTCCTGTGTAGAAGGCGGGGCGAGCTGGGTCCCAGACTGGACAGGCTGCCGAGTGCATTGAACATCCTGATACGAAACGCTGCCTTGAAGTGTGAGAACTGAAAATAGCACGCTAAGTCTGGGGAGGAACAGCAAAGGTGCTTTCACTGATGCCTCTGTTTTTCAAAACAATCCAATGGTACACAACTATGCACACACGACCACGAAGCTCCTCTAGTCCTGAGTCCGTAGAACAGACCTGTGCATACAGCTTGAGACACTCCCTTAGTCCACCACTCGGCCTTGCCAAGGTCTACCTTGTCCCTACCTGGTCTCCAAAACCAAGAAAGCTGATTTCATAAACCTTCCTTAGTATATTGTTTTATGTTCTTAACAGATGCAGCTTGAAACAAGGATAAGCAACCAGGTGTCTTCTGGCTGTTTTGTACCTCAGGTCCCATCAGTTCTAGTTAACATAGTCATGGCTGATGGGAGCTGTAGTCTAAAACTTCTGTAGGGCACCAAATAGGACTTGAAGGTCTGGGGGCATGTAACCCATTTAAAAGCAGCCACTTTCAGTGGACTGAAAGATAATTGCATGCATTAAAGTATCAGTGAAATTTCTAACTTCCCTGCCCTTTAACTCTTGATCTCCAAAATTCAGCCAGACAGACGATTTTACATTACTACTGAACGTTGTTCAAGATTAGACTTGTGCACATTTCCTGTGAGAAGTTTGTCCAAACTCTGAATGAGTGTGATTAATCAGAATAATGAAATCATGGGGAAAATGTTCTTTTTTCTAGAATAGTAATCAAGCCTAAAATAACAAACAAAAGGCACTGAGAAAAGAAAATCATTCTAATTACAGTTCAACAAACTGTAGGAAAAAACAAGCTACCCAAGAGGTAATTCAGACAGGTAAATAAGAGAGTGGAGGAAGTTGCAAAAGAATTAAAGATATGCAAGCAACTCCCCGGTTATGATTAAGTTGCATTTGGCAAGGCATCCAAATTGGCTTATGGAGTGCTCCTCCCCTCCTTTTTAGCATCACAAGAACAACAACCCTGTGAGGCAGGCTGGGCTGTGATAGGCCCACAGTACCCAGTGAGTGGCTGAACGAGGACTAGAACCTGGATCACAGTGGCCTGTACGTTAGGCTTGCATACAGTGGCAGTGCTAACCAACCTTTTAGATTCGCGGTCATACTCTTCTCCAATCCATATGTAGGGCTGAGCAGCCAAGAGAGCGGAAACGTCGAGTTCCTGAACATCATGTGTCGAAGCTAAAACGATCTCATTGATGTTGGCCTGCGATAGTAGGGACACAAGAGCAGTGACTTCCACGTTAGACCCTCTGGCTAGCAAAGCAGTCGTGACAAGGACAAGCTGCAGCGCAAAGGGTTTACCTTGTTCACTGCAAATGCCATGATCATATCAGACTCCTTGTGTATAATTTTGGCTCTGCCCCCGGGGTAGCCAAGTTCCGCCTCCACCTACAAAACATGGAAGGATAGATTCCAAATGGGTACGTTCAAGTGCCTTACTGTGTCCTGAACAGACCGCAAGAGATACAGAGAAGCATGCGAGAGACGCTGAGTATCCGTGGCATTTCTCAGAAAGTAGCCTTTGGGTTTGCGGTACTTTTGCTGTAGCCAAAAGTGACATGCTTCAGGACCGGACGCACAAATGGGTGTGAGCGAGCGAGCCCTAATTAATGGGCTGAATCACAGGATCTTAACCACCCTGTGCGTGTTGACCCAATTTACATAAGGTGATGCTTGAACCTGATGGGGCTGCGGGGCTGGGATGGTTACCGATGTTAACCACCCCAGAAATAAAAACAGCCCATGGGTTCTTGCTGGTTTAACTGCCCATCCTCATCAGGTCTGGACTTCATGGAGTACAGCATCCGACAAGGACAGTGGTGGAAACAGCTGGAACATGCCCGGCATGTACAGGTGCTCATGTGAACCAGGTCGCCCCATCTCCAAAGTTAGTACGCAGATTAAAGAGCCAGCCAGAGCAACTGCCTACAGCTTGTTATCTTCTCTTTAGCGAAGAAGAGACAGGAAAGCTGGGCCCACAGGGAGCAGAAAGCTTTGGGAGACCGGATACTACCTTGTCCTTGCCATCTTCTGCTACGCTGTTTTGTGTGACCTGCTCCTCACGGTCTTCAACAGACTATACAACACCACACCGTCACAAACACAAAACATGAGCACAAACAAATATAAAAGAAAAGAATGAAAACATTCCTAATGAGTGCTTCAGTGGTCACCCTATTATGGCAGCTAAGGATGAGAAACGGGCATCACTGGTGGGTTGTCCTTATAGGGCTGGGGGCTTGCATATGTCCCCTTTGAATGGAATGCAACCTGGATGAACACACATGCAAACGGCAGCATAACCAAGCCAGGGGTGCAGAACTCCAGGCCTGGGTGGAGGGCGGTGGGGGGGGAGCGAATCTGCCCGGCACCCTCTGCCTTCCCCGGACAGCCATGCAGCTTCCTACATTCCACCTCTTTCTCTGATGGTTTGGTAGTGTCCTGGCTGCAGTGCAGTTTCTCCCCTTCTAAACACCAGACATGCCGCTTAATGCAGTAAGGGCTCTGAGCTAACAGCTTGCACTATGAGATATTTCTGAGATATTTCTGATCCCACCCCATTGGTTCGGCCCCATCCACCACGGAAATGTGGCCAACAGAAGATTCTTCAGAATGGAATCCAGCCCTCGGGTTGAAAGAGGTTCTGCACCCCTGAATTAAAGCAAAGAAAAATAGACACACACAAACTCCACACTAGCAGGAGATTTAAACTGCTCATCAGAAGGCTTGTCAGATCCCTAACAGGAAAGAGAAGGGCTGCTGGGAAATGGGAAGAGGCTTTTGTTTGCTGCAAACACAAAGCTACCTGATAGTTAAACCAGATACCAATGATATGGAATATCATGCAGGATTGCCCACTCCGGATCCCTCCGTGTAAATTTTCCTGCCATTCTTTTCCTATGGGAACTAAGGGGGTAGCTTTATGCTTGTGCGGATATTTTCCCCTAATCTTATTTTATACAGTTTTTAAAAAGTCACTTCAAGAGAGCACAGACTTCCACCTATATTGTTCGCAGCTTCTTTTGCCTACCTCACTCTGCTTTCTCTTCTTCGTGAATGTATAGCGGAGGAAAGTATCTTGTAATAACTCTTGTTTTACCAGAAAATGCCACAGTCTCTTTGCTGGCAATGCTGAATAATCTTTTGATCTATGGGAAAGAGGGAAAGGGGCTTGTGATAGTGCTTTTCCTTTTAACAATGTACAAAAGGACAAAACTGGAAGAAAATGAAATGTGGAAGATGGAGACCAAAGAGTTAATGGCATTTGAAAGAAAGTGCACAGGTGCCCTTCTCATCTAAGTACCAGCCAACTACTTTTGTCCATAAAAAGAAACCAGAGAGCTTATAAAATCAGGATCATGCAGTCAAAAGAAGCAGCCTCAAAGTAGGAGTTCAGAATCCTCCATGAACAAGTAATGTCTTCAATGCATCCTTGTTCCGTTAGTGCCCACAAAAAACTGAGTGAAAGAAAATTGCTGAAAGAAGCAAAAACTGACTGCCTACCAGCATATGCCCTAAAACCGATGAAGAATGAAGGTCACAAGTCATTTCTGGTTTTAAGTTTTTATCAATTAAAAACTGTATAAATTGCTACTACTGGGGGTAGCAACAAACTGTGCATTTGCAAATACGAATTGGACTTTTAGGCTAGTTGTTCCTTAAAAATAAAACTGTGTGTTAGTGAAAACCAATTAAAGAGTCATTCTTAAAGTACTATGATTTGCGTGCATAGAGCATCCTTGAAAATCTAGATCAGCTTTTCCTAATCCGACACCCACCAGACGTTGTAGACTACAATTCCCATCATCTCCAGTTGACCATTCCAGCTGGGGCTGATGAGAGCTGTAGCTGAAGCCACTGGAAAGGCACAAAAGGTGGTGATTGCTCGGCCAAGCTGCCCACTTTTCATCAAAGCGTTTCTTAAAAGAGGAAACATACCTGAATGGAGTGTTTTCAGGATCTAGCATCGCTTTTAATCGGGCATTTGCTGCTGCAGCCCCCGTTGCGGGTTCAAGGAAACAAGTGTTTATGTAATTGGGTGGTGGGCCTTCAAACTGGTCCATTCTTTCTTGCAGGATCTGTTCCCAATTCTCCAGATTTTTAATGACAGCAATTCCCAGAGGTGATGTGACTGGAAGGTCTAAAGACAGCGATTACGAAGGTGAGCAGGGATTCACCCGAGGTGGCATCTGCCGTGCTGCTGACAACAGCCTATTCCCCACGGCAGTGGGATCTTTGGGGACACTTCATGGACACTGAAATGAGGCACTTTCTACTGCATTGGAAAGCGGCACAGGCAGTTGGGGGCTTTTTAGCCAGGCAACGGGGAAGAGCGACAGCCCTGGCCAGTGTCCAGATGGGCCAAACATGCGCCATGAATAGGCCCCTGAAGTCTCTGCAGAACGCAGGGGCTCAAAAGCAGAGGCGCACGCCTCTCGAGCAACTGGGAGGATAATAGAGTCTCCACCAGCTCTGGAGATCATCATCAGACAGGGACTCCAGGGGGCTTCTGCGGGTGGAGGAGGCTTCTTGGCCACTGTGTCTCTGCCCTGGAGATAAAATCTCCTCCCACAAGACACCTCCTGCCTCCATCTTTACTTTCTTTTGGGGCCATAGAAAAATGGCGGTGTTTACTAAGGCCTGCGTTGTTTCATCATGGTTACTGTTTGCTTTGGCTTTTCTACTTGGTTCTGGTTTTGGTTTGGCAAAAAGGCCCTTGAACCTAGCCTGGAAACCAACAGGCAAACAGGCCGGGTGGGTTGGGGTAGCCTTCTGTGTTCACATTGCCCAGTGCAAAAGCACAGTTCAACTCACCAGATATTTCTAAACCAGTAATGGGGAAAAAGTTCTTAATATTGTTCAGAGCAAGTTTTACCATCGCCAAATGGATAAGAGCCCAGCTGCAGAAAAAGAGGAATTGAAGTGTTACAAAAAACCTAAAACTGGACCCATTAAATACATATCTTTATTTATTAGATTTATATTCCACCTTTTTCTTTTTTAAAGAATGCAAAGGGGCTTATATGGTTCTCCTCCTGCTGCTCTCAATCTTATTCCCATAACAACAACCTTGTGAGGTAGGCTGGAGTGAGAATCTGTGAATAGCCCAGTCACTCAGTCGTCTACAGGGCTGAGCAGGGACTAGAACCCAGGTTGCCTGAGTCTCAGTCCTGTCCTCTTAGCTACTGCACCACACTGCTGCTAAAGTAAAGCATATAACTAAATAGTATATAAAGTAAAAAATATTTTAAAGTAAATAACATATTCAGGGTTCACCCCAAACATATTTCAAAGGAAAGGCAAAAGCAATAACAAAATGAATGCCTTTTTGTCTGTATTTAATGTCTATATCACACATTAATCAAAACTCTCTGGGCAGTTCACAGCAATTACAACCATAAGAGACAACATGATAAAATATGATATAAAAATTTCTAACAGTGGTATAACATAGCATAAAACACAAAATAAAACCTGGCATAGATTTAAAATATCAAAATAGATTTAAAACAACAGAAGCTGAAAGACTAAAATGTCTTGGGAAAAGGATCTTCTCCTGGTGCCAAAATGAGGACTAAACACTTAGTTACTATTAAGATTAGATGATTTATTTATTGTGAAAGGTGATCAACCAAATCACAGGCATGTTTCCTTGGAAGTGAGTCCCCTTAATTTCAGTGGGGCTTATTCCCACATAAGTTTGCATAGGTTTGTGGTCCAAGTTAGCAAAAAATGTTTGTATGGTTTTGTAAGCAAGCATTTTTAAAAGCATTGGAGAAAAATTCTCCTTTTGCTACATCTCAGTCAATCAATCACAAGAAAAAATGATTAAATCCCAAACCCTTGTCTTTGGAAAATTCCTTCTTTTTTGGCACTCACCAGAGAAGTGAGTACAGATTATTGGCACATGACATTAATTATAAGCTCTCTTTGTGTTTTAGGGAATGTTTATCTCTCTTTATATGCTTATGCAGAAGTTCTGCTGGGTTCCATGGTGTTACTTCTAGGATAATTACAGGATTTATTAAGCACCTTTGCTAGGAAGTAAGTCCTGTAAGCCTTAATGGAACGTATTATTATGCAAACATCCATAGGCATGGAATGAATTGCGACCAACAAAGACTCACAGCATAAAGCTAAGCAGCTCTGAGTCTGGTCAGGGTTTGGATTGAAGGCCACCAAGTAGCGCATCGTGGATTTCATGATGGAAGAAAGGAGGGTCACTGAACTAGTTAAATCAATGTGGATTCATTCAAAACCAGGATTCTGAGAGGAGCCAACAGATCTCGGCTGCCCTAAGTCCAGCATGCAACACTTTAGCTCTGCGACTGCTGCCTGCTACCTGTACGAATTGGCATCCTTGTGCTCCAGGATCTGCACATCAGAGAGGAAAGCATCCTCCTCCTCGTCTTCGCTATGGATGCTTTCATCAGAATCATACATCACACCACTGTCTGAAAAAGGAAGGAATGGCTGTAAAGAGAGGACAAAACCAGGTATCAAAACAGGCTTTTCCACCAGGTGCCAATTCATTGATTTAACCAAATTACCGAGTTTCACAGCAGCAGGATAAGGATTTCGGCAGTGCAGAACGATTCCCGTTATGACCATCCCCGTCACCAACCGCTGCTTCTCCAGATACAAGATTCTGGGTTAGGCAGCACAATGACCCCAGGAAGAGAACTGGGAGTCCCTGGGGGGCACGGCCTGCTCGTGATCGCAGAACCTCCGCTCAGCCATCAGTGGAGGCCACCCCCGCAAGCCGCCAGAAACATGAGCTTCTTTGAGACGAGCTTCCATGCATCCCATCACTAGCCCTTTAGAGCCTGGGAAATTTGTGGCTGCCTGCCTTTCCCGGCTTTGCACATGGGAAGCGGCCTTCCACTGCACCCTGGGTCCCCATTGCCCGGGAGTGTCAATCCTGGCTCTCCAAGGTTTCCACCAGTTCTCCCTGCTCTGTCTGGAGATGCTAGCGACTGAACGTGGGAACGTCTGCATGCAAAGGCTGCTTTCTCCCACTGAGCGTGCACTGGCATTTTGCCTCCAGGTAAGGCTTCGTCCGCAGCAGCATCCTCCACTTGTCCCCGCTCCAGTCGCTTAAGACAGGTACAGAAACTTCCTGCTGGGGACACCCGAACTGCAGAGTATCCTCCCGAGAAATATTTATCTGGCAACTACCTTCCGACACATAGGCACCAAATCAAAACCCTGTCTCATCTGTTCTAGTGGCTGTCTGTTGTTGCTGTTCCAATAGCTTTCATCAGCTTGCATAGCTAATTTGCTCTTAATATTGTTAATGGAACTATCCTGGCAGTATGAGCCACCTGGTGGTTCTAACAGGCAACAAGACCGTGCGTGCCCGAAAGGGAAGGCACCCAAGACTGTTGTAATCAAGCCTTCTTTCCAAAGATACCAAATTTAAGTGACTTAAATATTGCCTGATGAGATGCAAGCTAATATAGGCCCCATTATATTCTGACTTTAACTTTTCAACGTGGAAGTATTGTATCTGAAATGCTGACATATTTTTGAAGGAGGGATGGAGAACTTGTGTGATGTTGGGCTCCAACTCCCACTTGGTCCAGCCAGCACAAGCAGGGGTCAGCATGAGTCTAGCATCTAGAAGAGCATGCGTTTCTCATCCTTATTTTAGAGAATAAAGTCGGACCTGTCCCAGTGTGGCTAGTGCTGGGGTGTTTACTGGGATATGGGTGATCCAGGCTCTAGTTCCACTTGGCCACAACGCTTACCAGGTTCACTCTCTCTCAACCTAACCTACCTCACAGGGTTGCTGTGAGGACAGGGAGGGAGAGAATTCTGCACGCTGCCCTGGATTCCTTACAGGAAAAAAGACGGGATACACATAAAATAAGTAACACTGGGGATACACCAACTAATCCACCTTTGCGACAAAATAGTCCAACATGCTGAGTTCCGGAGGGATGAACTTTTCCTTGTAGGATGGTCTTTCCGTGGGCACAGGCGGAGGGACCGCACTGTCTTTCACTGGTCTCCCCGGCACCAACATCCTCATGTTGAATCTACGACGATGCTTATCCATCTCTTCTGAAGAAACTGGAGGAGCTGAAGGCAGAGAGAGTTTAAACAGCTATGAACTCCAACTTTCCTATCTTGAAGAACCTTGGGTGTAAAATTCCACACACACACAGAGTGCAAGGTTGCCAGATGGAAAACCTAAAAGAAAAACAGTGCTAGAACTATTTGGTGCTACACCTAAAATCCACTTAAAAAAAAAAGTTAATTGTAATCTTCAGTCAGACTCCATGAAAATAGAAAAGCAACTTGGTTTGTGAGTGGTAATGATCAGACTGGGAAACTCTCACCCTTTGAGAATGCTTATAATAACAAGAACAACAATGATATAAAGCCAATTCAGTATTTCTTGAATGCCATCCGTTTGTACATTAAACTCGAATTTTCCTTTCCAAACCTAGCCAGCAACTGAAGATTACACTTGCATCACAACAAATGTGCTCAGATTCAAAAGTGCAGATCTTCTTTCAAACACAAGCCAGGCTGGGATTTAGGCAGTCAAAATACAGTCAACAGACTTGTCTAATATTGGTCAAATATTGTCAAGTATCAGCCAAGCACTTTCAAAAGCATCTGTTGTTGTTTTTAAAGTAGCAAAAAGGCCTTCATTGTCAATAGGTTTCCCCTTTACTCTTATTGCGAATAATCAAGTTAAGTTTGTTATGTAAAGTAATACAGGCCTTCTTTAATTCTTAATTAAGTACACTAACAGGGGCAGCTCAGTATAAATGTGTGCCTGAACGTTAAAAACTTGATGTTTGCAGCCATTTTTACCCTTCTGAAATCCCAGAACTTACAGATATCAAGTAATTAAATGATGGCTAGGAATAAATAAGTATCAATCCATATAAGTTTCTACATGCAGTTTGAAAGGGAGTGAAACCTTGCCTCAAGTTTTCAGTTTTCTCCTTCACACAAGTGTTATCAAACAGAGAAACGGATCCTCTTAGGACCAGTTCTGGATAATTAGGATTTCTGTCATTGCATTATTTGCTTTTGCTCACTCACTCCTATATTCCTGTTGCAAATATACAATAGAAAATTTTCTCATGCTGTCCATAAGGCCATCCTTAGTTTCATGGAATATCTGACAATATTTGTCCATTGTGAAAATATGCGCTATTGCTATGGTCAAACTGATTGACTTCCCATTCCTAAACGCAAATCACTTCTGCACATCTTTACACACCTTCATTAATGTCCTTTGTATCATCAGAAACAGAATCAGCTGCTAGATTCAAAGAAATTTATCTCCATTAGAAGGCATGGTGGACTTTAGAAGGGAAGGAGGCAGGTGGAAATGAACTCTGACAGCAGCTATTTTTTAGGAACATCATTTCAAGGAAGTAGACTCTCCCCTTTTCCTTCTCTTGTCAGCATGAACGATGGCCCTAGCCTTGATTCTAACTGGAGGGAACCTTCAGTAGGCCTTATAAACAAGCTTCAAACCCCTTTTAACTCAGGTGAAAAACTAACCCTGGTTAGTGTCCCCCTAGACTCAACAGTACACCACACTCGATGTTCACAATCTTGTGTGCTGCTTCTAATCTCTTAAGCACAGTGAAGTATTTGTAGCATTCCATCTTCATGAGGCCTGAATAGTGAATTAAATATTTAATTTATTCAACTCCAGGCATGCCCATCTCCTGGGTCAGAGTCTGAAAACAAGCAGCCCAGAGGGAACACAACTATAGCATCACATTATTCCAGGGATCAGCACCTCAGGGGGTTTAATCCAGCTCTTCATGCATCCTGAAGAGCCTCCTTTCCCCAAGCATGGATCATCAGGCAGTTTCCCAGCCTTCAGGAAGCTCCCCCGTCCACATCAAAGCCGAGACGTCTCTCTTAATACTTAGTTATTAAGAGAGACTAGGAGCTTGACACTAAAAATGCACTAGTATTTGGTCCTTCTCTTTCTGCCTTTGGTTCTGCCCACCATACAAATGTGGCCCCGAGCTCAGCAGAAACAGAATCTGGCCCTCACGCTGAAACTTTCTCCCTGCTTTATTCAACCCTTTGCAATGCTCAGAAACTTGTGGAGAATTTATTTAATACTTAGCAAGGACTATGCCACCTGGCTTTGGTTTGAGTAGGACTGATATTGAATGCAGACGTCTGATCTTTGTATTCACTGAAGGAAGGGATGTGTCCTTCCAGAGCATCTCACACAATATTTGTGCTTTAAGATATAAGCAATTACAGAGAATAAGTAACAAATCACCACTGAAGCAAAACTGATAACAAATTCAATATCTCAATTATAACGAACATAAAATCTCCTCAATTCGAAGACTGTCTCTATTATGAATAATCCACATTCAAATTCCCACTTAAAAAGGAAAAAAGCAGATAAAGATGAAATGTATCATCCAAAAACAAAGATCCATGCTATATTTATCCCGATTTGAACATATCTGGAAGAGAAAATAAGACACGCAGCAATCAGCACATAGATTCTCACTAACCCTCTTGCACAGATGCTTTTTGTCACAGTCAGTGGCAATTTCATTGCTATTTAATAATCTAATGTGGTGTGATCACTGCAGATTTTTAAGGGCACTATATTTTCTGTGCTGGCAGTTAAGGACTGTGGTTGCTCTGAACTGAACAGATTAGAGAATGATTACTGCTTGTAACAGCTTAGCTTTCAAAGAGGTAAATATGTTGGCCTTGGATATGCTTGTTCTTGTATCACTTTATCAACGAGAAACATTTCTTTCAAGCAATACCTTCGCCAAGAAAAGGAAGATGTTCTGCTAAAAGATAAGTGAAGCAAAATCAGGCATTTATTGTTTTGCACCGTTTGCTCTGCTACTGTCAACTGTAAGGAAGAGCAAGTTGCGTGCAAAAACAACCTCGTAGACTATGTGTTGAGCCCGAGTTGCAGAATTCTGTATGTCACACCTGGAACTGTGAGTTAACTATCAGTTGTTAATTCAAAACACCCAGGAAGAAAAGGCACAGGTTTCAAACTCTTATGAGCTCTTTTGAGTTGCATTACATGCGAACCCCAAACTATGGACTGCTCAGGGGTTGTTTTGGCAGGCTATAGGGGCAGTAGGCAGTGGTGGTAACATTCTGTGAGAAAATACTACAGTGTTACAAAGATGTTTGAGATTCTAGGAGGCAGAAGGAGACGGGAGTCAAACAATGCAGGCACTGGGGAAAACTGAACTTTGAACGATCATCTGGCAGACAAATCAAGGGTAAATGTTGAGTAAGGTATGATCGGGTCCACTTCTATTCCAAGTGCCCCTTTTTGGAGTCTAGAGCCTCTTAAGAGACGGATTACCTGGAATATTTTCAGACTGCCGCCTTGGTTTTATCACAAGTTTCACTCCGCCTCCAAAGACAGCTGCCCACATTCGGTTGTTCAAAGGATGGGCTGCTAGTCGGAACAGTTTGTTGCAAGCGTTCGTGGCGAGTGCGTGTATCAGAAGGCTTAGGTAGACGGCTATGACGGCTTCACATAACAGGACGGTGAGCTTCGGCTGGTCCTCGTCCTGGGCTGTACTCAAGAGGTTGATAAGCGAGCTCACACCTGCAGGAACATTAGGGGGGGGGTCACTTGGACGAAGACCAGGTGGCGCCGCTTTCATGGATGTCCGGATGTGTCTGCCTATGCTCCAAAGCAAAGGGGAATCCCAGAAATTCCAATGTAAGAGGTGCTGGATTTGCTTACCAGCACCATCCGGCACGTATCTACCAGATATAAGCCCCACTGTGTTCGCTATGGGGTGCAGGATTTAAAGATGCTGAAATGGGCCCCGGGAGAGGCCCTCATTTCTCGTGTGCACAAGGCCAGGAAGTCTGTTCAGTGAGTTTGACCCAGTCACTGACTCTCAGCCTCCTCCATCTCACAGGGCTGCTGTGAGGATAAATCAGAAGCAGGGGGATCAGGCAGATGGCCTTGGAGGAAAAGGCAGGATTGTTTTGGGGAGGGAAGGTTCCAAATTGAACCTTTGAAGGAAAAGACGGGATCTAAATGGCACAACCAAATCTGGGGTTTAAGACTGCACACCTGCTGGCTGAAAATAAGAGAGACACTCCTGACGGGATTTGGGCTAGTTCTGTAAATAACTAAGTAGCACTGGCTGCTTGGAACTTCTGGGCTACTGGAAACCAGATGCTGCGGGGAGACAAGGCCCACATCCGCCACATCCTGCCAGCTGGCTTTCAGGAAGCATCTCATGGGAGCATGAGATGAAGTGCACGGAACTCTGGTCTCTCACACTTTTAGCAGGGCTCTCATATTCCAAAACTGCCCATTCAAAACAATGGAAATTCAATAAATTGCTTCACTTTGATGGGATTCTAACCATGGTATTGCCCTTTTGAAAGACAAGGGAACAAAACCAGAGGAGATACATGGAAATAGTTGCAGAGTAACAGGATGCTGAGAACTGATACTGCAAAGGGCTGCATGCATGTTCTTAACTTTCTGCAGCATCAGGCTTTTCAGGACTGAGCCTACAAAACCATGGTCTGGCACTCGACTTTCCTTACCAGGCCACTGAGCTGGCAAGGAATTTGGCGTGGCGTGTTCCTCAATGCTCTCTGTCCTCAGTCGGCGACGGTCACTCAGGAGAAGTCCTTGATAAACCATTCCTGTAAACTGATTTGCTTCGGTTTGACTGCTGAAAACAAGTTTTAATTCTTCTTAATGTGAGATGAGAAAAAGTTATACCAAAGAATAAAGGCAAGTTAGTTTCAGGGTACTTCTCAAGATTCTGAGCATATATGGTTCCTGCTGATAATTAGGCAGGGGATGTCTGTATTCCCTTTCCTTTCCCTGTGCCATGGGCTAAATGATTAGAAACACAAGAAACCAGCCTTACGGCTCTTCAATATTTTACATTGCAGAATCAATCTTTTAAAAATACTGATTAAGGGATCATAGAATGAGCTTTATGCTTCAGATTCAGTTGTGTTATTTTGGTCCTAAAAAGAAGGATTGGAGTACGTAAAAGCAAGGGATGCTTTGGTTGAATATGGAATCGACACTTTTCCAGGATGACCCTTCAGGCTTACCCATTTACCACCCTCCTTTCCTTCTCCTGAAAGGCTACAAAAAAGAGCTCAGAAGCTTCTGCTTTCATTTCACATCAACCACATCCTTGTGTGTTATCTGCACCCAAAACTGGTTAATCTTAACTAAGCTTAGTTATAAGAAGTCAGCATCATAAACCATGGTTTGATGTTGACTTCTTTCTATTAATTATAGCTAAGATTAGCAATAGCTTGATTAACTGTAGACGGTGGGTAATGTGACAGGCTAAAATTAAACAAAAACAGAGTTAACACATCTCAAACTCCTCCTTGTGATCATACATCGAACCCAACCCTTCATGATTATCCAAGACAATTTCCCCCCACCTTTCAACTGCAGAGCTATTAAATAACTCCTGCTAAAACCAAGGATTCACCACATAGCTCACTAAACAAAATTGCTGCAATAATGCTTTTCCATCATCCCCAGATGAACTGATGGGGAAGCACAGTATCTACTTCAGTTCTTACAGTCAAAACTCTATCCACTGAAAGACTATGGCTTAGCTAAGCTCACTCAGATCCTGCTGATTTCGGTGGGAGAGTTAAACAGTCCAAACACTATGGTGGTGGTGCTGTTACTACAACAATACATTTTCTGAAATACACATGCTGAAAACACCACCACTGAAATCACAGCAACATGATGCACGTTCGCTCTGGCATGCCATCGTCTTGGTACAGAATGCCCAGCAATGCCATGTTATGCTCCCTTCCCACTTCCTTCCTTCCTTGGCGCCTGGTTTAACTAGGCCACGATTTAATGTGAGTTTATAAATGACAATCTCAAATCAAATTCAAACTGTGGTTTAAGATCTTAGCTTGTAAAATCATACATAACTCCAGTTTCAGATGCAATGACTAACTGTAATTTAATTACACCAGGATGTAAAATCCAAGGAAAGGAAGAAGCAAAGGAAAAGAGGGGGCACTTCAGTCTGGCTTATGGTTTCCAGTGACTCAGGAGTCTGGTGCTCCAACTTGGGCACTGAGTTCAAAGGGGGTTGTTCCCCAGTCCTACGCTGTGCCCAGGCCCGCACCCCTCACTCTGTCAGCAGGATCATGTTGCGATCACAAAGGAGAGCGAAACAGATTCAAAGCACAATGCTGGGAAAGAAAACAATAAAGAGATCACCTGTAGCTGTGGCTGTCACACAGTGCTTGGTAAATAGATGCAGAAAGGGAGGCAGCTAATGAATAGAGGGTATGTACCTGAAAAGAGAGAAAAATCAACATTTATGTTATGGATTGGCACCATATGCCAGTACAAACTAATGCTGCATTTCCAGTGCAAAGCTGCTGCTTGGGGTGATGAGGGAGGCCACGTATAAGTGGTAACTGCTCCATCCGTGTCTCTTCCTGGGCAACGCTTGAAATCCATTTTTCCCCCAACCTGTTGGCCCTTCGATACCTTCCTTCCTTTCCTTCTCTTTCAACATGAAAAGGCTTCTTGACTGGATGGATCCAAGCAATCGTGTGGTTCAGGGCTCCCCAAACGTGTGTGGTGACTTGGAATCGTTGTGGGTGCTGTCCCAAAATGGCTGCTGTGGGGGCAGAGCTTTCCTACTCATAGAGCGGCTGTTTTGGTGCTCACAGCTGGATGCAAACTGCTTATTTCCCAAAAAGCAAACTGGAAGCCTAAAAGAGAAATGACTTGCCCAAGAACCCAAGCACAGGGCAGTCTTAGAACATGGGAACGGAACACCAAAACCCAACTTTTCTGAACCAAATAATGAATGCAAGAGAGGGCAACTCTTCACTTGGCAGCATGTCAGGCTGCCAGTTTAAAAAAAATAAGACATACAAATCTGTTTTAGGAAACAGAATAAAAACCAGGAGAGGCACACAAAGCCTGGTGGATGCCAAGAGAGCTGTCTGGGAACCCTGTGTGGGAAACTCCAGGAGTCATGGCTATGATGACGCTACAGCGATATACTGGGAATGTCCCTAAGGGGAAATGGAGCTGTCCCACTGCTCTTACTTCCAATGGGGTTGGGGAAATGGAGAACACGCCCCACCTGTCCAGGCAAATGAGCTGGCACTTCCTGCCTTGCCATGCTGCCCGGAAGCCCACCTGGCCACAGGACTGGAGGTGCCAGATCCTGCACGTGAAGCAGGTGTGTTCTACCAGGAGGCCATGATCCCTTCCACGGGAAAGTGGAGCAAGAGGCTGGAGACAAAAGGGAGATACTAGCTGCCCATCCATGTATTCCCATTCCCATTCCATTCCCCCTCATCCCAGATTCTCACACGAACACAGCCACAATCCCATGCTCTCTGCTGGAGAATGCGGTCATCTCAGTAACAATTGCTAACTTTCTTTCCTTTGTTATGATTCCAGCTGCTGGGGCTTGGCGGATCAGCTGTCCTATATCTGGATTAAGAGAAATGGAGCAAGGAGCACATTGGCTGGAGTCTGTTACTGACCACCCAGGCTAGGAGAAGAGGAGGAGGAAACTTCTGAAAAGCAGATTGCCAGCGTTTCAACAAGGCACAAGGCTGTCCTTATGGGGAACTTCAATTTCCCCAGTATTCCCGAGATCAGTTGGGAGATCAGCTCTGCCAAGCATGGCCTCCACAAGAGATTCCTCACATGGGATTTCCCTTAGGGACATTCCGAGAACTCCCTCCAACAGGAAGTGGAGGAAGGAGCGAGAGGAGCAGCGATCCCTGGCCTGATACTAAGCAACAGGGAAGACCTGGTGGACAAAGTGCCCGCTATGGGAACTCGGGGGTGTGGGGGGGAGGCAGGGGACGGGACAGTGACCATGTCATACCGGAACTCTTGATTCTAAAAGAAGCAGAAGCCAAATGTAGCAAATTGGATTTCAGCAAACTCAGAACAATGCTAAGTTAAGTCCCATGGCATGCGGCTCCCCCAGCCATCAGGGCTGCTGGACACAGAGGGCTGTAGTCCAGCGAGTCTGGAGGACCCCAGGTTGGAGAAGCCTTCTCTGCACGGCTGGAGCACCTCGCAGAGTCAGCACACATGGCCTCACTTGCTTTGCACTTTCCCTTCTCTTACCTTCACATCTTCAACGTTGGGATGCGGCGGTGTTTTCATCTGCATGATGGTGTGGAGAATATCGTGGATGTGGTTGTTCAAGTACAGCACGGGGTTGGCTATCACCGTCTTGGTTGAAGCAATGCTGGCTGAAAGCAACGGCAGCGTCGTAGGCAGCGGGAGAGGCGACTGAAGCTGCTTGACGGTCGTCTCCTGGTGGGCCAAGCACACAAGCAAACAAAGGCTCGGGCATCATTTCACCCTGGCCTGAAATGTGCGAACGTCCCTCTGGCATCTGTCTGTGCTGGTGACAGCGAACTGCATTAAGCGCAGTCCCTGTGTCCCTTTTCCACATTTGGCAGCCCGGCCCCGGATCCTGCAGCCCCCAACAGCTCCCGGGGCACCCACCTTTTGAACCCACATACTGAAGGCAAGAAAGAAAAGGCAGGCTTCAGAGCAACAGAATCACAGCCCTAGATGGGACCTGCAGGCCAGAACATCTGGAGGCTGCTCACCCGTGCCGTAAATGGACCTGACTCACCCTTTGCTAGCCCCTTGTGCGCATTGGTTAGCGGTGCAAAGACATAATTCATGTGTGCATGCGTGAGATTGTGGTGGCGTGTGTAAAGGGAGGTGTGTTCGCTCAAACCCCACCATATCGAAAAGGCTTCCCAAGGGTATTTTCCAAGCCACGTCGAAGCAGATTTGCCTACGGTTTTTCTATCGCACGAAGCCCTGGCTGGGACACCAGTGGAGTGGAGCCCACAGCTGCAGTGCTGCTCTGAAGGGCTCTGCGCGGGAAGACGGCCATACCTGCTGCGACTCCTGCAGCAAGAACTTGAGCTCCATCCGCACGGAGGCGAGGCCGCCGCCCTGCGCCCCGTGAAGGCTGCAGTAGCTGAGGAACACCCTCAGGAGGGCCTGGTTCTTCTGCAGCCACCACTTCCTCCGCTCGGCGTGTTCGCGCTTGGCCTGCAGCCTGCGCCGCTCCATCTGGTGCCGCTCGTAGGAGCCGACCTCCGGCTTGTCCACCGCGTCTTCGTGGCCAAGGAGGTCTCCGTTTATCCCGACATCGATTTTACCGTCATCTTTGTCACGTCCTTCGTGATTGCATATTTCGTGCAAAGCTGCGATTTCCTTTTCCAGCCAGTTGTACAGCTGGAACCGGAGCTTCCCTCCATCCACTTCGTACCCCGTTGCCAATGTCCGGAGTTCCGTCATGAGGATTTTGAGGCAGGCTCGGAACTTCAGCTGCTCGGCAATCACGTCGACTTCCGTTTTGTCGGCATCTGCATCCTCGCTCCCCGGGCTTTTGTCAGCCTGCCTCGTGTCTTCTGGTCCTGCTTTTGAGCCCGTCATCATCAGGCCCCCCTCTTCCTCCTCCGGCGAACTGCTCTTGTCTTCTCCCCAGTCAAGTTGCAGAGGCTCGTCCTCAAAGGTTATTGCCGGCTTGCTCCAGTCAATCAGGGCTGAAGAGTCGGCCTGACTTACCGAATCCGATGCACGGCTCTCACCAAAGATCGCTGGCTCTGCTTTCACCCCATTCTGCATGACCGGACTAGGGCTGGCGTCCTCCTTCTTCGGGAACAAGGCAGATTTGCTGCTTATGCTGGGGAGCTTGGAAAGAACCTCAAGGGCTAAAACGGGGCAGCCCACTTTGAAGTGAGCGTTGGCGGTCGTAAAGAAGAGCTTCCTTTCAATGAGGTTGATTTTGTCCACGAAGCTTTTCTCAGCTTGCAGTCCTAATGTGGCTAAAGTCCCATCGGGCGAGGAAAAATTTCTCCGGATGAGCAAGGGGTGAGTACGAAGGTAGTTGTAGAAGCTGAACACGACTGGATTGCAGGATTTGACGATGACTAGAGAAATCGGAGATACAGAAACACAGAAAAAGAGTGAGGCAGAAGGGGTCTATCGGGCCATCTAGTCTGACCCCCGGCTCCAGCCGGCTCCACTCATGACATGCCCACCATGTGCATGTGCAGCCTTTCCTTGAACACCCTCCCCGATGGGGCTTCAACCACCTCCAATGGAAGCCCATTCCATACCCTCGGGTCCTAACCATCAGGAAGTACTTCCTGGCATCCACCCTAAATCTTGGTTCCCTGAGCTTTGCTCCACTGGAACTCATCCTGCCCTCCACTGCAGGGCAAAAAGGTCATGACCCACCTCTCCATGGCACCTCCTCACATTCCTGTATGTCGCTAAGAGGTCCCCTCCGAGTCTCCCCCTCTCAAGGCTAAAAAGACCCAGCTCCCTCAGTCTCTCCTCATATGGCTCATCCTGCAAACCAGCCGCCATCCTAGTGGCCCTTTGCTGCACTGTTCATTGAGACATCGTTTTTTAAAAAGACAGAGCGGCTATTTTAATTCCTGTGCAGAAACCCTTCAGGGAGAGTGGAAAGGAAAGGAGATGCATGCACTTGAACTTCTATTTCACCAAACTGAAATGCTTGCAAATTGAGATACATGCACTTGAATTTCTATTTCACCAAACTGAAATGCTTGCAAATTGAGATACATGCACATGAATTTCTATTTCATTCATGTAAGCCATCCTGAGGCTTTTGCAACAGGATGGCATATAAATATTTTAAATAAATAAGTAAATAAATAATTATTTCACCAAACTGAAATGCTTGCAAATTGAGATGCATGCAAATGGATATCTATTTCACTGACTTTACAAAAGGTCCCAAGGAAGAGGACATTAGAAAGACAGAGAGACACTGAGCACTGTTGGACCAAGAATTCCAATCTCCACTGGGATCAACCCCAATTTCTCGATTCACTGTTTCTGCAGCCACTGGAGTGCCACAAACTTTCACTCTCACCAAAGCCCACTGCGTGAACACATGTAGGAGAAATCAAAACGAAAAACCATGCATACACAAAAATATGGCTTAAATCAGTCATTCCAAGATGGCGCAGCTGAGAGGAGGTGTGAGTGTCCCCCAAAGACAGGCACATAAGTTTGCCTGCTTGACTATTTTCCAGACTATTTTCCAGGCTGGGAAAGGGCTGCGATCGGACAAAATGCTTCTGCAGCTATGCCAGCTCCACTTCTGCTCTGGTGTAGCTTTGCTGATCTCTGAGCCACATTTTCAGGGTGCCACCTCCCGAGGTGCCTTCCAGTGTTGCACAAATGTGAGCATCTGAACTGCATTTAAGTAAATATGCACAGCTCACTGCATGAATTTGGGCTAGTCAATTGCTCTCAGCCTAACCTACCTCAAAAGGTTGTTGTTATGAGGACAACATAGAATGGACTACGAGTCCCCCCCCCCCGCAGGTTTCCCACAAGAGGAAAAATGGCAGGATATAAATGCAATTTAATAATAATAATAATTTTATCTGCTGTTTCACGTGCTGCTTTTATTCATAAGCCTTTGAATCCTAAGCCTTTATTTATTAAGCTGGATGTTACCATGCTATATATTAATTCTTTGTAAATCACCTTGGGAACTTTTAAAATAATAAGGCAAGAAGCAAGCACCTGGAGTAAAAAATAAAAAATTAAGAACAAATTTTCCTTCCAAGGTGGAGGTTTGCAGAACAGTTTAATATTTCATTACCTGGATTTTCATCCTCCTCCTTTGGTGTTTGTTCTAGCAGCGTGTCGAGCGCTCTGGTGTACTCTTTCATCACCCAGTAGGCCAGGCTCCTCAGGAAAGGATCGGGGTGTAGTTTGGTGCAGCTGAATCCAGTCCCATCTTTCTCACAGCCCAAAATCTTTTCATAAAGGATGGCTGTGTACGTGGAGGATATCTCAAACTCTGATTCATATAAGCGAGCAATAATCATAGCTAGTTGGATATCTTCCATTTTCTCAAGGCACACCTGCAAAAGACAGCGTTGTGAAGGTCCCAGAAGAACCTATCTGATGAACTTACAAAACACATGCAAAAATACATGACTCAGCCTCAGAACAAACACAGAGCCCAGAAAGTAAGCCATTCTCCTTTAATACGGATAAGACAGGTTAAGACTCAAGCAAAAGGTAGTGATGTGTTAATTAACTTGATTTGGTCTGATAGCTTGTTGATCCTTCGGTTTAATTATTAAGAAGATAATAGAGATGATATCATTTGAGCATTGTAAAATAACTGTGGGCTGTATTGAACTAGTGGGAGCACAGGAGTGTACTGGCTCCCGGAAAAACAAAATAAGTAAATACAGCCACGAGCCAAGCACAATCTTTCCTCCCCAGCCGCTCTGCAATACTGCCCTTGGCGATATAATCTCCAGGGCTCTAGGCCTTCACTGTCTGCTGGCAGAAGGGGAAAAGAGCTCTGTCTCAGGCACCCTTGAGATGTTGGCAAGGAAGCACCAAGTCCCAGACATGCAATTATATCCATGCTTCCCCTTTGGTGTGTCCCACAACTTCCAAAAGGGCAACTCTGGCAAACGTTCCCTAGCAGGACTTGCAGGTGAGGCTTGTAAAAGCTGCTTGTGGAGGTTGCGCCTTCAGCGGTGACTCTCCTGCCGAGCCAACTCCTGGAGAGCCTTAAGGCATCACCAAAAACAGGGAGAAAAGAAAAAAAAAAAAAAAGAAGGCAGGAAGGGGGCAAGGAGCAAGAGGAAGGGGAAGGGAAGAGAGCCCCAAAAATAATAAAAAACCCCCCACACGGGGAACACATATTTCCATAAAGTTTCTGTGTACTTTAATGCAAAATTAGAAATTATTACAATTTAAATTGTAGTAGGTTTTACAGTGGGGAAGATGCTGCCACTTGACTAAAACATTTCGGCTGATTTCCCCATTGCAGAAGAGGCAATGAAGAGCTGTGTCATTTCTGACCCAGTATAACCTAAGCTAAATCAAACATCAGAGGGAACATGCTCAGCCATAAAGGTGCAAGCTGCATGAGGCCGACTTCTGATATCCCAGGCAAATTTTTGAGGTAAAATCCCCCCAAATTACACTGGACACGTCTACTTAAATCCCGGACATTATGCCTTTCAGTTAATACCTCTATAGCATCCTTTAAGGATCCAGCTAATAGGAAAAAGGCAGCTGATTGCTCAAAGCGTTGCTTCCCCAGTAGAGCAAAAGCATTTTTCAGTGCTGCTCTGCGCCATCGATCTTCGCTGAAATTATGGCTGAAGAACTGGGTCATTTTCTCGTCATGCTGAGAACTGTGCAGAAAGAAAAAGGGGAGAACAGAATGAGCAGCATAAAGCTCTGTGGAGCTCAGGAAGACTTGCAAAGGATTGCCCTGCAAGTAGAAAGTTAGCTAGCAGCTTGGCTCAGGTTTCCATAAGTCGCACAAGCTTTCCAATCGTCATTTTAGAAAGCAAACGCCAACCAAACTTACCGAAACAGACCCCACACCACCGCCTTTTTCTTCATTGCAAGATAAAACAGTGCGGCGTCCAAGGCATCGTTGTTCCTCTGGAAGGCCGCTTTTGCAACCTGCAATATTTAGAGGAGAAAAAAAGAATCCCACAAAATTGCGCTAGCAGAGAGAGTTGGGGCTTCAATGGTTTAATGGCAAAAGCTATAGGGAATGTGCACATCTGTACCACCCTTTGTATCACCCTAAAGCAGGTGAGAATACTTCCCTTTGTGGGACCATTTATCCACATAAAGAATGTAGGGATCAGACCAGGGGGCTAATTAATCCACCCAGTGGCCAGCTGGCTCTCCATGGGAAACCCATAAGCAGGGCATGAGTGCAAAAGCACCTTCCCACCCATGTTCCACTGCAACTGGTGAAGGTTCCCAGGCGCCCAGGCAACTGGTGTACACAGGTGCACTGCCTGATCTTGGAGCAGCAGCCACGGATAGCCTGAATCGCCATGAAGTTGTCTAGCTGCCTCTTAAAGTCATCCAAATCGGTGGGCATCAGTACCTCTTGTGGAAGTGAATTCCACAGTGTAAACTACACTCTGTGTAAAGAAGTCCTTTTTATCTGTTCTTGACCTCCTACCAGTCTGAGGAAGGGATGACCTTATGACTGGACTGCTGAAATGGCAGGCCAGAGTGCTTTTAGAACCAAGTCAGCAACCTCCTTCACAGAAAGATACACCAAACCCACAACTTCCCTTCCCTTCCTAGAAGCAAAAGCACACGGCGCTATCAATGGCTGACCATTATCTCCACTTTGCCCAGAGCAGGACAAGCTATTGCATCAATTTCAATTTCAGGTGGCATAAACATAAAACCAAGACTTGGGTCTACAGTGAGAGTTGAACAACGAGTATGTTTTCCATGTTCCACAAGACAAGCGGGGCTTTGGCTCAATGGCTGTTGTTCTGTTGCATATTCCCTACAGCCCTGAGTAATGACCTTCCCGGAGCTGAGTACTGATTAGCGGGCAGCACAGAAATCTAGTAAATGAAAATGAAGGATTACACCAGAGCTTTGCCCAGGTGGCAAAGCAAATATAATCAACTTTACATAAAAATGTAATTATTCCTTGGGAGAAACTGCTGAATCTTGTTCTTTTGCAGCTGGTTTAGGGGTCTTAAGAGTTTCTTGGATTAATGTATTATATATTGGGAGTACAGATAATAGCATGTTCTGTGCCTGGAACATGGTACCCAATACAAGAGGAACGGCGGCAGCTTGAGTGGCAGATCGTGAGCTTTGCATGCAAAAGTGCCAAGTTTCATCTCCGAATGTGGCTGGCAAAGACTCCTGGAACAAGTTACCTTTTCCATGCACCTTCGGAGAGTGTTAATATTTCTGACCCACCAGCCTATCCCCATTGCTCTTAATTCGGACCACTGGGGGTCTCCTCTTTGGATCGCAGGAATCATGTTGATCAACTCTTCCTCTGCTTCCGAGTGAAAAGCCCAGGCAAAGTGGCACGTTGAAACACCTAAAGAAAAGAGAAGGACTCTCCTTGGCAAACATATTTTAACCACAGCCAACGGTATGAGAAATGACCGACGGGGTCGGGAGAGAAGAGCAGCGCACTCCACATGGCCATAATCAATTGTCGAATTATAAGACGCCAAGTGCAGAAGTTCATCATTCGTTAAGGATTATATAGCAGCTTTATTCTATATGGATTTTTGGATACATATGTACAAAATCCGGGGATTAGGAATGTAAGAAAAATAGTACAAGAGAAATCGCCATTCTCTGATATATGACATGACTTCTGCATATTTCGGCAGCCAAAGCACAGGCTGTGCTAACACTAGAAACCCAACTTTCCTCATGGCTAACTGTCCCTCCAGGTTGATTCACATACTTCAAACAGCCCCCTTTATTGGTCAATAGAAATATAACATTGCATATTACCTTGATGGAGTAGCTGAACACGATATAAAGGGGGGAGTGACGTGAGGAGACACGTATGTAAACGCATAGCTAATAAGTAACGCAATCCACACTCATCCAAAGTCTCTCTCCCTGCAAAAGTACATAGAAGTGTCATGATACAATTCACAGACTTGTATGCTATTTAGTTAGGATATTTGTATACTGTTTCTGAATGAAAAACTGTTCATGTGTGGTACATGCTTACACACTGTGATGGCAAACAACCCCAGAAGTCTCCTTTAGTTTTGTCCAAAAGGAAAAACTATGGTTAACAACTCTGAAACAAGACATGGTATTAAGTCAGCTTCAGTCCATGATTTAATATCCTGGCTTGTTCTGAAACTATTTATTGTGGTTGCAGAAGCAGCTTCCTATAGTTTCCTCTGAAACAGACAACCACAGTTAGTGAAGAACATTTTATTTTATTTTATATTTATTTAAAGTTTTTATATGCCGTCCCCATTGCTACACAGCCTCGGGGTGGCTCACAACACAAACTGTGTTGGTTGGTTGGCCAGCTTGCTTCCACAAAGTCCAAAGGATTACTGATATCTTGCCTTATTAAGCTGGGATATGATTGTTTGGGTCATACAAACCCTGAGAATATTTATTAAAGCCATATACAAATTAGACAAGTCAAGCAAATGAGCAACGGAATTCTAAAGCCATCCCGTCACAATGGGGAAAGCTTGACGGCAGAAGTCACCTGTTAGGCTACACAGGTTAAGATTAGAAAGATTTGGTCTGGGAAGTGACGCTCCACCAGGCTCCTATACTCACAAACACCGAACATGTGTGCATAATCACAATCCATGCCATTCTAGTTTTACCAGTGCAAATAACTGTGCAGCAATGATAAAAACAGTGGATATGACATTTTCAAGCGGTTCGATCACCTGAGTAGTCCTTGTCTCTGTTTTCCTCCAGTTCGGTGCTGGTTGTGGCCACCGTGTCGGCCAAGGCCACCAAGAACATCTGCTCCAGGCGAGTGAGGCCCGGCAAGCTCGAGTGCATGAGATGGCTTGAAAGGACACTGGCGTGCTCCTGGCCAAAGCAGGTCGGCCCATACTGGGACAGGTTGATCACTTTGGATTTATGCTCTCTCTTTTCTGGCTCAAAATCAATGAAGTCATCCGTCGTCACCTGCTGAATCTGGAAAAGGTCCGAGTACTGATCCTCCATTTTCCTTTTAGCATGAGCATCCAGGCCTTGGGGCAATTTGGTAGATTCCTCGGTTTTGTAGGTGGAATCCTGATCTGCTGCAAGCAGGGCGTACAAGGGCAGGGGAGGGATAGAATCTATCTCTGTATAGTCCCGCGTGCCGTCTTTCCCGGTGCTGACGGCATCTTTTGCAGTGCTGCCACTCACGCTGATGGTGCGAGAAAGATGGCGCTTGGAGCCGCCTTCGGCACATTCTGGATCTTTCACAATGGCGACCTCTCCCGCGATGCATTTGACTAGATGTGAAAGAATGGCTTTTGCTCTGCGAACTTTACCCAGATCCATCAGTTCCAGCAGCTGAGTTGGGTGATACTGGGGCAGAGTGGGAGAAAGGACATGAGCAGCTTCAAAGAGGCCGCCATCTTGAATCACAGTGGGAGTTCCAAAAACATCGTCCACCACACCTGCTCCGTCAATGACGCTGGTCTTTTTGCTTAGCAAACTGGTCTTCAGGGGATCTTGGATGGGAGAGTCGTCGCCAAGAAAGCCATTGCTTTCTGTGTCTCCCAACTTCATGGCATGCTTCCACTGGGCATACACGTGCATCTCACAATCCATTCCCACAACCAGTATCCCATCTCTGACCCAAGAGAGAGAGACAGGCAATGAAGGGGTACCATCTACAGAAGACACCAAGTCTATGGATCTCAGTAGCACCCATTTGGATTTTATGCCTTGCTTTATGCTACCACCTAGTGGTAAAGTGATGACAGCAACACCATCTTTGCTGCTGGTTTGCTCTGTCATGATTCCAGAAAGGCGGCCATACATGAATATATTTGCGCCCACGCCGACAGTAAGTATATGTGAGCCGTCTTCTTTCGAGACCCAGTCCAAGTGTATCAAATGCTTGATATTTGGCATATGGTATCGGTCTTTGTTCAAAAATATATCTGACTTACTGTACACAAATAAATTACTGTCCACACTAACTCTTGAATCGAGGACGCTCCCAACCTTGACTAAGTCATCCAGATGAACAGTCTGTTCCAAAACCCATTCCGATCCCCCGGTAGATTCACATTCAAAGATACAGACGTGCATAGAAAATTCTTTGGAAACAAACCCATTGGGTTGCACCGGCTGCTTGTACGCCACGGCCAGTCGCCCTGTGTAGGAACAGCTGACAGCGACCGGCCTTCCAACAACAGACACAGTGCTGCTGTCGTCTTCTCTCTCATCGTTCATCAGAGGCCACTTTTTCCAGTGATAGATCTCCTTTGTTCCGCTCCTGCTGCTCACCGCCGTCTCCACAGAACACCTCCAGAACCGTACTTTGTTATCAGAGCAGGACGTCACCAGCAGGTAAGGTGCCAGGCAGACAGGATAAATCGATGAAGAACTCAGGTGCCCTGAATGAACCCAAAAACTGTTTAGCATCACACAATGGCAGATGACGACGTTTCTGTGAATGCAGCCTTTTAATGGACCCACGAATGGTTGCTTATCTGCACAGACCTGCCCAGGCATAGGGCCAGTTCACATACAATGACGAGCCATGGTTGCTGGAGAAAAGCACGAGTGAATTGAGGACTCTGTCCCTGCCCACTCACCACTTTTGTTTGCATTTGGTTTGACAGACAACCCAAGAATTCATTGGTCTGCTGTTGGGTTACAATGTTGGGTTGTTCAACCTTCAGGCACCCAGGATGCCAGGCTGGAGCTCATGATTAACTCACCAGGAACTGGGCTGTTTAGCAAAGTAGATGCAACACAGAAACAGGGATCAGGCAGAAGGACGTGAGTTCTCTTCCCCCCTCATATCCCCACCAATTTGTGTGTTCTTCCATGCAAATCAGGTCACACTCTATGACTACAGCCCCTCCAGTTCACAAAACATCCCCTGCTTGGCCATCTAGGGGTGACCTTAAAGGCTGTAGCTTATCACAGGACCATGCAATTGTAGGAGAGTCAAGCAGTGTCGAATTTCTGACATAAAGGAGATTGGGTAGGAAGAACATCTGGGTCTGCTCCATGTGGACCCCCTCCAGATGTTTACAAGGCTGAGGTGAGTGGTCCTGCGGGAAAGAAGTCTGAGTGAGGGGAGCCAGACCACGCTGAGGGACCTGCTCCGCCTCTACACCAGGCGATGAGAGGGGAAGCGTGGCAGGCCTAGCAGCCATGCTGGAGGTCTCCTGTAGGTTCTCTTGTCTTTCTTCCTCAGCACTTTTTCTCGAAGTGCTGTATCTTTTTTTAGACTACAATTATGCGGGCAGAGGTTGGCTGGCTGATTGATGGGTTAATTGACTGTAAGCCTCTCCAGGAGCCATTTCTGGCCAAGAAGAGGAATGGATAGTCTTCAAATAAATACATATCTCAGCCACTGGTACATTTTGCTTCTTATTCATGCCAACTCAGATTGTGGATACTATCTGAAATACGAAAATTGAATTCAAGTGGTTGTTGGGATATATATTGGGGTGGGCAACTTATGTCCCTCCAAAAGTTTTGGTCTACAAGTGCCATCATCCCCAACCACCACTGGCTATGCTGCCTTGGACTTGTAGGTCAAAACATCTGAAAGTTGCCCACCTGATATATAGGGTCAGATTCTATATACGAGGGGGTCTTCAAAAAGTTTCCACACTTTTTAAAACTCTATTTATTAAAAAATTCAAAAACAAATTACATCACTTGTCTACATAATCACTTTCCTTTGCAATGCATTTTTCCCAGCGTCATACCAACTTTTTAATGCCATTAACAAAAACAGATAAAATATATTTATAAAGTATAAAAGTGCAGAAACCTTTTGAAGACCCCTCATATATATATGCTGAGATTTGGTACCTGAAGTTCTGGACAACTATGTAACTCATTACCAAATCAATAACCTGCCCATAGTAGTGTTTTACCTGCAGAAGGAGTAGCTCGTACAACTTCCACACCAACAGGAAGATCCAGTGGATAACTATAGACCAGGCTGGAACTCAAAATAAGTTTACTGGCTGTCTGGAGATTAGCAACGGATGAAGAACGTGGCATTGGAGTCGTGCTGGGTGAGGTATCGGGAGAAGAGTCCACAGTCTGTTGCCCAGGTATGCTTAGCTGGTTTCCTAACGAGTGAGCTTCAGCCGGCTTTGCTTTGAAGAAACACAACGAACAGATTCACAGTTTAAACAAGGAAGAACTGTGAATTCCATGTATGGGGTGAAAAAATGCCTCCTCTTATCTGTTCTTAATCACTTACCATTCATCTTAATGAATGCCTTCAATGTCTAGTCTTATGAAACGGAGAAAAACCTTGCTCTATCTATTCACTTCATACCATGCATAACTTCATAAGCTTGTAGACTGTTCCCTCTGACTTGGTTTAAACAAAAACCAGGAAAAAGTCTAACCCTTCCTCACTGGCCTTCAAACAAATCTAATAAATAAATAAAATACACAGGGGAGTTGCTGCATCCCCGAAATCATGTTGTTGCTCCCGCTCTGCCTTGCTTTCTTTCCAGGGTTCTGTGATCAGACCACACACAGGGTTTCACTGCCTAGACTTGCGCAACGTCATCATGATATTGGCCATTTTCTTTCCAAACCCTTTCCTTGTGAAATCCCATCCTGGATTTTGCCTTTTTCATAGCTACCTCCTAATGGACCAAGGTCTTGATTGAGAGGTCCACCACAACTTGAAGAATCTTTCCTGGAGTCTCCAAAGAGATGTACTCTCTTCAGAGACCTTCTCCTCCTCTCAATATTGAATAAACCAATGTTTAAAAGGTGGCATTCAGCTATAGAAGAGTACCCTTGTGGATGACATGCTAAAATGCCTTAAAGAAACAAATGGATCACATACTTATGGTAAAAATGTATGTTTCTGTGCAAGGTTGTCACCTACCTAAAGATGCTTGCACAGATTTAAGGTGTAGGTGCCACATGTGAAGAATGGAGCAGCCATTGCCATCTTTTTCTATTACAATTAGATAAAACTTTTCAGAGAAGGGTGGTGGCCGGTAGCCTGTTAAAAAAATCCAAATATAGTATGAACTTTCAAAAAGATTTTCAGAACAACACTGACAAAAAGTGGAGCACACAATAAATATCCATTTTCCCCCTGCATTTCTGTTCTTCCATTAGTAAGGACAAACACGGCAAGAAGCCACCATTACCGAAGTTACAACCATACTAGGAAATAAGTCAAGACAGCAAGCCAGGGATTAAAGTTGCCTTGTGAAACCTGGCTTGCTTGGAAGCCACTATTCATAGTTTCCTAATATGGACATAATTACATATGAAATGATATGTAAGCATGTCATGAGCGGAGCCGGCTAGAGCTGGGGGTCAGACTAGATGGCCTGGGAGGCCAATAGTTTGCTATTCCAGATGTCACAGTACACAACCGTGAGCACACCACAAATCTTTCCGTCTCCATCCCAGGTCATCACCATTTTATCCTCATTTTTATCCTCAGCACTAAGCGAGGTAGCTTAGGCTGAGATTTAGCAGCTTGCCATGGTCATTCAGCAGATTTCACTATGGACCAAGGTGGATTTGAGCCACAGCCTCCCAAATCCTAGTCCAGCCCTCATGCCTGGCCACAGCCTGTACAGATTCTTTGTTCAAGGATAACATTTGCTTCTGGATGCCTCACTATACCTTTGGATGGCTGGAAAAATATCTCTGAGTCCTTCAGCTCTACATCTTCCTTATGCAGTTTGTAACCCAAAATGAAGTCCTCTTGGAAGACATGAAGCAGCTGTGTGTTGGACCCACACTGGAAAAAGCACCAGGAAGAAATTTAACAACCATACCAGATAGTGCTGCCCAATAACATTCGCTCTGGCATTCTTCCGCGCTCCCATTATTTAGCTCTGGTCAGACCCATCCCCACAAGCTTAGCATTCCTGCTGATAGTGCATGAACTTCCCACAGATTTTCCAGAAGCACATGCATGGCAGCTCATTCTTCTCCGACCAAGAGCCCTCTGGTTGTGTTGGACTGCAGTTTGCATCATTGCTGGCATGAACTCCAAGACGAAAAGTGTAGCAAGGTTTTGCTCAATGTTAGTGACAGCGCCCCGACTGGATGTCGCGTTAGCCAACACTAAGCCCAACGTATTGAGTCTAAAAACTCTGCAGCAGGCTTGCCACAGTAGCTGGCTGAGACTGAAGTTTCTTTAATTAATTACTCGGGAAACGTTCAGTTGATTATTTTACCACAGCAGGGAACAAAATTATGCTAATTCCCTTAGGATCTAGGCAAATTACACATTGCACTGGGGATATTCCTTTGAAGGATTGAAAACACCACTTGTTTTTCCATGTTGAAAGGCCTCGCTTGATAGACTTGCTGTACTGGCACTAAAACCCTGGAAGAATTCCAGAATCACCCCGATAATCCTTTGCTTATTTATTTTACATACAGGATTGTATGCTGCGTTAATCGTACTAAGATGCCAGAGGTGGTATTAAATGGTGGCTGGACCCCTGCATTTTCATTTGGAGCCCCAGCTCTCTGGGAAGCCATGTGCCCCATCGCCCTGTGATGCACGGGCACCTGGTGAAATGCAGGGTTACATCTGGTCCCCCAGGATTACAGAGGTTTCTGTCCTCCCGCTGCCTCCTTCCACGAATCTTCTTTCAAGACACTCACCAAGAGCAAATCTCACTGATTTCAACGGCACTGACTTCCACGCACACCTGTGTTGAGCCGCACTGTCAGACTGATGCATTCCCATTAACTTCTACCATGGCTAGCAGGTGCTGGATTGCTCCTACAATCCTCTAAGCATGTAGTCTGAAGTGCCTGATCCTGCCTAATCTTGGAAGCTAAGCAGGGTCAGGCCTGGGCAGAAGTGGGATGGGTGACCTGAGTGTATGATTCTATGATTATTGCTGTCAACTGCCTAGAGAGCTTTGGCTATGGGCAGTATAAAAATGTAATAATAATAATAATAATAATAATAATAATAATAATAATAATAATAAGCAGTCAGCACCACGACCGGTTTTCCCTAAGGGTCTCTAGCTATGAAACGGGACTTGACAGACACACCTGAATGATGCATACGAGTCATTTACCTGGTCAGTGATGGCATCTAGTTCAATAATGCATCCAGGCCGAGCTGTTGACTGCTGGCTCACAATATTAAACACTTCACCAATGAGCTTCTAAAACAAAGTGAGCAGAACAACGGTGTTACAATCTGTTCCCGTTGGTGCGCCCTTAGTACCAGTACCTTCTCTCTCCTCACGTTTTTGTGAAAAATTCCCCATCTACTATGCTGTTTGAAAAACCACATGACAGAGAGGATGCACTCTAACACATCCTATTTCAGTTTTCTCCTTCGATAGCACTGATTTCATAAGAAATGAGTTTGATTTTGGCAGGATGCTATAGACTGGTAATGCCCACTCATTGCTGGAACTCTGAAAGAAGAGTCAATAAAGCAGACATTGAACCCAGCCCAAAATATGGCTTTTTACAGGTAAGGCATACTAGCTGCTACACAGATATATAGACATAGTTTCAGAAAAAGTGGACTATAAGGCAACAATTGAGGTTAACACAGCCAATATAGCATAGTGAGAGAAGTGGACGGGGAGTTAAGAGATCTGAGTTCCAGTTCTCACTCAGCCATGAAGCTCACGGGGAGCGTTTGGGCCAGTCACAGACTCTCAGCCCAGCCTACCTCACACGGTTGTTGTGAGGTTAAAAGGAGAGGAAGACTATGCAGATTTCCTTCTGCTCCTCATAAGAGGAAAAAAGTCAGAGTATAAATAGGACAACAACAACAACAACATAATAGTAGTGTAGTACTACTAGTAGTAATAATAATAAAAACAGCCAAGGTGTTATCAAAAATGCTTCCTTTAGCTTCTAGGAAACATAACAACAAAGTAAGCTGCACATAAGTCAGCACAAACACAATAATTTGCAATGACAGTGCTTACTTAAAAATAAATCTCACCGACATTACTGGGGCTTCCTCCCAGGTAAGGACAAAATGGTAATGGCAATCTTGAGTTTCACTCTTTGTGGGCAAAATGGGGAGTGCCGTTACGATGTTGTTTCACAGAGTTTTATCTGCAAGTCTGTCTGGGGCTCAGGAGGGTTTCCGAGCCAGCGAACGGTGGCAATTCCCATGCGGACAAGATTTGCGTATCAGTGCAGAGCTATTGCATTCCCTAAGCAAGAGCAAATGCCACCCCATGAAACTTACGGAAGATCCAGGGTCACTGAGTTCATCTAAAAGCTTCCGTGCATCCACCACCGCTTGGTATAACCGCAGGTTTTTACCATCGGACGCAACAAAACAAGCACTGGCGGAATTGCAGTATGTCCCTAATTTGGAAACAAGCATTAGTTTGGCATTTAATACACGGGGCATGCTTTAGTAGTAATTCCTGGAAAGGTATGACGTTATTTCATTATGTTCCACCATGCGACAAATAGAAAGAATGTTTCTACGCTCCCACAATTTATAGCAGAGTTTGAAATAAGGCTATTGCATAGCGTGTGTTTCTTCACTTTTAATAGATTCCCACCATTCCTGACATTTTTACATGAAAACAGGGTCACGCTCGGGAAAATCCCTATTCTCTAAGCAAAGATCAGTGCCTGAGTCTGAAATATCACCCTCCACCCTCGCTGATGCCCGTCAATCATTTCGGCATTTTGCCTCTGCCGTGCTGCACTAATACGCAGGGAACACAAGAAGGGCCACACCCAGGTTCAGACACTCAGTCCATCCAGTCCAGCATTGCCAACACAGGCTGGCAGCAGCTCTCCAGCCTACCAGGCAGGGTTGCGTCTAGCCCTACTTGGAGAATCCGGGGATCAACCTGGGGCCACCTGTGTGCAAAAGGGCTGCTCCACCCGTTGAGTTACAGTCCCTCCTACTGCCCGCCATCTCAACAGCCAAGAAGATGGGCTGCCATATAGCCTGAAGTGCCTGATCCTGCTCAAGCTCAGGAGCGAAGGGTTGGGCCCGGGAGAAATCTGGACAGGTGAGTTGAGTCCTGCACCGAGTAGGCAGTTGGACCCGACGGCCTGCTAGGCCTCTTCCAACTGTACGACCCTATGAATAGTTGTCATCTTTTTGGGCGAAGGCATCCTCGCCTGATCACAATTAACAATATATCTCACCATCTGCAGGCCGGGCCCTGCAAGAGGCTTTACTCTCCTGCGTGTGTCTACTCAGATGTAAGAGCCACTGAGTTGAATGGACCGTACTCCCAATAAGTGGGTTTAGGATGGCAACCCCTCATGCCCCCCCCCCCCATTTACGCCTATATGAGATGCCATGCATAAGGATGGCAGACAAAAGTTTTAAATAAATAGATATTCCACAACTCATGAGACTGAATGTCTAGACATCCTGAAGACAGTAGCTCCGTCCTGAAGGACGACAGCTCTAGCAACTGGGATTAACCTTTTAGGACAGCGACACCCTAAAACAAAAAGAATGACGAAATGGAACCAGTGAGGTACCAGGGGTGGGTACAAAAATATTTATTTATGTATTTGATTTCTATCCTGCCTTTTTCCTACAAAGGGCTCAAGGCAGCTTACATCTCCTCCTCCATCTTATCCGCACAACGATCCTGTGAGGTAGGTTGGGCTGAGAGTCTGTGACTGGCCCAGAGTCACCCAGTTGGCTCCATGGCCGAGCGGGGACTTGAACCTGGATCGCCTGAGTCCCAGCCCCGTGCTCTTCACCACTGTGCCACACTGGCTCTCAAATGGAGGCTTAAAGGGAGGCTGTCGTTCCTCAATAAGAGAAGCTAGACCATTGCAAGGAATATATATGCACATGCTCTCTCTGCCCTTGCAGATAACATAAGGGGGGGGGCGGGGGGGGGGGAGAGAGAGAGAGAGAAAAAAAACTAATGTAAATGAGTATCCAGGAATTTGTGCCTTTTTTTTTCCCGTCCTGTAGGCCCGTGCTCCAGAACTTTTCGGGGCCTTGCATTACTCCTGGAAGCGCTGTAAAAACACTTACAATACATAAATGAAGAGCAGCTGCCATACTTATATGGCCAGGTTTGCATCATACGAATTTTAAAAAGAAAAGTCAGTCCCCCATTTTTGCTTTCTGTGGGAAGTAAATGACTGTGACACGCAGCCGGTGGGAATCGCGTGCTCGTAGGACGTCACTCCCAGGGGCTGTGCTTCCAAAGAAAGCCACACCCAGGGTGTGTTCGGCTTGCCCACCCAGCTGCGCAACCGGCTGGGAGTCCTGCTTGCACCTTTGGTTCTGCCACCAGGTGTGCGAGCTTCTTGGGCGGTCACTTGCGGCGTGGAAAAAGTCTGCAGGGCTCTGCTAGCGCTGCCTGAAGAAGACCGCAGAAGGTCCCCCTGGGGCAGGACCCTGCGCAGGCCTTTGATACAATGACACTCACCCAGGCAATAACTGGGAATAAGCGTGGGAAGCCAGGCGACGTTGGAGAATGCGGAGGTGTGCAGCGAATTGATGCGAGCCAGCTCGGAGACGCCTCCCGTGTAGGACAAAGGGCCGATGGGGTCCACGCGCCACAGAATCAACTCGCTGTAGATCGCGTTTGGGTCGTGGAAAGTGCGTGTCGCCACGTTCCTGAGCTGCTGCCGGGAAGGGCATTTCAGGTGCCGCGTGGGATCCGCGATCTTACTCAACCCGTCGGAATCCCACGCCTCGTCAGACTCGGGGGTCAGCAGGGCGTTGTGGTGGGAAGACGTGAGCAGCAGAGGCAGCACCGAGTGGCAGGCGAGGTCGTTCAGGTGGAATCGGTGGCCGCAGTAGCGGAACTTGTGAGTCACGGTGTGCACGGCTGTGAAGGCGGACCGGTCGGCAAACGAAACCGCCCACTGGTTCAAGGAGCCGTCGATGTGCTTGGAGACCATCATGACGGTGGGCGCCGTGATGTTCATGCTGCTGCTCTCCTGGGCACAGCTGGGCCTCCAGCCGGACAGGCTCTCTGAAAGGCTGGCTCTGTTCTGCGGCGGCTTGTAGCCGGTCTCCTTCGCGGAGGTGGTGCAGGCGTACATCTTGATGTTCTTGCTAAGGGAACTTGCATCTCCCGACGGAAACGCCACTGGGATCTGAGAAGAAAAGGAGACCTGGGGGGGAAAGGGAAGGGCACTGAGAGCCTGGAAATAAAACCTGCCGTTTTTAAACAACCCTGTCCCCGAACAGATAGCAATCCTGGTAGTCGGAAATGAATAAATAAACTAGATGCAACATTGAATGCCCCTTTGCCTTTAACATGGAGCGTTCTTGTTTTAAAATTGCACCAGGAAAAACCTTTTTATTTGCCCGGAATTTTAATATTTAAATATTTTAACTAGTTTTTAATGGTCATGCTTAGTCACATTCTACTTTCTTTTACTTTATTGTGTTTGCTGTATTTGTGTTGTTTATTGATTGGTATGTTTAACTATCTTGTAAGCCATCCTGAGATGTTAAGGATGGGATAAAAATACTATAAATAAATAAATAATAAAATAAAATAAAAACATGTAAATAGCATTGCTCTGGATAGCAGAACGATAATGATCAGGATGGCTGTGAAATTCTGGTGCTGTGAAACTTCTTCTGGAGCCGATCTTCGCTCTGCTGCCACTGGCCCTTAGCGATTAACTTTGTGGTTTAAGTTAGAAGGGAGCATTTATTTACTTTTGATTAAGCATTTTTACTTAATGCCTTCTGGGAAAAAAAGCTCCCAGAATGGATTTCAAGAAATCCGTAATATGACAGTCTCTGTCCAGAGCTTTACCATGTAAAAGAAATGGAAGGAAAGGAAAAGTGGGTTGTGAAGGAGAATGAAAAAGCAAAAGGGGTCACACGTTCCTAGTTGCAACAGCCACGGGGAGAAAAGCAGCCGGATGTTGCTGGTTTCTCTGCAGAGTGGATGAAGTGGCCCCGATTCCCTTGTCCCTTGATTAAATTAGTCCCTCCAAGTTCTACAAGGGGCTAGACACGCACAGGCCAATAAATGCACTCATAAACAGGGGTTTCTTTTAAAATGCACGATACCTGAACTTGTCGAAAAATCCCTGGATTGTATTCATCCAAATACTTGACGTGCCACACCAGAAAGGTGCCATCCACAGGGTGAATGGTGAAAAGCATGTCGGGATTCTTGTTCCACTCCTTAAGAAGCAGCTCAATTTTCCTGTCTAGCAGGACCGTCGGCAGCGGCATAGGTGAGGCAGCCGGTGAAAGGATTTTGGGACTACCTTCCCTCTCCCCCTCTTCATGCTCAGAGGAACCCGTTCCTGTCCCCGTCTCAGACTCTCTATCCAGGGACAATTCTGAAATTCAGCATAAGAAAGAAGAACCGTGTATGTTATGTTATGCAATTCCCCAGTTATTCTTATTCCTCCCCTCTTTGCACCCCCAAAGCCGAGGTTGTAAAAAGTTGTTGTCAGCCGCTTTCCCTATCAATGTTTACTTGGCATTACCTACATGCACATGGGCTAGCTAAAAATGAGGAAATCCTTTTTGTCACAAGGAGAGCATTCTGTGCAAGGTGTTCCAAGAAGCCCTTTGAACAAACAAATAGCGTGCATACGTTTCGATGCAGCAATGTAGAAGGAAAAACGGGGATAGAAACAGTCTTTGTTACCTATCTTGGTCATTTACGAGAACTGCTAAGCGCTTTCAGGAAAGGGTATACGCTACGCTCTGTCATTGCCGGGAACCTAAAATCCCTGGGAGGCAGCATTCCCCATAAAGGACATCGCAGCATGGGGGAGACCAACCATACCCCACCCACTGTCCAGAGAAGGAACAGATGCAGGGAGACTGAAACTAAGAACAGGTTTCCAAGTTTGCTTTTTCCTCCTGCCTCAACATTTCTTTTCCTTTTGCATCAGTTTTACAGATTGTAAGATGGAAGTCCAAGGCTGGCTTTCTTGATGATCTGAGACCCCCTGTTTGGATTGATGAGCAAGGGAGAAATGCTTTACATGAGAAATCGGACTGCTTATCTATCCCTTGGTAACAATTGCTGGGAAAGACTGAGCGTTGCAACCCAGAAAAAAGAGGACTCCGGAAATAGATATTACAGGCAGTTTAAAGCAGCTCTATTGTATTTATCTTGATCCCTCTGAAGGCAAAACTGTAGAGACCGGGAGAACGAAATCTATACCACTAACCATGGTCAAGTTTCATGAGTAAGCCTCTCTCTTTCTCCTCCTCTTTCTCTCCAACATAAACATCCTCTTCCGCTTTTTTCATCTGCAGGTCAGTAAGTTCTCGAAGATGTTGCATAAATATTTCAGTGGAGGATGTAAAGTGGAATTCTTTATTATTTAGCCAATGAACCACAAAGCCTTCATTTCCTTCATCTAAATTAAAAGCAGTCTTAAGCAAGGCTGGTGGAATATCTGAGGAAATAAAGGAGGTTTTTTTTCCACAGGAAAAAAAAATTAAGAACAAACATTGGACATGAATTCAGGATACAATTCTATACGTGTTTAGAAAGAAAAAAAGCCCACAACTTCCAGCATGTGCTGGCTAGCCATTTTTGCAAGCTAGAGATGGACAGGTCACTCTGTTTCGGCCACCTTCTCATTTGTTCGCTCATAAGCCCGTTGTGTCCTTTTTTGGGTTAAGTTGCTCTTCTTATTCTTATTACTATTATTCAGTTTGTGAAAAAAACAGCTTTGCACAAAAATCCATTTCAATCTCAATATGCATTTGAAAACGTTTTCTCAAAAACATACCTGCCCAGACGTGTTTATCTGAACGTATTTTGATAAGCATTTTAGACAGAGGACTGCCTTGCCACACTCAGAAAAATGGGAAATGGCGACTTAATTTATACTGTTAATTTATATTATTTTAACGAAGTTTATTTATGTTTGTGAGCCGCCCCGAGGCTTCGGCGAATAGGGTGGCATAGAAGTTTCCTAAATAAATGAATGAAAGATGAAGCAGAATTCTGTTCCAATTCTCACGTTACAGGATCAGAGGGACCCTACACATCAGACCCACGTTTACCCCTTTTCCTTGCTAATTCCTCTGTGCGCTATCCTCCCGACCTTGTGGCAGATGCTCGTAAGCCTCTGAAAGTGGAATCTTCACAAGCATCGGATGGAAGGTGCAAGGAACAACTGTCTGCCATCGCACCGCTTTGGCCGTCGAGACTTAGAGCCAGAGAGCGAGGAAAGGTGACTGGGACAATGTTTGGACCTGGCATAACTAAGGCCCATATTCCTTTTCTCTTTTTGGCACAGAGTTACAGAACAGCAGAGTTGCAAGGGGCCAAGAAGGCCATCACGTCCAAGCCCCTCCTGCTGCAGGACTCGAGTCCTGTCCAGGACCAACCCTGCCCAGATGCATCTTGAATGCCTGAATTTTGGGACAGCCAACGACTAACCGTTCTTTCTGTGCTGGCTATAAGGGACAGGGGAGGGTTTGGCCTGCAGCGTCCCAGCTCTGAGATTGTAAGTAAAGAGACAGACCAGAATCCAAAGTCTGAATTCCTTCAGTATCCCTAAGATAAGCTATGATGGGGATGCTGAGGAACAAATCGCTTGTGTTACCTGTCTTGGGGTTAATGCTTGTTGCGATGTGGAAATGACACAGGGCATTGGCATGGTGGGAAATGTGGCGCTGGACTTCATGGGTTCCCAGCTGATTGGGCAAATCTTCCGTGTGGGTTATCAGTACTGACGATCTTCGCTGACCCTTCCTCAAATTCTTCAAGTGATGGATGGTCTAAAGCAGTCGAGGGAAACAGAAGAGCATCAGAGATAATATTTTTCTACTCTAAGTACAAAGCTGGTTGGTCTGTCATCATGTGCAAAACCCAGACAAGATGCTTTTTCACTTCCCTAACTTTTAAACCATCAAAAATGGTTTGAAAAGAAACTCCTTGTCAGTTCCAAATAAGCAAACTAAAGCTTGTCTAGCTGGTTTGTTTGCAGATCAGGGCTTGTTTGAAACCCTAGTTGAATCATGGTTCCCACGTAATGGCAAGGCAGGAACTGGGCAAAGTTGGTTTATTCCTATGCAGAAGGAGCTCTGGGGAGCAGCATTTTGCACGGACTCCTTTGTACTCCTGTGTGTAGTGCTAAGCCTGGGATGCGCGTTGCCCACAGAGCGCCCAAAGCAGCAAAACGTGATTCGGCGAGTAAATCAGAGCACAATCCTAAACATGTTTACTCAGAAATAAGACCCACTGAACTAAATGGGAATTACTCCCTAGTAAGCACACTTACGATTGCAACCTAAAAGTCTTTGGGGAGCTAACAGGGAGACTGCCTTAAAGTGTTCCACGTGATTGCCAATCCTGAAACACATCCTCTGAAAGTCCCCATTTACTGAGTTTGGGTTTGGGGGGCATTAGACATATTGAGGACAGCTCTCCCAGCCCACTGGCACAAACATGCTGAATCAGCATAAAGCTAAGAATAAAACACAGTCACAGGATAGCCCCGCGAAGATTCATATTCCGCTAGGGAGCAGTTCCATGCTGTCCAAGAAGGAGGTGCTTGCAGGCACTGCCAAATCAGACTGGAGGAGCTCCATGCGTCTTTGAGAGCTGGGCAGAGATACTACCTGGCCTCTACTGCTTCCCATCTCGGCTGGTTTTGACACATCTGCTTCTCCATCCTTTTGCTGAACGACAATTCTAAGCCTCTGGCCGTCCGGTGATAGCGCCCTACCTCCAAAGCATGCTGAATGTTGTCCTTGTGCCTTCCAGAGTGCGAGAAGCTGGCACTGCTGCTAATGCTGGAGGTGCTAGTTTCACAGATCTGCTCCCCCAGAAGCGTATCTTCGGGCAACACGGTCTCTGCCCACAGCCGGCAGATGCCGTCGTGGCACGAGGTCAGCAGCACGTTGCAGACAGACCCCCTAGAGGCAAACACAGGGATTACCACTTGCAGCGTCAGGGCCTGTGGGACCGGGATGGAGCGGAGAGGGTGGTTCTGCAACGCACAGGTACGTGCAGGACCATCAAGGCCTTCCTGTTAGGCAGAGTGAGGCAGCCCACTGAATGTTCCCCCTGAGCTGCCCTCACCCCCATTGCCACCGGTTTTTCTGGAAAGCGGAAGGGCGTGCCACCTCCGACAGCCACTCCCCTGTTAGCAGTGCTGAAGGAGCATCTGATCACCAGTCCACGTGGCTCCCATCACGGAATGGCTGGAGGCACCATTTTGTCCTTCACCTCAGACAGAGAAACGACTTACGCTGGCTCTGATTATTACCAGCAAAATAGGGTCTGAGGCATCTGACCATGAGGTATTTATCTTCTCTCTTAAAAAAAAGTTGCCGGTTCAAGGTTCCAGACAGCGATTCCTTCTACAAAGTGCTATTTTTCTTTCTCAGCTGTCACTCTGCATTCCACAGCTACTGGGCATGCATAATCCTCATTGGGGTGACTTTTTTTTTGGCAGGGCAAGTTGCTCTTTAGTTTTTTTGCCTAAAAAGACCCTTTCCAAAAAGCAAAAGGCAAAAAAAGCCCTTTCCGAGACTTCTGTATATCTCTGGTTTGCATGTCAGAATCCCATTTCCTAGCAACCCTGTTCTTGGCTCCAATTCTCTCAACACTGACTACCTGAATTTGCTATTAGAAAAAGCAACCTCTTACCATAAAGTTGCTTAGATCAACAGGGAACCCATTATTCCAATCTTGCTAAGACCATTTATCATGGCCAAGGTCATAGAATGGTGACATTAATTCAACTACCTATCTTCTCCCTCACTCTCTGTACAGTAACCCATTCCTACCATACAGAGATTTGTTCTTGAAGCTGAAATAGGGTTTCAAAAGCAGTTCCTGATACAGCAGGGAGGACAGTAGTCTGTCCATCCATCCGTCCCTCCAATTTTTATAGCACTCATTAACATTCCCCTGGGATAATACAAGCCCTTCATAGGAATCCAAGGCTACAATCCCTACAGGTTTAGTTGGGAGTAAATCCAAGTGAGAATTATTTCTGAGTAAATAAGAGCAGGATTTGCGATCCACAGTTGACTAATACCTTTATAGCACTGACCAAAATGCCACAAAAGAGTGCGGAAACTTTTACATTTCCCAGCGGACTTGTTCAGTTGAGGATCCGGCCAGCCATGACCCTCTCGGCAGACAAAAGTTTTCTGTGGCGCTGACTATGCAGACATTCTGAGCACCACGTCCTGTAGCTTCCGACTGCCTTGCCAACCCTCTTGCCTGATGAGGAGGCTTGGAGTTTCTGAAAGCCTGCACATTTTTGTGAATTTTGAGGTGGCTTAATGAAGGTATTACCACAAGATGGAATGTGGAATTCTTCCTATGGCCAACACAGCTGCCTCTGGGGGTGAGGAGTCTGGTAACACTGAGAGCCAGTGTGGTGTAGTGGTTAAGAGCATGGGACTGGGACTCAGAGGATCTGGGTTCTAGTCCCCGCTCAGCCATGGAGCCAACTGGGTGACTGGGCCAGTCACAGACTCTCAGCCCAACCTACCCCACAGGGTTGTTGTTGTAGGGAATAAGATGGAGGAAGAGAATGATGTTAGCTGCCTCAAGCCCTTTGTAGGAAAAAGGCAGGATATAAATCGCAATATAAATAAAATAAATAAACAAACATTTCTTTCCAGGATCATTCTAACCTGGGCATAAACTTGCTTGTGTTTCGCCATGAAAATCCAGTCACTGCTCGCGGGTGTGCCAGGTACACGAAGGCAAAGTGGACAGGCATGGAGGCCTTCCTTGGTTCCTCGACCTCCTGGGGGAGAAGCGATGATTTCCAGCCAGTCATCGGATACCAGACTTTTAGAAGACAATCATCCTAGACAAACCAACACACAGCAAATACGTAAGTGTAGAGATAAGCACAATTTTAAGTAAGACACATAAGTAAACAGCTACAGCGGGCATTAACTGGAAGAAGGCACTGGCTTGAGCAGAGGGGAAGCAATTCAAAATCTCCACCCCGCGACTTGTAGGAAGAAAGAGGAAAGATGCTACCAAACTATTCTGGTCTGGTAGCAGGCATCTCTTATAGGGATAATTTGAACCATTCCTTAGTTTTAAGACACAGGATTGCATTATGAGATTGCTTATATTTTATTTAACATATGCAGATAAATCAATCTAATGTGTCAATTACATTAAGTGAAACATTAACTGATGGCCATTTGCTGGGACAAAATCACAAATATATAGTCTAGTGTTTAACATATAACTATTTTATTTTATTTAAAATGACTTTTAGGCACCCTTTAATGGTAAACTATTCTCAAAGCCATGAATAATATAAAAAAGAAAACAAGACAAGAACAAATAGAAGAGAATCAACCAATTGATTGAAAGTCAATTAAAATGTTATAAAATCAGGAAGAACTAATAAAACCTAGAAGCTTCAATCAATTCTTTATTTGGTGATTGACCAGCCAATTAATAAAACACAAAATGACAATTAGCTAAAACCTAGAACCTTTTCTGCAGACAGTAGAAAAGCCAGCAGAAACAAGTCATCTTCAAGATATTCCAGAAGGGCAAAGAAGGGACCTGAAGAACCCCTGATGAAAGCAAATTCCAGAGGCCGTGTACTCATCAGCATAACTGCTCTTGGACGTGAGCAGGTGAGAAGGGCTTCCAGTGATGACCACAGAAGAAGGGCAGACTGTATGGAAGGAGATGGTCCTTCAAGTAGCTCAAGCCCAAACCATTTACATCTCCAAATGTTAAAACCAGCACTTTAAATTGCACTTGGAAACATGCTGGAAGTCTGTGTGGCTGAGACAGGATTGGCATTGCCCCAGCAAACTCCAACCACAGCCAGGTGGCCATCACCTGCACCAGCTGGGGTTTCTAAGCCATCTTCAAGGGCAGTCCCAAGGGCAAAAGAAAAAGTCAGAAACTGCATCCAGAGAGATCCAGAACAAGGATTTACATTCACAAATGAACGGTCTTGAGTGGTACCCTTAGTTAGCACCTGAGATAGAGACATTTTGCCAAGAGTTGTGGTCCAAGAACATCTGTGGGGGTGCTGGTATGAGGTAGCCATGAATCAGCTCCCTTCAGAGCAGCAGCCTGCCAACTAGAAAGAAGTTCACAGCTGCATTTTTGCACGATGGTTAAGGCAGAACTGTAAAGATCCCTAGCGGAATGTTCACTACAGCACCCTTGCGCATCCTTGCGCAATCGCTCCTGCTTAGAGATGGGAAGGCCTCAAAAAGAATTGGAAAAAATTAGTGAAAAGAATTCCCCCACCTTTTTTTTAAAAAAAGGTAGAGTTTTTAAAAGTTGGGCTTTTCCCTGCCAATCTTTCCAGGGCATCACGTGTCTACTCCCACAAGGCTCATCTGCCTGCAACAACTAGGAACTCACAAGGAAGGAGAGAAGTGTTGGCCAGGTGGGAAAACCCCCTCGCACTACAGCCAGAACAGGACTCCCCACTTACCTTCCCAAAACAAGCCTGGAAACCAACTTCAAAACCTGCCTTCTGACAGTGCTGGTGAGATTCTGGTGACTGCATCCAGCCCCATTCAGCACGCGCTGCGTTGCTGTGAATGCCCCAAATGTCACCCTCCCACTTTCTGCACACCTTGTACTACATTTCTAGGCATCCTTGTGACCGACCAGTTCCCTGCATCATCTTTTGGACACCTGGATAAAAAAGCTGGAGAATACGGTGCTCCTTCTGCTCTTAGTTACCCACTCCTTATAGGCAAGATGTGAATTTGCTGCAGCATACCTGTCTGCCCAAGTAGGGTGTTTTCTTTTCATACCTTGCCTGTGTTCAGCCATAGGACTCCCTTTTCTGACCGAAAAGGCTGAGAAGCAATTATACTGCCTATACTGAAAACATAATGGGGTATGAAGTTTGGATAATGAAATTATGCAACGAGATTATAGAGCTTTCAAAGGACTATTCAAAGCTAACAGATCTTCTTTTTCTTCTTTTTTAAGGCCAATCATTTTGGAAAGTAAAGCCAGCAAGGAAACAGAGGTTTCAGCCAGGCTAAGAATGCTGATCCCCGGCGTAAATGTAAGCCGGCCACATGCAGGAACTAAAATGGAAACCTTCTCTGGGAAAAGCAGAAAATGGCTCCCGAGACCATCTGCTTCCGTTGTTTAGTCACAGAACTCTGGCACGCCATATGAACAGGCAGAACAGATGGAGATGAATGGGGGAAGAGAGCCTTTGCAAATCTTCCTTCAGGCCAGTCAAGATTCTTGGTTATATGTAATATTAAGGGAACAAGAGGGAGGGTTGAAAATATCGTCGCATTGCATGCCCTCTCCCCCGACTTGGTCTTGGCTGGAGAGCTGCATATACAAGCACGTTTGTTGCTCTATGTAGCCAGGGAAGGCAATGGTCTTTCTGTTCCTGCGTCTGGGATCCCAAGGCCCCTGGAGGCCATGGCCCGTGCACAGTTTTTCCTGAACTGACTGACTGCTGCACAAACAAAGCACTTCTCGTCTTAGCAGCCTGGGCACCAGATGCACGCCGACACTTAACTGCAGCGTCATCATCAGGAGCTGCCATTCACCGAGTCCCAAGATCACCTCCTGCTCTACCTTAGCTGCTCTTAATTGCTCTGGAAGCCCACTCCTGTGCCCTTTCCAAGCATGGAAGCCGTAACAAAAGCAGGGAAGTCCAACCATGGAAGCCAGGAAGTCCTGAGCCATGAGCTGAAGACAGTGGGAGTGGAATCAGGTGTTCCCGGGCCATTCTGGGCCAGTAGGCACGCTGGAACATGGGGAGAAGGTTGTGGGTGTTCTTACAAAAGGGCTGTCAATTGGGGGCGGGCTCATTCATTAAAAAGTCTGCCATGATGTGCACAACTGATCACAAAACACTCATTTCTAGAAGGCAAGCTAGCGAGTTAAAAAACACTCACTCAAGATCAAAGCATGAGGAATGGGTTTAGCTCCAAAATGCAAAAGCGTACTTTTGAACTCAAATGAAGACGGTTTTGGAGGGCAGGAAATCACCTTGTAACACTCCAGCATCTGAGGTTATTTTAAAAGATAAATAAAACATCTTAGGAACTAAAATGACAATCCTGAGGGGCAGGGGGCCAGCTGAGTGCCAGGAGCAGGCATCCATGGAAAACCTGCTGCCCAGCGCCACCAGACCAGAGACCAGAGACATGAGTATTTGATTTTGGGTTAGAAACAGAAGAAAATAATTCAATCACACTGTTCAAAAGAATCTCCTGACACGTGGCACAGCTGGAACTTGCTCTTTATGGGCCTTACCTTCCCAGCTGTTGCAAAATATTCACCATCTGGCGACCATTCCATCAGATGCACAGACACAGCAGTCCTAAACACAGCACAAGGCAAGAAAGCACATTTTCCAGTGGAAGGGAAAACACTACTAGAAGCATCCACTACTCTAAATGCAATGGACTTTTATAATATCAAGACAAATCTGCTAAGGCAGACCAAATTTATTTCCATCATCGAAATCTTGCTATGCAACAACAACAACTTATCATAGTCAGTGACCAGCTCGTTCTTAATAAACAATTTACAAATAAAACATAGATTAAAATATTCCAACTATTAATTGGACAAAATATCAATAAACAAATGATGCAAAATTATTTAAAATGATCAATTTTTAATTAAACATTTAAAACATCACAGACAATCTCTTTGTGGATCTTGCAAGCAGCTGCAGAAGAAGCTGTTGACCAGAAAGTAGTACATACGGCGCTTCCTGGCCCCTTCAGCATGAGATCCGCCTGGAACCTTGCTATGCTCACAGTGCAAGATGGCCAAAATGACGTAATGGGTGCAAGGCACTGCACATTTTAAAAAGCAACTCTATTATAATGCGAGACCAGCCTCAACCAGGCTGGTGCCTTTGGTAAACTGGTGAAACGGAACTCTGTGCCTTAAGGAGCTCAGAGGCCGTATCATCACTACTGAGACCTCCAGTATTTAAAGGAAGTGCTAAAGATTGTTTACTTTCTTCAAGAAGGAATCTCATGTTAAACATCTTGCGTATCAGACTCACCAGCAACAAGAGGGTAACTCCTAGATATACCAAACAGCAGCAAGAGTGTCCTAGACATTAATTTTTTAAAGCACAAAATTCTCCATGTATTTCAGATCAGAAAGACTAGCTAGTCTTGCCAGAACGAAGCAATCTGACTATTTAGCCATATCCCAACCCTGGTTTGGAGGACCAGAAATGTGTCAGAGCTTCGCACGGTCCCCATTTTCCCCCTGTCTTCAGTAGCTTCATTGGCAGTCCTACATAAATCACAATGGGCTAGAATATTCCAATTATAGGGTTCTCCAGAACTACAATATTCAATCTTTGGTTTGTACTGGCCCCTCCTAAATCAGAACTTAGAAACCTACGTCGAAGTGCAGTTTCCAGCTCTACTTTGGAGCAGTTGCACAAACCAAAGTTTGCTGATTCAAATACCTCTGCAAACTACGGTTTGTGCTAAACAGGAAATGGGAATGGAGGTCACATGTCAAAAAGGAAACTGGGAGCATGCAAGGCCGTGAGTTTTGTTATGTTTAATAGTTCTTTTCTTGAAGAATAACTCCCTGAAGTCTGGAATGTGCCAGGAATATTGTGCCTTGTAAACAACACACAGATATAAACAATCTGTCTGCTATGATCAAGCCAGGATGTCCTTAGGGAGCCATCCCGTAGGGAGGTGGGGGGATGTTATGTGGAACAAGGGCCTTCTTGACAGTGGCACCTGGCCTCTGGAATAAGCTTCACCTACGAGCATTTTGCTGCCAGGCAAAGACTCACCTTTTCTCCAGTTATTTTAAGCATGGATTTTAAGGGCGACTGGTTTTAAAAATGACCCCATGTTTGGTTTCATTGATTTAAGTTTAAATTGTTTTATTTAATGTTCTATATTCCATTTTAATGTTGATATACTAGCTTTTTATTAGGATTATGTGTTAATGTGTTTTAAACATGTTGATTTAATGTTATTGCTTTTAGGAAGTTGTTCTGTTTTTATATTGTGAGCCACTCAGAGAGCCCAGATATGGGCTATTGTAGTGGCTTAAGTCCCTTAAATAAATAAATTCATAAATAAAATTTTTGTTGCTCTTTGGCATTGGACTTCCTGCAGTATTCAGTCTTGGGATGGAGGGTGATGGCTTGAAAGATGTTGGAGTGCACGAGGAACTCTTTAAGCAGCTGCCCACCCATCACCAAACTTACTTGCACTGCCAGACACATTCCCAGTCATTTAAAACAAGAGGAATTTTATCATCTTTGCCCTCAATGTCAAGATCCTTCTCTTCTTCTTCCTGCTCCTCCTCCTCCTCCTTCTCCTCCAGGATATCACTAGCTGGGGGAGCCCATAATTGCAAATAATCTGTTGCTGTCAGCAGCCGGTTCCCTGGAAGCACAGAAAGTTTATGTGACATAGAGAAGAGAAATAATTCTTTAGCACTGCCATCTGACGTAGCTTGACACAGGAGGCGACTGTATGCACAGATATGCAACGAAAAGGAATTATACTAAGGGAACAAACCTAAGCCTGTGCAGACACAAAAAGTCCCTTGACAAAGTCCTACATGCCCGGCTAGGGGATTTGGGGAGCTGTAGAATTTTTTTCTGTCTAAGCAAGCACAGGACTGGATCCCAGCATAAAAAGTGTTCTTTTCCTTTTTGCTACTATATATTCAAGTCTATTCTAGAGGTTGTAAGATTTGGTGCATGCTTAGTTAATCATTAACTAAACAAGGAGAAGATCAAGTCCCTCAGAGCTTCCCTTCTTTGCCAGTTTGTAAGCCTGGTCCACGCCTCTGTTACCTTGCATAAATCAACTTCCAACTGGTCTGACACTGTGGGTTGTTCAGGCGTTAAACAACCCACAGCCAATGGAAGAATTAATTGAGCAGAACTGTGGGTTGTAATCCCCCCAGCATCTGGGTTCACATCCTGTTGGGCTCACAGGGAACCCAGCATTCCCAGGTGGACCAACTGGAAAGATACTCTGCAAAGTGGCAGGAGCGTAAGCACACAATTGGCAAACTGCAGCCTAATCAACCTATCCGTTGCCACCATTATGTGTGAACTGGGTCTGCCTCCCAAAATTCTGACCCACTCAGCCTTAAAGCAATCTCCCCCAACCTTGTGAATCCAACTGGGCAACCTCAGGACAGAGGTTGTTAAACTACAATGGCCAAAAACCAGATGGGTAAAGTCAGCTTTAGGCACTCCTTTTATGACAGGGGCATGGAATCTTGTTCCATTCTTTATGGACGGCTTTCCAGACGTTACTGGAATGATTCTCCTTGCCCTTGGCACTCCGGAGAGGGACACCTCTTCACTCCAGTGTGATGGAGTCCTTCCATTCTGCACCATCGCTCTTTGAGAACAAGGATGCATCCTACCAACACGGCCACTTCTGGTTTAGCTCCCACCCAGCCTGAACCTGACCGGGCTCAACAACTCCAACATGTGGCCATCTGCCTGCAGGTTTATCTAATACCTCTGCAAAGTTCCCACAAGGCACCAAAGGCGACTTATTTTATATTGTTATTTCTTGTATTTTAATTTTATGTTGTGAGCCGCCCCGAGGCTTTGGCGAATGGGGAGGCATAGAAATGTTTTAATAAATAAAATAAATAAATAGAATGGCCGACATAGCATCACCCAGGGGCATGGTGGGAAATCCAAAGAGCAGATCCCCCAAGTAGGCCCTGCCACTAAGAAGCCAGAACCAGGGCTTGGGCAGGCATAAAGGGGGATGAATGAGCTGGCAGATAACACATTTGGGGTGGCCATTTTGCTTGGAGGACCCCCCAGATAAGGAGTAGGTTCTGGTGTGGCCTACACACACTGAAAGCCAGTGGGGCACAGGAGTGAGTGTGCTGCTCTGGGACCCAGGAGATCTGGGTTTTATCCCCACAGGGCCATGAAGTGCATCGGCGGCCGTTCCCTCTCAGTCTAACCAAGGCCAGAGGGTTGCTGTGAGGATAAAATGGAGAGGAGCAGAATGAACATCATTAAGCCATCTCAGGCCCCTGCAGGACAAAAGTGGGCTATAAATCTAATAAAGAAGTAATCACATTTATACAGCCCCCCCTTCCTCCCTGGCAACTCACATTAACAAGGCGGGAAAGACTAGCACCCCACGGATCGTCTCCATGCTTGGGTGGTGTGATGCTGCCTACGGAACATGCTGGTGGGAGGCAGGCTGAGACCTCCCCCAGAAATGATGCCCAGCTGCAGCACACTCAGATCGCTGGGAATCTCAACATCTGCCTTGAAGAAGAGCACCCACTGATATTCCGCCGTTAGGATGCTATGAAACCACTTACTGCCGATCTCACATTACCTTGAGGATCCCAGGCTAAGTTGTAGGTCATAGAACTGAGGAAAACCTGTCCCGTTTTCAGCCATTGACACTTCAGTAGCTGCAGTGTAATATCAGAGATTTATTTTACAAGGCAGAAAAACCACATGCCATTTGCATTTGTTTTTGCATGCTGTATAAACCTGCGCTTTCGATGATCCTGGCTTGCCAAGCCACGGGGCAGGACGAAGCAACCCCGTCGCTGCCGAATAGCATTCTCCAATGATAATGAGAAGCACCAATAATGCAGTCCAATTAAGCACCTTCCAGAAACAGACCCCAGTCACAGCCCTGCCATCAGCACAGCCAAAAATGTGCTGGCACGCCTTCCGTTCTGCATGAACAGCTAATTTATTTGTACATCATTAAAGAGGAGGGGAAAATTAGCTTATGCTCCATTCCTTCATTAGAAAGAGCAAAACTAAACATCTGCAGAGAGAAAACACCTCCCCTTCCGCCTTGCTTGTACAAAAAGATCTACTTGAAAATTCTGCATCGCAGTCAGACCTGCCTTTGGAAAAAATGTGTCTGGTGAATTAAAAAAAAAAAATAAGCCTTGGATCAAAAAGCTGCACTCCATGGACAACTGATGTTGGAGACCACGTGCCATTGCAATGGTGGCCGGAGAAGCAATTCTCCAGCGGATACTGCTGGCCGCCAGCTTGTGGCAGGAGGAAGAGAGGCTTGTAAAACTTACCTGTGGGTACCAGGAAGCAGCGGTGCAGGTATGGACTGCAGCAGCCAGCACCGAGGGCAGACGGGAGGGCCTCCTGGGTTGCCCATCAGACGGCACCACTGCGGGCTTTTGGGAAGGCTTCAAAGACCTACTTCATCCCAGTCTCCCACCGTTAGGGCTGATGGACTGTTCCACTCGGGAGCAGCCAATGATGCTGCAGCCTTTTATGTTATTGTGGGTGTTCTATGAATCCCCGCTGCCTAACAACTGTGTCAGATCATCAGCATTATCAGCATCATTCGATGAATTTTAATGTTCTGAACTGCCTTGGGAGGGCAGTCTAGCAATATTTTAGATGGCCCAACTTCCAGTCCTTAGGAGTATGTCCCGGAAGGATAGGCAGGAACCCCCTTCCTGAAGCTGAAGACATTGGGGTGGTGGGGGATCTGCATTCCTGCCCCTGCCCCTCAGAACTGCCAAGTCACCTCAGATGACCTTGTAGAGGTCAAAGAGAGAGACTTCCAGTAGGTAGGGAAGGTCAAGGAATGATTGGGATCCACTGTATTCGGACTCCTCGCCATCCCATGGCAGCGCTACCTCTCTAAATAGTCTGTCCAGAAGGTGGAAAAGTAAGCAAGGAGGCCAGAGATCCTTGGGGACCTCTGAGACTGCAGACTTCTCTCCAGGAGGTGGCAGTCTCCTAGGGGGGCACTCCCAATCCGTCTGTTACGGTTGAGTGGACAGTTGCTAACTGGGCTTGCGGCCTCCACGCACACCAAGGCGACTGCCCACGCGGCCACCAGGTGCTTCTCCTCCCAGCTCACCTTCACAGCATCCCCAAGTCCCAGTGCTGTGGAGACTCCATCTCACTGGGTGCCACTGCTGGAAACGAGCAGTGGAAGTGGCCCATTCACCTGGGAAAAGTGGCTGGCACCTTTGCTCTCCTCCTGTCCCCAACACGTTCCCTCTGCAGCTCTTCTGTGATTGGGATGGCCGCCCTGTGTCTGAGGCAGCAGAGCCCCAGCTGCGGGAGGGGAACGTGCCAGGCAGAAGAGCTGAGCAAGGAAATGGACTGGAGAGAGAAGCATAAGCACACTTCCTTTTGTATGATATTTCTGCCCAGCAAATGTCCTCCTTAAAGCAGGACTTTGCAGCCCCAAAACAGGGTGCGAAGAACATATGAGCTGGCCATGGCAAGCACGGTCCCCAAGCCAACCACAACCAGCCCAAGACAACCCGCTTGCTCCAGAAAGTCTCTCTACAGTCTCTCTTTATATTGTTTATTTATGCATTTTAATTTATTTGTTTGTAAGCCACCCCGAGGCTTTGGCGAATGGGGCGGCCTAGAAATTTTCTAAATAAATAAATAAAGCTACCAAATATTTATACCATATAATAAATACTTACACAATTTCTCTTGTGAGAATTTACCCCTAGTGGTTCAAAGATACACACAGCATTTCCGTAAGAGGCCGCAATCTAAAGCAAAGTGTATGAACAAAACGTTAAGAGGGTATGAACAAAACGTAAAAACATAACACTGAATATTTTACTATTTAGAGATACCAAATACAGCTCCTACAGCGTTTTACATACAAGAACACATTCTGGCAGACTTGAGGCTAAATTTCGAGGGATATACTAAAGGAGGAACTTTACTCCTTTGCCCATTCAGAGAAGATCGTGGAAAACAGCAAATGCGAACTGTTTGCAATATATGCCAGTTCCAAAATGGGCACTCAAAGCATATAAGAAGAGATAAAGTCCTGCTTAATTCATTAAAACACCGAAGTGCTGATTGCCACACCAGCCACTTACAATGCAACAAGGAGGGAGAATCACGAGAATTAAAGACAATTGCTTATTGATTGTTTCTGTGGGTTGCAGTAACACTGGCCTGAGCAGCTGTCCCCGCCCCACACTTCTTGAGGGTCAGAAAAAGCTTGTGATGTGACGCAAGGAGTTGCAGTCGGGGCTGGGAAATCAGGCCGCAGCAGCTTTTCCAGCAAAGGTCCCCTCTGCAAGCTGCCCCTAGCCAACTTTCCCTCTTTCCTCCCCTGCAAAGGCATGCAGGGGTCAGAAGGACGGGCACAAGCACCCCACTGCACATCAGACTTCACCCCACTTGCACCACGTTTGGATGCAATCCCATGTACCTCCTTTTTTTGTTAGCTTCAATGCTGCCTGAAGCGAAAGGGGAAAAAGCCGGATGCAAAGTTTCAAAATGCGACAAGTAAACCGTAAACGAAGAATGATTATGCTTGCTATATTTTAGGGGACAGAGAAGCATCCGCTCAGGACTAAACAGATAAATAGTTCTGTCTTCCGAAAACAGATACAGCAAAATACAGAACACTGTTGGCCAACTTTTCTTCTTGTTCGCTTCACAAAGCAGATTAAACGCTGCCCTGGCCTTCTCAAGCAGCCCTTTGTGAAAGAAAACCCCTCTTTTCTTTCTTACACTGCATACACTCTAACCATGACTGATGTTGTTAAAGAAATCAATCTGCTTTATCCAAGGGATGGCTTGACCCGCAACTGGTCAATAAATAAGGAAGTCAATTAATATTAAACCATTTTCCATGACAAACACCATGAATGAATAGGTATGAAATGAGCAAAACAAAGTCACTGGGGATGCTTTGGAGCTTGCTCACCAGCAAGCCACGAGGGCTACCGAGGAGCAATTCTATGCATGTTTAGACTTGCTCCTGTCGAGACTCGCATGGGATTTTGCAGAAGTATGGTTTTAAAAGGAGAGTGAAACCAATTAATCCAGGAAGTGAGAATCAGTGGCTAGCAATGATAGCAATTTATTTGCTCAAAGTTCATTGGCAGGGCACCTCTGGGGAATCCTGGAGTGATATAATCAGAGATGGTAGAGCTGGAAGGGGCCCATGACGCCATCAGATCCAACCCCCTGGTCAGTGCAGGAGAGAGAACATGAGCAGGAATTTGTCTTACGCTCATGAGCTATTCTGAGCATCTGTCGACCACTGTGGTAAGAGAATTTTGGACCAGGCAGGCCTTTGGTTGGATCCAAGGGACCCCTCGCATGTTCCTTGTCTCAGAAATATAGTTCTTATTCATACATAACTTCAAGTTAGTATTGATTCTATTCTTATTATTGGTTCTATTGCAATGGCAGCTTCCATTGTATTGTCGTATTGACTATATTGTAATCCACCTGGGGGGCCTTATGGCTAATCGGGCAACACAGAAATCAAATAAACAAATAAATAATAAGTGATTTTCACGAATAAAGTCAATAAGCAATCAGCTACAATAGATGTGATTAGTCAATGACAAATTCTTAACATTGGCTTGTGGATTAATGTAAAGTTTCAGCTTAAGTATTTAAACATTCCTCCTCCCCCTTCAAAAAAAATCACATCTCCCATTTCTCATCTTCTTTGAACTCCTTACCCTTCCTTCTTGGGAACATTCCACACAGCTGACTTGGATGTTTCCATGTTTAGCACCAGGAATAATTTGCACACATTCAAAGTCATTTGCCAGAATAACAATATCGCATCCGGAGCCATACGCCTAAAAGAAATTTGTGAAGCAAAACAAAAAACTGAGCTTTTTGATCATTTAAATCACATACTGCCCAAATGCATATTTTATTTTTAACTTGTCTTCTAGATCTTCCTACAATAAATAGCAATGCCACAGACAGAAATGTTTTAACATCATAGTTCAAGGATGAAAAGTTCTGGGTTTAAGAAAAATACATAAGATGTTTAAAACATTTAAAGATAAATACTAAATTTATCTTAAGTAATAACTATATTATATTAAATAATTTGCCTATAGGCATGTTGGCCTGAAATGGCCCTAAATGCCTCAAACCGCAGTATTAAGCCTCTGTTTAATTTCTGGAGTTATATTGGACTACCATGAGCCAAGACTGGCGGCTCCAGCAACAGTGGAATGGTATATCCACTCTGGGTATCTATCCGAACTCTAAAAGAGCTTTGTATCGTGTTGACATTTTGAGGGAGTGGCATTCAGGACCATGGACAGCTCTAAGGCTGCTCCAGCAATGGCTGGGACAGGACAGGACACCCTGTTGATATTCAACCTCAGCTAATTACTACTCACATAACTGACTTCTTAGTTATTGATTCCTCTTCCCATATATCCCCAAATCTGCTCTAGAACATCCCATAATCATCTGGCTGGAGGGGTCTGCAGGGGAAGGGAGGGATCTGTTCCTTAGCAGACAGACACTTATATCACTTTTAGGACTCTCTGTACTCATTGCCTTTATGATCTTTCTGTCTATCTGAAAGATTCCCAAGGCTCCTACAGTCTTCTGACACGTATCCCTTTCTTCTTATACATGTGGGAACAAATGACACTGCCAAGTGGAGCTGGAAGAAATCACGTCAGACTTTGAAGATTTAGGGAGAAAAGTCAAAAAGGGAGAGGAAGAGGAGGTTTAAATAAGCTGCTGTGGGATGCTTGCAGGAAAAAGACGCGATATAAATGTGTTTCTCATCATTTAGTAAACAAAGCCATTGCTTTTTCATCTGACGAAAATCATCTGCTCTAGTCTCATCATTACTTTTCTATACCACCCAAGAGCCAGAACCTGGTTTACAAAGATCGCAATTCTAAAAGTGCATTACACAGGTTTAAAAACCCTGCCATGCAAGAATACGAAGAGGCAGCACAAAGAGCCACATATATGCTGAAAACAATGTTAAATAGTCAACAATAACAAACAGAATCTAACCAAGTCAGTCCCCATCACCAAACAAACATTACAAAGCAGTCAAGCAACTTCAGCAGAAGCAGCATTTCTCATGGTCACAAGCCCGATACAGACCAGTCTGCAGCAACTCTGCAATCAGCCCCAGGAACTTTACATGAGCTTCAGCCTGTCATAGGACTATACTCCTAAATTCCCCTGGAAAGCAGCAGCATGGACTTTCTTTAAAAGAGGGCCAAGCTTTGTATTTAAAAGATCTTGGGCACAGAAAGGCTCGGTCCTCTGTCCTCTCTAGGGAGGGGCACTTGTTGAGACAACCAGGTATGCGCTCCTCTCTCGCTCCACCACCCCAAATGGCACTGGAAGGGAAAGCACTTTCACTGTCTGTAAAAGCTTCAGCAAATTTCTGCTTCACTTTCAGCTCAGGTCTTGTTTCAAAGAAAGCCCACACCCTACGTGGGTTGAACTCAAGAGGATACACCTTACGGAGAGCTTAGAATCTTTTCCAGCTGAGGTGCAGGCATTCTGTGGTTGTTTAATTGCCTCTTTCTTCAATTCTATGGCTTTGTTGGTTTAAGTTATGCTGGATTTTTGCTACAGTACTCCAGGCTCCATTGGGATGAAGGGCATTCTAGCCTTTAAGAGAACAATAAAAATAAAAAACCCACCCTTTATTTTTCCTGGAAACCAATGGACCAAGCAGCCAAATGGAAAGAATGAAAGTCTAATTTATCAAAATATACCAACAGAGAGATCAATTTATTTCCTATAAATTAATACAACATTTTTGTATCATCTGAGCTTGGTTAAAACTGAGCAATGCCATGTTCAGTATGAAAATTTTCTGCTTTCGGCCAGTTATCCTACTGGTGTGTTCTTACTGCATGCCCTTTTTCTAGTTAGCTTCATCACACCATTTATCTGGGGTGACCATATTTCATCTTGCATCTTAATACAAAAACAGCTGTTTCTAAGGGAGAGGTGAAAATAACATACTCTTTGCCAGTGCAACTTAATGCCTAGCCATCAAAGTCATGGAAAAATAAATTCAATAATATTCCCACTTTAACACCCCCCTCTTCAGAATATTTAGTGTAATTAACATAAACAAAAATTACCATTCAGTTTAGGAGCACAAAAGAACTGTGAGGCTGTACCTAATTGATTTTGTTTCTCTTTAAAGATAAATACATAATTACATAGTTGAGCATACTATATTCTTTGATGCACTATAGTTGTATGAGATGAGGAAATACTTCAGTGTTTCTTTCTGTTCTTGGAGGCACTAGCAATTATGATGCTAGACTTTCAATGCTTCCTAAGCATCTTAGAAAGTTTCCTCCCGGACAAGTTCACACAGAAAAAGGTCTACCTTTCCTCGCACGCCCTAGTCAGCAGCTGGTAATTGAAGCCTTGGCTCTGAACTTTCACAGGCGTTTGCCTTTGCTAGACGTTCGCCAGCCTTGAAATCAGCCCCTTGCCTGGGACAAGCTGTGACCACGTGACCAGCTCACCGTCCTCAGGTTGTTCCACTTAAAGCTTCTAGGCAGTATGACCCCGACAGGCTGCATCAGGCCACTGCCTGGCGAGCAAATTAACCTCCGCACACACAGTTCACAGCCTGTGAGTTTATACAACTAGGTCTTGATTAGTGAGGATAATGAAGCCCATCAAGTGGTTGCATTATTCGGATTCGCACTATTCCTAGTTAGAATTGTACGTAAAATATGGCAATTGGTTCCAGCATGATGGAAACAGGCAATGAGAAAAAGTAAATGCAAGTTCTTATATGTTTATGGATGAAATATTACAGTAATCATAAGATAAAAAGAAATAAATGAAATAATAAAAATAACCAGCACTTGCATTAAGATTCTTCTACTTCACTATTTTTTATTTCATGCTCTTAAATACTTCTATTCCTTGTAGTCGTTTGCAGACCACAAGAAGTTGATGAAATTTTACCATTTAAAAAAAAAAATCCCATGTGTGTTTCAAAATATTCTGCACCATAGATTGAGACATTTCAACACCTTGTTCTATTTTAGAGTTCCTAAGACCACATTCAAGTCATTCAGTCACATCATTGTTTTGCTCTAACGTAATAACAAACCTCTTTTTGTGCTCACAGAAATCTTCCTGAAGGGATCTCCCTTCTCTCCATTTTGTTAAGGGAACTTCTTAAAACAATTAAAACAAATCCTGAATATGAAAATACATTACGGAAGGCAACAGCAGATGTACGTGTGTGGATAACAACTGCATACTGAAGTCGCAGCATCTAAAACCTGAACTGCAACCAGGAATTTCCACCATGCATGCACTAGCCTCATATTAACTGAATTTTGGTTCGCATCAAATGCAACCTGGCACCATTGTACCACCTGCACTAAACAGAAAATCGTATTATTTGCACTCACTTTGATCGCAACCTAACTGTACTTCAGAATGTGTTGCGTCAACTCATGTTCTAAAATAACTAATGCATTTTCACTGAAAAAAATCCCCTCTGTCACACTCACCCAAATAAAAGGTACATCTATTAAGTTTTACACACAACTGAAGGCTGAGTAATGAAAAATGGTTCACAAAGATCTAAGCAACCAAATTAACTGATCTCCATCTTGGTTAACCATGCCTAGCAGGAGCTGCATTCCCTTGTATATCACAAGGGTCTTTATCCTAGTAAGTCTTTTGGTCAAGCCATATTGCCCCGATAAACATATGCAGCAGGGAGACCCATTCCTGCAGTGGTCATTTCTCTGTGTCTGTGTCTGTGCTTCTCTCTCTGTCTCTCAAACACACACACACGAACACTCTCTCCTCCACAACCATCTCAGTGCACAAACTGGAGAAATGTAAACCTTTCTTCCCAGCGCGCTGCTGCGATCCCATCACGCCTCCGCAGGGGACCGATACAGGGGAAAGTTGAAGAGCATTTCAGCCTGTGCTCAGTGGCTCTGGCATCTGCCAGCTGGGCAGCCGGGAGGGGCAGGACGGATCCACAGCCCACCCGTGCCCTCCCCAGCTGCTTCAGCATCAGTGTACGTGTGTGTGGTGCGGAAGGCCACTGGCTTGCTGTGAGCTCACAGGCCCACCCAGCGTGACCTCGAGGAAGAAATTTGGGACCGTATACAGAGCTGCTTGAGGCTGAGCTGCGCTCGCCCAGGTCGGGTGACATATTGGCTTTGCTATGGTACAAAATCAGCACTTCTTTTTTATGTTGCTCCAAATGTCCTGAACTCGGAAGAGCTGACTGGAGCTGTCACGGACGGGACATTTTGGAGGGCCTGCATTCATAGGGTGACCATAAGTTGAAGGTAACTTGATGGCACATAACAAGAAAATGTCCATGAGACTGAATTGTGTTAAACAAGGCTGGGGGGGCGGGGGGGGGGAGGTTGGGTTGCCTCTTCCTCTATGGTGAGCAGAAATTACCTCCAGGCAATCAGGTGTTGCAGAGGAAATCTTTTTTTTAATGGTCAGAAGTAGGTCTTATCAGCATGCATAGGCAAACAAAGATAGTCAAGCCCCAGAATTAGTTGTGAATTCTAAGTGTTCACACCGGCTTTTGCTTTTAAGATGATGCTAATGCACACTGACCCCGTGGCACGAAGGGGGAAGATTACCTACATTTTGGAGCAGTGTAAAAGAGAAGAAAGAAACCAAACTTGAGATGGTTTCCAGAACACAGAAAACACAGAGAAAAAGTAGACGGACTCCTGCAACAATTACGACAGTGTTGTGCGAGCTCTGCAGATTTAAAAGCTCAACAGAGGAAAGAAGCACAAAGCGAGCCTAAGTGCCACCCACGCAGAATCTGCTCAGC